ATATCCGGATATACCTTTAATACTTATCATTAAACGCTCGTTATCGTAACGTATCTTATAAATTAAGAGTCGGAATTACTTCCGAACCTATCTTTTAAAAAGTCGAAAAGTTCTTATTATTAATAAACCTTACTTATTCTTTAGGGTCTTAACCTATAACATTCCGTTAAATTTATCCTTAATTACGATAAGTTACTTAAACCCGTCGTAATCTTCCGGGTAATTAAATAAATCTTAATATACCTTTTAAAAAAAACGTAGCGAGCGATATATTAATAAACGACGCGAGATTACTTTCTTATTTATCGCTTAACTATAATACTCGTACTTAATTATAGGTATATCGTTAATCTTAACGTTCCGGGCGTTTTTAACGAAGGCTTTAAGCGCCTTAGGACTAAGATACCTTACTCGTTAGTACTAGAGTACCTCGGAGTCTTTTCTCGGTTTAGTAGTATCTCTCGATCTTCTTTACCGGACGTTTTTCTCCGGGAAATAAGGTACTATTACGATCGACGCTACGCTACGTAAAATACTCGATAATATTATAAATAGTATTACGGGTAGGACTTACGAATAAGAAGAGAACTATTTAAATTCGAAAAAGACTAGGTTAAAGCGTCGCTTTAGCTTCCTTATTATAATACTTTTCTCGAGGGTTTTATTCCTTAAAGTATAATCTAAACCGTAAAACTAAATACCTATACTACGAAGTTTCGCTTTAGAGATAATATTAACGTAGAAATCTTTAATAAATACGACGTCCTTAAACTTTAGATTAAAGGTAGGCTTATTAAATTAATTCAGGATATATTTCTCGATAATCTTACGACCCGTATTAGTAATAAGAAAGCTTATAATACTAGCTTCGACCGTTTATCCGTCTCTAGCGGAAATGAACGATCCCTTTACTAGAAAATTACGATTATTAATAAGGTAAACTATTCTATAGTTATCGAAGATAGTACTTTCCGATAGTAGGTATCGGATTAGGTTTATAGTAAAGTAAATCCTAGTTTAAGTAAATAGGTATATAATACGTAGGTCGATTATTATTACGTTAATATTAGTTAGTTAGGTAATAGCGTTATTTCCTCCCCCGTTCCCGGAGCGATTATTAGGTATATTATTTACGGGAACGTCCTATTCCTAGCGGTTAATTTAGTTTCGGAACTTAACGTACTTAGGTAAGTCGTATTTAGCCTTAATTTTTCGTATAATATTAACCGGGATCGGCTTTAGGTTACGTATAATTTAATTAGTAACGGACTTTTATAGGATTTTATAAGAGCGAGCTACCTATAAATATAATTTACCTCTAAACTTATAAAGGTATTCGTAACTCGTTAGTTTTCCTTAGCCGCTATTATTAGCTAATTTCGCTCCTAAAGTTAATCCTTAATAGGCTATTACGAAAATTCTATAACTTAATTTACCTTTTTACTTATTCTCGGTAGCGAAAGCGCTAAATATAATGCCTAGTTACTTAAGGATCTTTAGTTACTCGCCGAGTTTATTAGCTTTAATAAAAGCGATTAATATCCGTATAGCTTAATCGATTACGATCTTAGCTTTAACTACTTCGAGGAAATCCTTTGCTCCTATAACGCCTTTAATTTCGTTAATATAATAAGCGTAAGCGCGAAGGAAGGCGTATTACTATATAGCGTAAAATTACTCGGGATTATAGGTACCTACTTTTATTCTTTAAAGTACCTTACGATATTCTCGTTTAACGAACGTCTTAATAACGGCTTCGGTAGGAGTAATTTACTTACGGAGGATCTTTACGAGGTTTTAAATAATCGGGTCGAGATCTAGGAACTATATTTCCATATTAGCTACCTTAAGAAAGCCTATAAAAATAAAAGCGAGAATCTAGCCATAGAGGACCTTATATTACTTATTAATAATTATAACCTAAGCCTCGATCGTTATTTATTAGGAAACGAACTTATTATACGCTATCGTTTATTACTTTTAAGTTCGTACCTTAGGCCTTAGTAGTTAATCTCCTCGGTCTTCGGTTAAGATCGACGCCTACTCGTAAACGGCTTTCTTATAGTTTTCTTTAAGGAATTCGTTCTCTTAAGTAATATATTCCTTAAAAGTACCTACTACGACTCGAGTAGCGTTAAACTTAGCTCTATTTAGATTAACGTTCTTTTAAATACCGAACTAAGTAGCTATCGACTTAAGAGTTAGGAACTACCGTAGCTACTTATCGTAAGCTCGTAAGTAAACGTTAATAGGAATCTTATCTAAGGAGAATTCGGAAGTATTAATCGTTATAGCGAAATAAGTAATCGATTATTTAATACTTAATACGAAAGTAAAGTACCGGTATAGAAATATAAAGGGAATATAATCGTAAGATCTAAGAAATGGATAAATATATTACTTACTTACGCTAGAATAACCTAAGTAATAATAGCTCCTTAGAAGTACCCCGGGCTTATAATTATTACGTAGCTAGCGAGAGTTAAGCTTAGGTTAATAAGTTATTCGTAAAAAAAGTAATGGAATAAGGGTAAAAAGGTATATATTAACTAACTAGAAAAAAAGGAAAGCTATTAGAGAGTATAAAGCGATCTATAGGTACATATAGTAGTACTTAACTAACTTAGGTAAGCCAGGTGGTTCCCACTAGGGGTGCATGCCTACGTGACATTCTAACTATAACCTATGACTATTAAGGAGGAGCAGAGCGTACGCGATACTAGAAACCCGGATAGGTTTATTCGAAAGTATACTCTATCGAAGACTATAGTACGTACGATAGTCCAAGATAAATAAAACTAATATCGCTATATTAATCGAGAGGTAAGGAATCTAATATAGTTATCGTATCTTAGTTATGCCCCTTAGTCGTAGAGATATAATAATCGCTAACCCGAAGGTATAAGAAATAAGGGGAGAAAAGGGATAAAACGTAAAAGTTACTTATTCGGCTATAACGGTACGACGAAGTAACTTAAGCGTTTATAACTAAAATAGATATACTAATCGGAGAACGACGAATCTAATGGTAAAAACGAATCTTTAATTAAGATAAAAATAGTAAAGATAATAATCTGGCTAGGTAATAAACTAAATAATAAGCATAGCATATCCCGCACTTACGGGAGCTATAGTTACTCTATATAGGCATAAGGCCCATCGTAGCGTGTTACGTAATGCATCAAGAGGGTATGTCTTACCGCACCACTATACTATTTTTTTTTCTAGGCTTTCTTATTTAATATCCTATTTAATTCGTATCGTATCGGTATCGTTTGTAGGTCTATCGCGCTAATCGGTAGGTTCCCCGATTAGGTTCGTAGGTATAAGGTCTGTCGGTATCTTCGTATAGTAGTTAAGGGCATCGTAGTACCTTATCGGTTAGGAAGGCAAGAAAAGACCTCCCCAGGTACCGTAACTAGCTAGAAGGAATAAAACAAAGGCAATCGGAACTATCGGCAAGCCTCTTGCAATCGAAATAAACTAATCGGTAAAGAACGGATGCCTTTAAGCGCGTACGAGGTTATAAAAAGGGGTAGTAGCGGTAACGGAGTCAGATCAACTAAGAAAACGGCCATCTAGGCACTTGAAAAACGACGGAGGCAAAACCAGACGAAAACGGGTACAGCTCCTTTAAAAGAGATAACTAAGAAACGAGGATAGGATAGATCTATTAATCGGCGAACGAGCTTTTAGGTAAGCTAATCAAAAGCTAATGGGAGGGCGTAGGTTATTAAGATAGTCGCCATTCTTATCTGCCCTCCCTGTTAATCTAGCTACCTAAAAATTCAGACTAAAAGCTACGAAAACGGCTCTGGAGCCACGAAAACAGCTCCTAATTAACTAAAAAACAGGGAATCTCCTAATCGTCGTATCCTAAACCTATTAACTACAAAAACGGGCGTAAAAGGTCGCTCCTAAGATGAGGTAAGGTCGAGCTACTAGGTAGTCGCTATTGAATAGGAGTAGCGTGGGTACGCTATAATGGAGGCACGAAATAAGGACTACCTAACTGCCAACAACTAGCCCAGTACCGATCAACCAAGATTATAGCTATAAATAGCTATAATCGGTTAATCGGCTAGCTAAAACGGTAGTTAAGAAAGGGGACTAGAAAAGGGCAAGGGTAACGAGGATAGCTAGAAACGCATAGCAAAAGGAGTAAATAGCTATAGGTCGTGATATCTACTGGTCTAAGTCTAACTGATGAAAATATAAGTACGCGACCCATATAAATATACATCGAAAAGGCTACGTGGCCTAGATCTACCGCACCACTATAATAAAAACGAAATCAAAGAATAAAAATAAGATTACTTAATACTAGCCATTCTTCTATTTATAGAATAAAGTATTAGGTAATGGGCCCACTTTATTACCATGAAAAAATAGGTAAACATGTCGATATGAGCACAGTTAACAGGGTTACTAATAAATTATATGGCAAACTGTTAGTGCAATTTCAAAAAGCCTAAAATCGTATATAACTTCTTATATTAGTATATAAAAAATTCGAAAAACTTACATGTTGACTTAATTAAGCCAATTGATTACGTAAGTAAATGTCAGATTTTTCCGATTTTTTCCCTTTTTTTTACGGGGATAAATCGTTTATATGTAAACCTATACAAAATACCCGGCTCGCGAAGGGGTGGCTCGCGAAGGGGTAGTCTAGCTTACTACAATATAAATAAGATTAAATAATCATAATCATTTATCAAACTATAATATTAAAGATGACATAATAACCGTACTTTATTATAATAAAACGAAATTTTAAAGAGTAATGATTTTGTATTTTAATATACTTATTAATAAGTTATCTAAAAGTTTATTAATATAAGGAAAAGTCTGAAATTATATAAAACTTTTTTTATTATTAATTAATTAACTCGAAAACTCTTTTTATAATTTTTACAAGCAAAAATCGTTTATATAAATATATATATATATAAGGGTAGCTCGCGAAGGGGTGGCTCGTGGAGTAGTACGTTAGCTTAGTATAGACAGCTGGAACTCCTATTCCTGTGGATTTTGGGACAGCTAACCTTGCGATTACACAACATGTAACCCCCCCCCATCCTTGTCTGCACGACGTCTACCCCGACAATTGCATCTTCCGCCGCTCGATTCCGTACAACCAACGATCTTTGTTCAATTTTGGCTTGTTCTGCCACAATACTTCGTGCTGTGCCGTGTGCGTATTTAGGAACCGGACCTTTCTTTATTGCTATCGCCTACACCATTAGCACACTGAACAGGCCAGCGTCCTTCTCTTCCCTGCTCATCCCGTCCAACGCTCGCCAGGCCACCCTTTGTGTTCAAGATCCATCAGTTAGCACAGCCCACCTGCAAAATGGCGGGCGTTGATAGCCTCCCGAACCCGCAGGCTGAATGGCTAGCCCAGAGTGGCCTCGAGTCCCGGGTCCTCTTCCCTGCTGATGCGGCCTATGCTACCCGAATCGACTCCTACTGGTGCAATAGCGCCAAGTTGCGGCCGTCTTGCATTGTTCAGCCACACTCGGCCTACGAGGTGTCTAGAGCGGTTACCGCCCTGGCAAAGACGAACCAGCCGTTCGCCGTGCGTGCTGGTGGCCACACCAATTGGGCCGGAAGCAACAATATTGCCGACGGCGTCACTATCGATCTAGGTCTCCTCAACTCGACCCAGTATGATGATACTAACCAGACAGCGCACCTGGGACCCGGAGGGAAGTGGAAAGATGTCTACGCCGAGCTCGAGAGACATGGCCGTACAGTCTCGGGAGGCCGAGAGGCAGAGGTCGGCGTAGGGGGTTTCCTGCTAGGTGGCGGAAACACGTTCTATACGTCACGTTACGGGTGGGCCTGCGACAATGTTGTCGCCTACGAGATTGTCCTGGCGGATGGGAGCATCATCACTGCTGAAGCAGGGGGCAGGCATACCGGTAATAACTATATCTTCTTCTCCTCTGTCTCTCCCGTGGCTGTCCTGTGGTTTCGTTTAAATCTAACCCAGGATCAATAGACCTCTTCCGTGCCTTGAAAGGTGGAGGCAACAACTTCGGCATCGTCACGCGTTTTACTATGCGGACCATACCTAGCGGCCCGATCTGGGGCGGGCTGGCTCTTCATCCTTTGGACGCTGTCCCTGCTGGTGTTGATGCCCTGGTCGACTTCACGACCAACAATGCAAGCGATCCATATACCAATATGCAATTCGTTGTTGGCCACCAACCCAGATTTGGGGGGGGCGTTGGCATTACCATAGCAAATAACATGCTTGCTGTCGAGAAACCGCCGCTGCTCCAGAAGAGCTTGGCGTTGCCTGAAATTATGAACAATTACAAGACCACCACGCTTCAGGAAGTTCTTACATATTCCTCGCTCCCACCCAACTACTAGTAGGCATATGCGTTACCACCCAACTCGTTTCTACTCTGGCTAATGATTCTTGCTTAGCAACATCTGGTTCACTCTGACTATCAAGAATGACGCCTCGATTGTTCGCAAAGCCGCCGCGTTGCATAATGAAATGGCGAAGGAGCTTCAGGCAGGCATTCCAGACCAGGACTTCACCTCGCACGTCTCCTTTCAGCCAGTGCCGCGTCTATTCGTGCAGCAGTCGCACGCTGCCAACAGCAGCGGCAATGTTCTCGGCCTTGAGCAAAATACCTACGATGCTATCCTAATCCAGGCGTCCGCCAGTGTGCGTACCGCTGAGCTAGAGGCGTGGGCTCGTCCCAAGGTGTGCGCATTAGTTGATGAGGTGCGTACCTTCGCTAGTAGTATCGAGGGCGGCGCCGTGCCGTGGGTGTACCTCAATTACGCGCACTCTGGTCAGGAAGTTCTACAGAGCTACGGTCCAGAGAACGTAGGCAGGATCCGGGAGGCAGCATTAAAGTACGATCCCGAAGGTGTCTTCCAACGCCTGTGTCCTGGGGGATTCAAAATTTCAGCTGTAAAAGACTAGTTTCTACACTGGCCTTCTTCGTTTCGAGACCTACGTGGAAGCAGGCCTTGAGGCTAGGAGCGTTTCGATAAGGAAGGGTAGAGGGTAGAACCTCCGTAACCGAGCGTTTGCAGATATGAGATGTGCTCGTCTAACTTCTTCACGACTTTTTGACTAGCATGAACGAGCCTTACTCGGGGATACTGTCTTTTCTGGCATATAATACTGGCCTTGTAATATTAATATCACGCTCCCTGTCATCCAACTTGATAATATGCACCTTATTACTTATCACCGCCACAATCTTCACACCGACGTACCAACGCTCCTCGTAGCCATGGTAAACCATGGTATCTATTAGAATCTCGGGGCCGAGGAAATGCCTTCGCATCCGGATATCCGAGTCGCACCACAGCAAGTTTCTGCAACTACATAATATTGCTGGTGCTTACATTGGTAGCACGTTAATATTGCTAGTGCTTACATTGGTAACACATTAATATTGCTGGTGCTTACATTGGTAACACATCGTTAATGTCTCATATTCTGTCGCCGAAAATGAGATCCTTCGCCGTGATGTGACACTGCGTTTCTCACTCTGCCCTCTTGGAGTATTTATGCATTAGGAGGTCTTATCAAGGCTTTCCTACCTGTAGGACGAATCCGTAATGTAACCTAGACCTTTTCTCGTTGGTGTGAGTAAGTAGGATAGGGGGAAAGGCAGAGCATGCTTCTTAGGGACTTTTAGATATGATACGACTTATTTGCTCGTCCGTAGCTTCTATCCAAACGAGTAGCAACCATACGGATGCTGCAGTGACAAGTGAGAAGTTTTTTTTTTTTCAACTTGGACGGAGCCTACCGCAAGTCGTGTTTGTTGTAACCGACTAGATTCCACCAAGCACCAACATGTCTGTCTTTGGGACAGCGACACTCAACGCTTGGTTGATTGGCGTTGTCTGTGGCTTCGTTGCCCATCACGGGATCTTCACAAAGGGCGAATGGCATGTACACGCACCTCGAATTATCGTGGGTCATGTCTGGGTCTTTTTAACCCCAACGCTGGCAAGCTGGATCACCAACGGACGTGGAGTCGGCATAGTTTGCAACGCGCTGGCCTGGATGACTTGCGGTTATCTTCCAGGACTGTTGCTCAGTATCATCATCTATCGTATCTTCTTCCATCGCCTCACGAAGGCTGCCTTCCCTGGGCCATGGTATGCACGCATCACTAAGCTATGGCATGTCTGGGCATGCCGGGATTCCAGAAATCATATAGTGCTCGACAAGCTGCACAGAAAGTATGGCGACTTCGTGCGAACGGGTAAGTGACGGGAAGAGTAAGAACGGATATTGGTGCACAGTCATCACGACACCAGATACATATAACTGATAAGCAATGTGTTATAGGTCCCAGCGAGCTCACAATTTTCCGGCCAGAGATTTTCTTAGCAACGGATGGCCCTCATTCCGAATGCATGAAGTCAGATGTAAGATATACACTAATGCGTTCCTGTCTGCTTGTTGAGCTAATGAGTTCTGAAGTGGTATGACATTTTAGTACCGAATCTAGCACTTGTTACAGCAAGAGATAGAGAGACACATGCAGTCCGCCGACGGCAATGGAATCGTGCATTTTCTACCAAAGGTCCGTCGCATATCTATCCAACGAATTGTAGACTACGATGTCTATCTCTATAGCCGAGCTCTACTAACAGCGATATCACGTTGAATCCCCCGTGCAGCTCTGCAGGTCCACGAGCAGAAGATTATGTGCCATCTCAACGAGCTGGACCGGCATATCGAGGCCGACGCGAAGGGCAGTTATGTGTCCAACGCTCGAAACTTATTTTACTGGTTTGCGTTCGACGCCATGGGGGATTTTGTCCTCGGCAAGCCATTCGGCATGCAACAGAATCAGGAGTGGCATCACATTATTTTCCGGCTGCAACGCGCTCTGTCACTTTTGGGCCCCTTGAGTCCAACGCCGTGGCTAATACACGTGGGCTTCCAGCTAGCTCCTCGGGTATTTCGGCTTAGAGATTGGTTTGATATGGTCGCTTGGTGTCAGACCCAGATGGATGCGCGAATAAAGGACACATCGCGTTACCAGGAGCCCGATATCACACACTATATCATGATGGAAGACGTGAAGAACAAGGAGATAATCAACAATGCCCTGGCGTGGTTAAGCGGGGACAGCTTGCAAGCTATTGTCGCTGGAAGGTGGGCAGTATATCTTCAGCTTCCACGTTTTGACAGCTGGGAGCCAATACACTGACTCTTAACATAGTGGACCGATTGCAAATGCATTGCTGGGGCTTTTCACCGAAGTGGGGAGAAGTCCAACTGCCCAAGAAAAACTGTACCATGAGCTCAAGGACACCGATGTCTCTGACATCAAGGCATTAGCTAACCTGCCGTTCCTGAACGCCTGTATCGACGAGACGCTGCGTCTGTACCCTGCCCTCATGACTGGTGGGACACGCATGACCACTCAGAATGGCATGACCGTCGCGGGGAGATTCATACCACCATATACCACCATCGTGGCTCCTCAATACCTCATCTCACGGAGTACGTTCATCTCCTCACGAATTACCTTCATATCCATTACCTCCACACGCGGCAATTCTTCAAACTTGGGCGCTTAGCTAACCATTGTCTCTTCGGTTAGGGCAAGATTGTTTCCTAGACCCCCTCAGATTCGTGCCGGAACGATGGACAACTCGTCCCGAGATGGTGCTAAACGCGTCAGCTACCAAGCCCTTCGGGACGGGCCACACAAGCTGTGTTGGACGGCCTCTGGCAATCGACTCTTTGCGGCTCGTAACAGCACGCTTGATCAAGAAATATAAGTTTAAATTTGCTCCAGGCGAGGACGGAAGCGGCATGGATAAGCATATGAAGGACCAGTTCGTGCCGAATCCAGGCAACTTACAACTCTGTTTCAAGTTGCGATGAATACGCTAAGAGAAACTTGGCATGCAGAAAAGGTGAGAATCTTGGATTTATGGATTATTACTCTGATATTTCAACACTACGTGCATGGTGATAATCGATAATCTTGTTCGTTCACTTGTTTACCAGATCAGTCTACCTCTTGATCTCTTGTTCATAAGTAGTACAGGAGAATACCTCACTACTCTAAGGTAATCTCGCAGTCTAGGTTGGTGTGGCATAAGGCCTACAACGCCTAATCAAGAAAAGCCATCCATTGTCATCGCCTCGGTATTCTAGCCCAGTGAGTACTAGAATAGGAAAACCGTCCGTCACGGATGGGGTTTAAAACGTAATAGCAATCACACTCGGCGACGACTGAGCCTTAAGGAAACCACCGTGACCAACCGCGCGGATTTCGAGGAAGGCCGATACGGTAAAGAATAGCTACATCTACACCAACGAGGGGGGGACGAAAAGTTCTAAGCGAGCGGCTTTTCGTATGGAGATAATAGGACCTATCTGAGACACAATATGCAGATGATATTACGGTCAATCTTACACGACAACCAACGGCAAGCTCTTTTTCTGCAGTCAGATTCTAACCGGCATAAAAAGAGTTTCGCTGTTACCTTCCGCTCCTCCATCCATCCACGTAGCGCGACTGTTGAATGTGAATAGTGGGATGGATTACGCACGTCAGCACTAACGTACACATCCGGCTGCCAGGCGATCAAGCTGGTTTGTTGAACATCTGCAGCCTTGCGGCGCGCCTGATCGACGTCTTCTGTCCCATGCCATACGCTGAGACATCGACTCAGCCATTATACGGTCCAAGCAAGGGCAAGGAATATAGACCAAGCAACCAAAGGCACCACAGTTGCCAGCTTTGGCGGTCGTCTTCCCAACTCTTCCTCGTGAGCACCCTCCATGTCACCACCGCCGCGGGGATTCCTGGTACGGCGCAGGACATGGCCGAAAGGTCCCAAAATACGGCACAGACACAAGTCCAGAACCACACAAAGAAACCAATTGACCCTCTGGATATCTCGTCTCCCAGAAATAAGGCCACCGTCTTGCGGCCCCGAAGGCGATCCCCCGCCTGATCCTTTAAGTCCTGGATCTGCATGGTGGTCAATATGACACTGCTAATAACGCACGTCCAAATCATGCCGTTCCGATTGATGTTAGCCTGGTTGCCAAGTGCAATCTGTAGCGAGCCGCTGTTGTACATGGCATAGCCGACGGATATCAGTATCTCGCGGACGAAGGCCTCGTCCATCCCTCTCAAGTCGTTGTAAAGCCAGGTGATGATGTGGATAACTAACCCTTGTTCCCACACGCCGAGGTAGTAGTTGAGGCAGAGTGTAAGCGGTACCGAGATGAGCATGAGGTGGCGCGTCTGATCGCTGGTGATTCTGCCCGCGGGGATCGGTCGCCACGGCTTGTTGATGCGGTCTTCAGCAACGGATTCGGGAGCCCGCTGATTCGCAAGATCAAACGAGAGCAAATTGGCCCAGTTGAAGACGAGAACTATTGGTAGCCGCTGGAGTATTTCCAATCCCGAGGGCCGAACCCCTGCTGAGAGGGAGGTTGCTGCAACGGCCCCCAGGATCCCAAAGGCCGTGTTTGGGACAACAAAAGTAGCGAAATCACTTTCAGTAAAGGCCCAAATTAACGAGGGGATCCGAAAAGTCACTTGTGAGAGTGACGGTTTTGCGGAGGGTACCATTACGGACGCAGGCTTGAAATATCAGTCCAATATTAGCGCGAGACAGAAAAGCTCAGGTAGTGCGCAGGGCAGAATCCGGGACACGAAGTTCCGAATGTTAAGATTGAACAGCTGACAAGGTACTTAAGGGCCATAAGCATAAATATGGTCACATAAATCCGGAATTATTATATGAAGAGTGGCTTGGTGCTCTGGCGGGTTAACGAAACTATATACACGTGCCAATATTGCACGGTGTGCGCGTTGTTATACAGAAGACGCCGGAGGCTTGTATTAACGACTCCTTTGGAACGTGTTGTTACCTGAGATTCCGTGCCACGTTGGTGACACCTTTTGATTCGGCATTGATAGGCTGGGCATGGACGAGTCGCGTAGAAGCATCGAGTGTGAATATAAGCTGACGATTTGACGTGTTGAAATGTGCACATCCGTAGGAGCTAGATTGTGGGCAGACTGTGCTTCCCTAAAATCCTTAATGGGACCGTATCGGATAGTAAGTGTTGATGCCACACCCTTGGCGGTCGGGTAAGTTCTCGCCTTTTACATCAAATCTTCCCCTCCTCTTCTCGTCCCCTCCCCCTCCCCAGGTCCAGCCAGGCATTTTGACCCTGTGGAAGCAAACCCGAGCAGACCTTCAACACGGCCGTTGAATACGTGCGTTTTCGACAGGTAATGGCGAACTTCAGCTCTAGTGGCTTAACCTTCTTTGTATTCGTCATAGTTTTCACGGTCATTTGCGGTATATTCCTCCTGCTCCGTCTGTGGGCTGCGACTGTGTCGCGTCGTCCACTGTATCTCGACGATGCGATGATCCTTTTCGCCTATGCAAGACTCCACCTAAAGACAGATGCACAGATCGTTAAACTGACCACAGCACCACAGGCAAATTGCATAGCGCTTGGTGGGGTTGGCCTTTGGGCAGCAGTTAACGGACTTGGAAAACCAGGCTCAGAGTTATCCGAAGAAGAAATTGTTGTCAATGCAAAGGTAAGGACGGATATGGTTCTGGGAGATAATTTGCTAACCTGTACGGTACCAGCTCATCATTACATCGGACGTGTGTTGGCTATTCGCAAGTGTCTTCGTTAAGATGTCCATTCTCTGGCTCTACAACCGTATATTCGCTATCAGGGAGTTCAGGCGCTGGTGCTGGGCTCTCATGGCTGTCAACGGCTGCTACGGCGTCTCCTTCTTGGTCGTATACCTCACCAACTGCACGCCAGTGGACCAACTCTGGAACCCTACTCCGGACGGCCACTGCCGCGATATGCAAATCAGCGACTTTGCCACCGTCGCCATCAACATGTTATTCGACCTAGCGATATTGCTACTTCCCCTACCTACTCTCTGGGGCCTGAAACTTCCTCTGCGAAAGAAGATTGTGGTTACCATTATGTTCAGCTTCGGTATTGCGTGAGTTGTTTCCCGACCTACAACCCTAAGAAAACTGCCCGAAACCGAAGGCTACTGACACGCTTACAGCACGATCGCAATCATGATATGGAGGATCGTGGCAACTCTTCGGACCAGAGCCGACCCTGACTTCACTCTACACCTCGGGACGATCGGGTTGATCAGCTTCTTCGAGTTATGGTTCGGCATCATCGTTGCCTGCATGCCCACATTGGCTCCCCTGTTCCGCGCCTACGCCAAGCCTCTCGTCTCTAAGTTGAAGGCCGGCCCAGACGGTTCCTCTAGCTCTGCGTCATACGCCTTGGCGGATCTCCCTCGTCAGGCCTTTGGCAGAAATAACATTCACGGGTCAAAGTACGACAGAATCGACGGGGGCAAAGATGCTGTCCGTGGAGAGGCCCGGTCCCAGGAGCCCCATGGAAGGGGAATGATTGTAACCACGGAAATCTTTTCCACATCCGAATATCGCACCAAACCCGGGCCGATGCAAGGTAGCAGCGTCGGCCATATCTGGAGTGACGTTGACGAATAGTCGAGTACAGGCGACAATAAGTCGCTCAGTGCTGAATACTTAAAATGTATTAGCATTGAAATAAAGTACAATATAAATTCATTTATGTGCCAGCCTTAAACTAAATGAGTAGCTCCCTAACGTAGATTAACTCAACGTGATTTGTGTCTCGGGGGTCGAGACGTCAATAAGAGAAATATCTATCTATATCTTAAGACGTGAAGGAATAGATAGCGTTTACATATTCAGCTCTAGCTAGCCTTACTTAACGACATTCGTTATACGAATCAGCTAAATTCTGCTAATCCACTACTTACAGGCCACGCCTTGGTAAATTTCCTGGATTCCATATCACTTTCCAATTGCAAAACTAAAAATTAAGTATACCTTCATCATTATCGTTATCGCGTAGCTTTTCGTGGAGAGCTACGCCTAGAAGCATGTGTGCGACGAGAGAGAGAAAGACGGGAGAGATCGAACTATGTATCAAAATATGAAAGAACTAAAGGAGCCAGAACGACGAAAAGCTACATGAAGAGCTCTCGTATGCCGTAAGCTATGAGAATCCGGATAGGTACGAGGGCGGAGAGAGCCGGCAGAAAAGGAGGGAAAAGGTGGAAAGTCCTACGTGATAAGGGTTTGTTGAAATATGTTAGTTATACCTATGTTACGTAGATCGGGAGAGCTACGTAGGAGGCTGAAGTTGCTCTGCTTGTGGAAGTAACGGAAGCTGAGATAAGAAGGTTGAATTAACTAACTAGCTAACTAGGAGGGAAACAAATAAAGGAGATACAAGCTACCTATATATACACAATAAGGAGCTACGAGCTCGATTATATAAGCGAGTAACCGGAAAACGAGTAGAGAGCTAGGGATAGGTGGCTCTATACGTGACATTATAATATTGCAATAATTGCATAGTTCTTTACTTTCCTTGCCTCTGCTACCATCCTGCTGTCTATTAAAGAAGAACAGCGTGGGCGCGCTATTGATAGGATGGGTGAACAGCGTTAGCTGCCAACAACTGACCTAGGTGCCGATCAACAGGATAACAGTGACAGCTGTATCTGTAATTGGCTAGCTGTAGATGTCAACTGGGAGAAGAAGAGATATCAAAGAAAAAGAAGAAGGCATGCACAACATTTATGGCGAAGGATGGCGATCAGAAGAGTGTATGTCTATCTAGCTGGTGACTATTAAAGATGACTACGATGGATGATGAAAATGTGTATGCGAGGCCTATATAAATACTCACCTGAAACCCTACGAGGACAAGTCCTACAAAACCACTACACTATGAGTACCTATTCTAAGGCAGGGCACTTATTCAATCTTGGTTTAACAAGGGCAACAGGAATGTTACGACACTACCGTCCTATAAGTAGCTAGGGCTCTCAGTGCTGAGGAGGGACAGCGTGGGTACGCTGTTGGAGAGTCGTATACTGAACCACAGCTGCCATTAACAACTCGCCCAGGTGCCGATCACCAAGAATACAGCTGCAACAGCAGTGCAACAACTGTAATTAGTACCTGGCTGCTACGATCCTAGGTACCACGTATGTATTAAAGAGTGGAAATAGCCTAATATGGATTGGGAGCCTTCATGTTTCTAGCAGTTTATAAAAGACTCAGCCATGGCAACCTACCAGCAGAGCCTCGTACTCTAATAATTCCAACACTCTTCCTTTCTACCCTCTACCGCATGAGACAGCAGACAGTTTTGTTTCCTTGCTTGAATGTATAGGCTCGTATAGAGGCTGCCCCCCCCGCTCCCCTCCCCCTTTCCTCTCCTTCACATTAGCGGTCGAGGACAGTACGAGTAAACAACGCATGGCACGGACGTACGACAGAGACTTGATAGTAATTTGACGGCGATTTGGGTAAAAGAAACCTACAATATTGTGAATACATCTTAACTGGTTTCCTGCGATGAACTGAAACAATACTGAAGCTGACGTTGGGGAAAAGTCAACGTACGCTGCTAATATATGGCAGTCTAGGCCGTTTATTAGGCGACGGCGTGTTTAAATACTGCAATATTCCACGGGAAAGGCAAACGACAGGCTCCCATGTACTCGGGCAGGTATTAGTTCCTTTCCTCGACAATGGTGACAAGCGACACCAATTATAGGTACCCGAAGCAGTCTCCTCTAGACAGTGCGCGGCACTGTACCTACCGTATAAACAAACAAGTCACTACGCAGCACGCCCCGACAACACTTCTTATCGTATCTCTCTCGTCTAGTAACACTGACAGGCAGATTCATCTCGCTCCTCTCTCTCCTTCCTCCCCGAAGCCTCCCCTCATTGCCTCGCCTACGTCTTAGGAAGCGAACTCATCGCAGAGACCGACTCCATCTATCCTTGAACGTGCGCGCCCGTCTACGCCACTCCTTCTCGCGCTCTCTCTCTGCTGCTTCCTTCCCTCGCTAACGGTTTTCCACAGGCAACACCGATCGGCCGCAGACAATTCACCCTGCAGCCGCGTCCTCTCCGTTCACCTCCCGCCATCTGCATCAACAAGACGGCAAGCCTTCGGTTCACGATGTCCTCCGCCAACGACAAGCCGGGTGCTCCCGGCCCCAGCGCCGCCGGCAGCGGCGCCAAGATGCAGCTGAGCCAGCGCGAGATCGAGGTCGTGTCCAAGGCCTGGCTCTGCATCACGTCGGTGAAGAACGGCGTGCCTCAGGTAAGTGTGGCCGCGCCTGTGGCACACTCGCCGCATCTGCCCTCCCCCTTCCGCCCCGGCCCTGCAAAATCCCCGCTCTCTCCCGCACCCTGCCGAGCCATCAAGCGCCAACCCCCCGCCAGCTGACGCTTATATGTACACCCCGCAGGTCGACGCGCGGAAGCTCGCGCAGGTGGGCCCGTACGCGAGCGCGGACTCGGCGCGCCACGTGTGGAAGCCGATCGAGCGGAAGCTGGTGGCGATGGCGGCGGCGGACAGCGGCGGCAGCGCCGAGCGCAGCAGCCCCGCGACGACGCCGCGGTCCGGCGCCACCCCGCGCAAGGCGAAGGCAGCCACCAGCCGCAGCGAGGCCGCGTCGCCGTCGCCGGCCCCGCGCCGCCCCCAGAGCCGCGACGCCGCCGGCTACGACGACGACGACGACGACGACAAGGCCGCCTCGCCCATCCTCCGCAAGCTCAAGCTGCGCCTGCGCGAGGTGCCGCCTAGCGACAGCGGCGGCGAGGGCGAGATCTGACGAAAATCGCTGCGCTCCTCGTCTCCCTCGCAGGGTCAATCGCACCCGCGTCTGCCCCGGTCTTGTCTCATCTGAGGGGCTTTTTTTCTTCTTCCTCTTTCGTCTCGCGGTGATACACGGCATTTCGTGCGCGCGTGTGTGCTTGCTCATCATGCCGCCAATTTCTTTTCCGTCCTACTGCGCGTTGATTTGTCGCGGCGCGCTGCTGCTCCGTCTTGTACGCTAGCAGCTAATATGGCGTGCTCGGCCAGGCCGCGCACTAAGTTCCTCGGACGGGGTCTAGTTCCCGTCCGTTGAGCGGGGGCAGCAGAAGCCCCCCTAGTCGGGGCTAAGGCACTAAGGGGGACGAACGAGGTGCGGGAAGAGAGCTGCGGTCTCAGGCCACAGGGACGCGGACTCGACACCCAGGCCGATGGTTCGGTAGTCTGGCTGGTTTAGTAGGTAAGCAAGAAAGCAGAGGAATGAATGGCATGCTCGGATTTCCTCGGGAGGGAGGGGGGCAGAGTTGGGAAGAGGTGTCGGGGATGAAGGTGAGGGTAGCCGGGCACATCCGGATGTTTAGCTGCGCGTAGCCCAAGGCGTCGACGCAGTAGGAGCTGGGAAATGAATTTGGGGGGTTGCTGGCGCGGTATGGGCAACGGTACAGGACTCTGTCTACGGGGCTCTATCTCGACGGGGATAACACAGCAAATAACCGTTTCCTCGTCTCCCCCACTCCACGTTTAATCCTTATCCAAGTGAGTAAGCAGCAAGGTGAGAGACCTCGAGACCTTGGTAAGCGGCTGAGGGTCTAGAGAATGCCCGGGCATTAGCGTGGCAAGAGGGTAGGAAATCACAAGCTGCTTCAGGGGTTTCTGGCATTAGTGGTAGGGGTCGACGTAGCCGGGTCGCCGTGGGGGATGCCGTGCATAGCTACACCTATCTCGAGTCTACTTCGCCGAAGTGCAGGCATCTGAGTACACCGACCGGTGACATACCCACCACACCGCGTGAAATGCAGATATACTCATAGAGCTGGGCAATAGCCGCATAATACTAAGACCCAATCCTTTGCCTCGAGAAGGGAGCAGGATTACTTACTTTCCCCAGAGCGGACGGTCGAGTGTTTCATACACCGTGCCATGCCTGCCCGTTACCTTCCTGTCGGTAACGCAGACGTGAAACGCCTTGAGGATGATTCGCTGCCCGTAGGTATGAGTAAGTAATAACACTTGCGCAGCGCGGTAACGCTAGGCTGTAGCGTCCCCTTTAGAGCAGATCTGTCTTGGCTCAGGACGATGCGTGTACCTGCTTATCTTGCTACCCGGCTCCCACGAGATGCGGATAGCTTTTTCTCCTTCGTATTTCCCAAGTCTGAATAGAGTCCCTCTCTGCTGTGCGCGTATGAATACCTATGAGTAGTACATTTGATAAGGACATGCACCTGAGGTACCTCGGGATGTAACCAGGTCCTGTCCTGTCGCATCGAAGACGGGGCGAGAGGTGAGCTGGTTGGGCCAGGTTGGGCGCTGCCGCCAAGCTGCAATAGCGCAGAGGGGGGATAATAGCATAACCTTTCTAGAAGAGACAGGGAAGCGCTTATCTGTGCGGTATCTGGGGCCAGCGCCCTAGGCAGTAGCGGAGTACCTCGGGCACCTCCCAGGACCTCAGACCTCCACCTCTTGGCGGCCTCCAGCGGGACGGGAATGGCTCGTGTATACCTGAGGTGCGACGACCGGTACTTCACACCGTCAGGTAAGATGCCTTAGAGGTAGGCAAGTTATGGTGGAATAGAAAGCAGCCCGTTGTGCGTGTCAGCCAGAGGCCGCTTCGGTACCCGATGCAGCTGTGCACATATGCCGGGTGCTTGTGCGGGTTCCTTGGCGCCGTGGTCGGTCGGTCGCCGTCTAGAATTAGGCAAGGCGCAGCGCACTCTGCCCGTTCGCTCACCGTCTTATCACCCTCTCGTCCCGTGGCGCCTTCGCACGCTACATCCCGTCATTGGCCCGCTCGCCCTCTCGCTGTCCTACTTCTGTCCTCGCCGTATTAGTGTAGATGTACTCACATGCTCGGGATGTGCCACGCTCACGCCATCGGTCAATCGCTAACCGATATGCCTACACGACCCGCACCTTTATAGGGCCCCCGCCGATGGCTCTCGAAAGTACTTCCCCGGCCTTCTTCAGCGTCGCCGCGACGCCTCGCGACGAGATTTGAGACCTTGACCTTGGGGTGAGACTCGACCTCTGTGTCTCTCGGCATCTGGATTGCCACCGCAGAGCCATAGGACCGTGCCGAGATTCGTTACCGCGGTCCTGGGGCGTCGCGAACAACGATCCCCCCTTACCCCCACCCCCGGCCTAGGCACATTATCGTATCCCCCTCATGCGAGGGAAGTTTGGCGATTCCTTTCGATGCGACCCTACCACGCCTTTTTTCCTATTCTTCCCCCCCCTCCCTCTCTTCATCCTGGCCGACCCAACCCAGCGACGGCCAGCTGCGCATGGACCCGCGCCCATCAATGCCTCATCCGGCGTCCAGCCGCTGCCGCCCGCGCCCATGCACGAGCGAATACTAACTCCCTCTCCTTACATCTTCGCAGCGATAAGGACACCACCACCACCGCCAGACCACCATCTCGGGTCGCCAGCGACTAGCATTGCCAACCGGTTTGGCTTCCGACCGACCTGGGCAGAACCGCACCACGCGGTAGAGGGCGGGTGGCGGTCCTTCTGATACCCCGTGCGACGGTATTCGTTGCGCCGGTCGCCTCCTCCAGCTAATGGCTGGCTTGTCCTAGGGCGTTGAGAAACACCGTGCCAGGCAGTGCGATGGCGCAACCCTCTCGGCATATGGTCATCTTTCTCGTGTCGTGTCTCATCCTGTCCCGCTGGGGGATGCCATAAAAACGACCGCCCTCTCTTGCTTACGCCCCCAACCCCCCCGGTCGATATGGGCAGGCCCTGTCCTTATTATTGTCCGCATCTCTAGCTGGCCCTTTCCCGTCTGTCCTATTTCCTGTCCTTGTTATTTTGGTCTGCCCCCCCCGCGCGCGCCAACCCCCAACCACGAGCTGTGGCGAGTGAGTACATACTGCCCGGAGGGTCATGTCATCATACCACCATCCTTCACCCACCTAGTTTCTCTCACCTCTCGAGACGACCCGAATCCGTCGCAACATCGAAGTGGCCTCCGGCAAACCCGTCGATTATGGCTGACCTGGAGACCTCTATTCACGTCGGGATTTGGTTCATGGTTGGGGTGTCGCTTCTGGCTCTCGTTCTCCGATGCTATTGTCGCCTCTCCCGGCAGCGATCGCTATGGTAAGTGGTGTCGTGTCCCGACTCTCCGCGTGCAAGCGAGGTGTCAATACGGCGGCGTCTCTGACCAAGGATCACAGGCTGGATGATTTCGTGCTTATGGCCGCTTGGGTAGGGAGCCACACCCCCCCTCGCCGATGGTGGCAGAGAGTCCTCCTAGTTTGCTAAACAGGACTTCCCCTCTCTCAATAGGTCATGGTAGCCATCAGCGGCGGCTTCATCAGCGCTTTCGCCTCGCCCCGCTCCGGCATCTCCATCGCCGGCAGCGACATGATCATGACCTACTTCAGCGTCTGCTCCGTCTTCTGCGGGCTCGCTTCGGCCTGGTCCAAGACTTCGTTCGCCATCACCCTGCTGCGGCTGGAGCTCGGACGGGGCCGGTACTTCCTGTGGTGGGTCATCGCGACGGTCAACGCGTCGTATCTTCTCTACATAATCACGGCTTGGAATAAGCCGTGCGGTGTCGTGGGGAAAGACGACCTGTATATCCCCGGGCCCTGCTGGAGCTCCACCGCCAAGATGGCGGTGCCTCTGGCCGTCGTCTGTACGCGCCCGCATTACCGAGCTCCCGCTCCTCTCCCAACTTGAGCGTGTCAGTAAGCTGACCCGGTCCCACGCTGCAACAGTATATTCGGCCGCGATGGACTTCGCGCTCGTGATCTTCCCCTGGAAGATCGTCTGGAAGACCCAGATGCAAAAGAAAGAGAAGATAGGTGTCGCGCTAGCCATGAGTTTTGGTGTGCTGTAAGTGCTTTAAACACGGTCGGTTTCGTAGGCACCGAATACCCGGGCGATGCTGACTGGCAGGAATACTCCGCGAAATCAGAGCTGGCGCCATAGCGATAAAAAGAGCCGTGAATATGACGGGGTTGGATCCCGTTGCATCCTTCACCTACTTTTGTAAGCGCTTCCCCACCATCAACCACTGTCATCATGTCTATCCATCCTCTCCTCACACCCCACTAATGCGCGCGTGATGTAAGACGGGAGATGCATACAATGCGTGTACAACCTAGCGGAGCCGTCTGTATCCATCGTCGCACAATCGATACCGAATCTGCGCGCATTCTTCGTCCGTGAGAAATCACCGTCCCGGCTCCCACATCTCTCGCTCCCAATCGCCTTCCGCAAGGGCCCGGGAACCCGGGGGGTATCTGGCGAGGTGAGGTGGCCCTCGTTCCACACCGATCGGGACTCGGCCAAGGACCTGCGCAACTATGCGGCGGGGGTCAACGATGCTGATTGAGTCCGAGGGAAAATCACCGGGACTTGCTGCGTCATCGGAAACGAGGGTATTATTGGAAGGGTCGGCGTCGTGCGCTGCTACTTGCGGAGCTCTGAAAGCAATTAGTAACAAACAAGGGTCAGGCTATACAGGTGTTTTGATGGCTGATTTGTGGCGAAGAGCCTCACAACGGGGGTAAGGGATACTGACCTGCGCGAATGCGCTGGTCTCGTCATGATTTACATGTTATTACGAGGAATCTGGCTAGGTCTCGTAACGGAGGAACCGGCAATCATGGCCGAGAGAGCATGCACAACCACGCGGAGTCTAGGGATTATGGCGGACCCGACCGAGTAATTGTTAGCCTGGTTGGTGTTCAGGAGTCCGGATATTGGCTATTATAGGGAAGAATGGCGGAACGGGGAAAGGTTGCGGCGTCGCTAGAAATCGGGTAATGTCACCGCTACGCCCCCCATACGGGGGTGTAAGTTTATACTATGTAGGTATAGCTTCCTACGCGCCGTGTTACACGCGAACACCACGCGATAATAAGACTCCATCTCCAGATAGGAAGCGTAACAAGTTCGCGATTTTCCTAGAACAAAAGCCGTCACCGGGAAAAGGCAATCCGGGCACATCCGTGTCTCGACAGCCGCGCTGCGTCGTATACGCCTAAGGCGTTGTGGTGTTAGAAGCATAGCATGTTGGGGGAGGAAGGTTTCACAGCGGTCAGGCTTACGACGCGGGGGAGCTCGACTCGAACTCGGCCGATCCGGCGCGGCCGCCAAGCGCGCCGTGTCCACGTCCCCGAGCGGGCGGCGCGTCTCCAACGTCGCGCAGGCGTCATCCGCATGCGAGATAATCTTGGCTCGTCATCTTGCCTGACTGATAAGTGGAAGCCTTGCTACTCGGCGGCTGACCCCCCCACGCTCTCGCCAGGAATAGATTTAATACCACTCCTAATTCCCAATAACACGCCGCGGAGATAGTTGCTGGTGCGATCAATCCCCCCCTCCCCCCCGGCTGCGGCTTGTGGTGTCTCCGGAGGCTCGTGGTTCGTCGACTCTGCGTTCGCAGGCAAAGTCTCGTCGGTCTGCTTACCACACCTTTCCACAGAGTGCGGGCTCCGCCTTTATCGCCTCCCCACTCCCCTCGTCTCCCGCCTACCCAAAGGACCCCCTAGCCTCCTTTCCAGGTTAGGCCAGTGTAAGCGTTACCCTTATCAACTCATCAACTCGTGAGCAGGTGCTGCCCAGAGAAATAATAGTTCGTTAATGATGTAAGCGGATCGACAGTTTGCTCCCCCGAATAGAGGAGAAGTCTTACTTAAGATATCATGCCGTCGTCTTAACGGAGCAAGGGTATTATGGAGAGCATAACGTCGGCGACTTCGACGCTAGAGGCGATCTATGAATAAGGGATTTTGTTAGAATTATCGTAGCTGCAGGACCGAATTAGCGTTGTGGTAATCCATGTTGATCGATCTTGTCTCCTACATTGTCTCACGAGCTTCGATAACACCAAGACCAAACGACACAGCAGGCACGTCGGAACAGGCAAGTAACCAAGGGTTGACTTGCAGTGAGACAATAACTAGCTATATTCTATTGTTGCGTAAAACGGGAGCGCCCACATCGTACGACCTTGAAATATACGTTTATAAAGGCTTCCTGGCATCTATTCAGCGCAGGATCGGACTCGTTAGAAAGTAGTTGACGAGGTAATCATAGGACGATATTATGAGGGTGCATAAGCTGACCGCAGTTGTCAAATCTGGATGGTAACCTTGGCAAAGGACGAAGGGTATAGGAGTGTCTGACAATACGACTGAAGAGTAGTAATAGGCCAAGATGCTGCGACCTGCATTGTGGATAGGCACGCTGTCTGGATAAGCCGTCATCCTGCCTGTTCCGTATGCCTCACCAGGGAAAATAATTCCTTGTGCGTACACTTTATCTGCAGCTGTTCTCAACAGAAACTTGGCAAGTTGACAGAGTGGGGGAAGGGGGAGGGAGAGGGAAGGGGGGGAGGGGGGGGGGGGGGGGGGGTGCAACTGATGTTCATACAATACTGTATATTACAAGCCACCGACGATGGGTACCACACTATATAGCCAAGCTCTTGTCCCTTACTCAAATTAGCCGGTTGCACATCGATATATATCGGGACATACTTTATACGACGTAATATTCGGGAAAGTCAACTCCTAAAGTACCATATTATCAACACCACAGTCACGTTAGATAAAAGCGCCTCGTACTTAGCCAATCCCGGGCACAAACAAAACCAAGTTAGAAAGTGAGTCAAGTTATCTTCTGATTTCTCAACCTCTGTGGAGTAGAAGTTGACTCGTGTTTTGTTGTCGATGGTAGGACATCGTTTTTCCGCGGAGCTATAACAGTGTTCAGCAAGACGGTATTATGGGGGACGTGAACTTCTCACAGAACCGCCCTCGCGCCGTGGTTTTTGACCTTGGCGACGTCCTCTTCTCCTGGTCCGCCAAGACCACAACAACCATTCCAGCGCGAAAGTTGAGAGAAATTCTCTCGACACCAATCTGGTATAGTTATGATCGTGGTGAGATAACTCGGGATGCCTGTTACGAGCTCAGCGCTCAGAAATTTTCGCTCTCGGCGGTTGAGATTGCCGAGGCGTTTTCCCAGGCACGCGAGTCTCTCCAGCCTGATGCTGCTATCGTATCGTTTCTTCAGGAGTTGAAAAAGGACCCTACAGTCAAAGTGTACGCCATGTCAAATATTGGAAAAGAGGACTTTGAGGAACTCACAACTAAAATCGAATGGACGCTTTTTGACCGAGTGTTCACCTCAGCAGCCGCAGGCAAGCGGAAACCAGAGCTAGGGTTCTACCGCGATGTCCTGGACCATATTGGTCTAACTGGCAGCCAGGTTCTCTTCATTGATGATAAGGGGGAGAATGTACATGCAGCGCAATCTTTGGGCATTCGAGCATTCGTCTTCGGGGAGTCGACGATTCACCGGCTGCACAGAATTTTTGATAGTGCAGTCGGCAAGGGCTGGGGATACCTGTTCCAAAATGCGAAGCACTGCGACTCCGTCACAGACAGCGGAGTCTCGTTCAAGGATAATTTTGCGAAATTGTTGATTGCGGACTCATTGCAGGACCAGTAAGCCAGCTGCCCCCAAGACGTCAAAGTGGGTGTCGTAGGTAGTCAGACTAACACAATAATCATTAGAACCCTCGTCGATCTCAGTTGGGGATCTAGGGAGACCTGGAATTTCTTCGCCGGTGGGATCCCCTTCCAAGCGTCAGCTCATGTTAATATTGAGAAACGACGGGACTGACGAAGATGGATTGCCAGACAAAAGCGCACTCATCCCAGGAGGTTATTTCCCAGACGATTTGGATACCACATCTCTCGCCCTCACAGCTCTTCGGCCGTCATCAGCCAAAATGATCTCGTCTGTTCTTGACACGATGGCTAAATATGCCAATGACGATGGCAACTTCCAGGTAAGCCATCCGTCCGTCAGCATAGCCAGGGCGATAGGAACGAGACCTCCTTCGCTAATCGGCGCAACAGGCGTATTTCGACTGGAATAAAAGACGAACCGACCCCATCGTCAACGCGAACATCCTCGCCTGCTTTTACTCGTATAATCGCGGCCGCGAGTTCGAGCGCACCCTCCAACTCGTGCGTTCGACGCTACTAGACCGTTCCTATCTAGGGGGGACCCGGTACTATTGCTCGGCAGACTGCTGTTTAGGATTCATCGGGCGCCTGCTGCGGTCGTCGAGCGATGCCCATCTCCAGACAACGCTGGGTGCGTTGCTGACGTCGCGAGTGCGTGAGCGCGTCGGGTTGTGTGGCAGCGCGTTGGATTTGGCTATGCGCGTCATCACGTGCGCTCAGCTGGGGATTGGGTGCGAGGACGATCGCCGGGCGTTGCTGAACTTGCAACGTGAGGACGGGAGTTGGGATGGGGGTTGGATCTACCAGTACGGGTCAACGGGCGTCAAGATTGGGAATCGCGCGGTGACTACGGCGATGGCGGTTGCAGCCCTCTCGTCTGAAGACACTGCCATTCCGGAGAATGCCACGAACAAGTCGACCGGTACGAACGGGGTGAATGGGGTGGACGGGGCAGCGAGCGGATAGGAGGGATGGGACGCAGATTCGAGGTTTTGGAGGGTTCTCCCCGTCAGAGTCGACGTTCAAAAACGACATAGGCAGCTGGATAGATAATAGAAGGAGATATGAGAGAAAGAAAGTCCAAGGAGCTACACAGTTGAATTTCGGCGACCATGAGGGAAACTTGCGTGTGCCGCGCGTTACCTAATTAGGGTTGAGATGATGAACCGGAAAATGGAATTCGGTGTCATCATCACCGGAGGCAGACCTGCTGGTAGGGATTACATCTCAATGCGCTTAGTACACACCTACTTAGTAAGTACTGCCTACATAGAGGTACTGTGTGTTGTGTCTCCGCTCTTGTCCGTTGCTTCTGTGATTCTGCTTACCAGCCCAGCAACTGCTTCTCGTCTCTTCAGTCGCGGAAGGAGATACCGGCCACCTGCTCGCTTAAAAACAGGCATTCGCACACCAAGCGGTTAGTCAACATCGTGTACATAGCAGACACAACGATCTGCTGCCTAACTACCTATCCTTGGGCGTATTTATGTAACATCACAGAGACTTGTATTATCTGCCCGAGATTGACGGCGAGAGGAATTCCATCTGCGAATCGGTCGCTCCCAGAGTCTTACGAGCCTACAAAGAAAGGCTCTGGCAGGAAATTCAAACGGCTTACGACGGGTGTGTTGGGTGATTCGGGGGTTACACGTTGCCAGACTGTCACGCTGCCGATCGGCGGGTTCTTCATGCCAAGCAAGTGACAACAGATGTTGCCATATTGGGGAGCTATTCGCAATTCAGGCCCACCAGCAGACCCATACTACGTTAACCGCTGCTACCATTGCATCCGTAAGTGACACTCGCGCGCCGTGCCGAGTATCTGCAACTTCTCTTCTGCTGCGCAGTAGCTATTCGGGGGCCTCACATATGGGCATTTTTTCTAGGCACGCACGCGCACCTTCATCTCTCTCCCGGTCACTGATATTCGGTAGGTCGTGTTGGCCCTGGGAAACAAAACCCGAATACGCAGGCACTAGCAGCTCTCTGTGAATCCTGCCTCGTCTGGCCAAGCGACTGCATCCAGGGGAACCCACTCCAGGTCCTCACCGTCTTCCGCACTCGCTTAACACGACTCCATACCTGCAAATTCATCTCTAGGCAGTAGCTCATCCGTCGTAGAACACGTGGTGGGCGGACAAGAGTCCCAACGTGGGATGTACACGTGGGATTGCTGGCACACCACCTAGACTGGTCTCGCCGTCGAGGGCGCGGACACACCCGGCTAACCACATACTCATAGAGAGCAAATGATAGGGGCAGGGCGCCGTGGCAATGGCTCTCATTTGGTATCGGCTTTCCGCGCTGGCGGCATCAACTAGACTAATACATACCCGGATAGTTCCGACTTACACAAACCGACACCGGGTTAGCCTGTGTCCGGGGATGCCATCCTCCAACGTGTCCAGCCATGGAAACCGAGGAATCACTAGGAGCATTGATTGCCCATAGTTATCCATGTGGACATAGATATTAGCACGTAAGGGATTACCAATACAACAGCAGAGAGCGTTCGGGTTGGATACCATTCAGGTTCTCGGATTCAGTTGCCCGTCTACTCAGCACGAGACCAGATATCCGCCCGCAATATCTGCCGCGCCCCGGGATTGTGGGGGCACTGTACCTACGTATTTGCTCCGGTCCGCTCAACACTGCTGTTAGCTAAGGGGCTATAAGTAAAACCGTGATGTGGGATGTCCAAAGGGTCGGTCCTCGAACCCGGCCCCCGGTGGTCGACATCTGTTGTCGGTTGCCGTGTCGGCGCTGTTACTACTACCTGCTATTCACGAGCTACGATAGGAAAACGTAGGCGCTCATGGTCCCCTGCCTGGTAACAGAGGCTAATATCCCTAACCCTCTACGCCGCAGGTTCATCAGGACCGTTTTCCACTTTTATATACTTCCAACCACACATTTCCCTGTATTGTTACAATACGGGAATGGAAATGAAGTAATGTCACGATCCCCGGAAGAGAGGTCCCACCTAGGCTTAGGTAGCCCGTGCTAGCTTACCCGCAGCCGACCACCTGACCCATTTTCGAATCGGGAAGGTAATAAAGCTTGCTACCATCAACGGGATGTCGGGAAATCATTACCTGAGGAAGATCTGGCGAAAGAACCTGCTGGTTAAGCAACGGAACTTACGGCAATCTGTTTCTGAAAAACGTGTTATGCAAGTGAAACTCCGTCAGAGTCGCATTGAGGGTGCATTAGCTCTATTTCCCCTATGATCCTTAGAGACCATCTAATTGTGTCGTGCCTGGCCAGACCACAAGCTATCTCCCTGCCTAGCTGTAGCTCAGAGGCACGGCTCGAAGGCCGAAGCTCTCGGGCGTGTTTGGATGTGGCATCGCAGAGATTACCCAGCTCCTAACTACGTTTTCCATGTCCCGTGTGGCGATCATTCGAGCGCCTACCACCGAGCGATGGAATCATGGCCTGGGTGAGGATCAAACAGGGTGAAATCTAGTTGCCTAAGTGCGCGCGAGCGGTGAAAGCGGCCGGGCTGGCAATGAATGCGGAGGGCGGCGGGGTCGAAATGTGGGCTTCGTGATACGAGGTTGGGGGGAGACGGAGAACGGGAACTAAGGTCGAAGGCCGCTAGAAGCCTCTTGCGTGGGCAGATCACGCACCCGCCGACACCACCTAGCCCAGCACGCTCACGTAACGTTATAGGGCGTCCTAGAGCCTGAGCCTCGCTCACGCCTCAACTGTGGCCATCATCCACTTTCATCGCCCCGAGAATAAGCTTAGTGGCCAACCAGCAGGAAAGATCTACCGCCGCGCCGCCTCACAGACAATGGGGAGGGGGGGCCTACTTGGGCTATGCAGAGATCAGCACAATCGGATTTGCAGATCCTTCTCACGAAATGGGCAGCACGATCCAGGGGTGACAGGTGGCGCGACCAGCCGCTTCGGCCTCGTCCTAGCTGAATTTTCCTAGCTGATGCGGCGCGGATTACCTAACTCATCCCAGTTAGGTGACTCTTTTTTAGTGGTCAATGTTCAGGGCCTGCACCTGTTACCTAGTCGAAGGCGAGAAAGGGGCGATCGATCCTTCGATTCGCCTGGACTGCCAGGCACCGGGATTGCATATAGTAATCCTTCCTCATGCGACCGGACGTCGTCGCTAGATGTCAGTATATGGGCGGGGCGTACTTACATACTACGAGCCTGCGGTGGCGTATGAGTAGCGACCGCGCTCCGAACGCTATGTGGGATGTGGGACGGGTGTTAGGAGGTATCGTTTGTGCCTCGGCAAGCGACTGGGCGCGCAGATCTGGGGGATGACATCGGACGCCCAGCCTGTGCTAGCGGCATTTGCAAATGGTTGCACCTCGGGGAACAAGGGATCTTTGGAAACAAGCATCAGGTTAGGAACGATACCCACACGTCCCGGAACGCCGCCATGTGTAGCATTTTCTCAGGTAGGTATAATTCCACACCAAAGCCACTAAAGACCGTGTCAGTTCGTAGTTGGATCCATTCAGCCCCTCGCCGTCTCCACATCCGGCCACTGTTGCCCAGATCGGGAGCCCCGGCATTGGCATTTTATCTCGGTGCCTAATCGATCAGCGGCACAAGCCGGTCAGATGAGAGAGAAATACCAACATAGCGATTCTACTATGTCATTTTCCACCCGCTACGTGGCGGCGCGCCGGGACTCATCACCCAAATAATAAACAACGAGGCGCGGTCGTGTCAAATAGAATATTAGCCAGCAATGGCTACAGTGCGGTGAAAGTTATCCCATACGTACCTAGCTGACCCCCTCTCAAGCTGGCACCTACATGATGCGCACAGTCTTGTGGGGGTTGGACCAAGACCCTGGGCGGTGGGAATAAGCCTTCTTCCCGCTCTGGACGACACCAGCAGTGGTGAGCCAAGAATAGCACAAGCTCAACCAATGCCACCAATCATATTTGTTGTTCTACCAATTAAATTCCGAATCGGGACCTTGGAGTAGTCTTTGCTTGACAGCCCGGCCCAGGCCGTTTTACCGTGCTGTCAGCTGTCACTGCAGGCCTACCATCGATCCGTTACACTAAATACCTATAATCCCAGGGCTGATTTGGACCAAAGTCTCTTCTATAGACTTCTCGTATAGACAGGCTATGGCTGATGAAAACACGCCTGCCTGAATTCCTTGGGCTAGTTCAGTCAGATTACCTAATCCTTCGACTACGACCATGTTAGGGGGCGCTACCTCCATCGCACGACAACAATTTATGCTCGGTTCAATTTGGTGGGTCGACGATCTTGCCTCATGATATCAGTGGTGGCCGAAGACGTAGAGGCGAGAGCTAGGATCGACGGTAGCTTGAGGCTTTGAATCCTGGCTTCGTTGACATGCAGTGTACTCGATAGGATTGGTGATCTAACCGTTGGGGCCTCGCATAGGGTCAGCTTACAGGAGGGGGCGTGGCTACAATGCCAGCGAGGTCGATGGCAGCGAGGTTAGCGAGTCCACCGTAGGAACCGGACATCCTAGCAGACAAAGGTACCGAGATTTGTCAACTCATAAGCTGCGAAGAGGAAAGCGGAGTAGCAAGGGCCGTGGACTCGGTCCGCACCAGCCATGAGGAGATGGCAAGAGAGCAGCCGGCCATACGACGCGAGATCAACCTCCATAGCCACGCCAGGCAGCGAAGGCGGAGGCGGATGATCACAACGCCGTTCGGGGGGGGGGGGGGGGGGGGGGATGGTTTGAACGACCGTGATATAGGACCAGACAGGTTACCGAAAAAAAGTATAAAGGTGACATTTTGGACAGCCGCTTTCCAGGAAATATCACCCACTCATCTCACCATCAGCCAACAGCCCTAAGCCACTTCAAGAACTCTCCCTCTCTCGCTACACAGTTCACTTCCCTCGGAAGACCTCGACCAAGACCACTCGCAACAAAGACATCCCAGTCTATCAGAGCTTTTCGAAAGAAACCTCCTCGGCCGCCAACATGCAGTTCGCCAACATCTTCGTCGTCCTCTCCATGGCCGTCGCCGCCTTCGCCGCGCCGGCTGCCGAGCCTGTGGCGGCCCCCGAGCCCGAGGCCCTGGCCGAGATCGAGGCGCGCGCGGTCAACTTCAAGGTAGCTTGGGGCCAGCAGCTGCAGAACCACGACCAGGCAAACCACTGGGTCGTCTGGGTCGAGGGCGAGAGCGCGTGCCCGGCGGCCATCGAGCTCGCGGCGCTGACGCGCTCTCCCTGCGGCCGGCGCTTCAACTTCAAGGGCCAGACCCTCTCCCTCGGCGACTGCGCCGACAACAAGCCCCGCAGCCTCCTCAACTCCAGCGGCAAGAAAGTCAAGAGCTGCGGCGCCAACGGCAAGAAGAACAGGAAGATCAACTGCAAGGGTAGCCAGCACGACATCGTCCAGCACGGCTTCTGCAAATAGACGGCCGCTCGAAGCTCTCTCCCCGGCATCGACATTCGACACGACGGATTCCCCACGGAACTAGAGGATGGAAGGCAAACCGGAGGACTTGAGATGGTTGGGATGGGTTTCGATGATGAAGGGGTGGTTGGGACGACAGCGGCTCGACAGCGAGATGAATAGTTGGCGACTTCGATTCCATGGACACCCTTCTTGTAAATTCTTTTAGGGTTCACGCTTCTCTGTGCATATATTGATATTCTCTCTCCCTCTCAATGTTCTTTGACCTCAACTGCTGAATGCTGCATTCGTGATAATTGTTTTCTTTGGCCGTCACTCACTCCTTTTCTCGATTTGCGGCTGTGGTGGAAGGAAGTGACCGCGATTTGGGGTTTGACGTCGCCTCCGGCTTCTTTCCCAGATCCTTTATCATCTCCTAGGGACCCATTTTATAGACCCAATGGCCGCCAGCGAAGATGCCCAGAGTTGCGAGCTGAGATGCGCCAAATTTCTGCGCTGTCAATCGGGCCACCGGCTTTCTCCTGAGTATCCATAGTCTGTGAGTAGGTATTAATGATAGAGTGTCAGGCCGCAAGAATCGCCAATACTAGGCTAGGACGCACAAAACGGGAAGAAAGAATGTGTATATGCAATTCGAGCATCGTTTAACGCACATACTTGAGTTATCGGACGCGCCTTCGAAGGCCTGGGACGATGAGACGGCACTCGAGGTTTTGAGACTCGGGCGATTATCTACGTGACGTACTGAGTGGAAGATAGTTTTGTGGTAAGTCAGCTTTGTGGCAGGAGAAAACTGCCGAATAAGCATGACTACAAAATTGGAGTGCGAAATGGAGATGTATGACGCAATTATTATCCTGCTCGAATATAAGCGAAAGAGAGAGAAAGGGGAGCAGCCTCCTAAATATGAATGAAGGTGGCATCTTTATTACACTGAGGGCGGGCTTCAACACGTATCATCGTCTCTGGTGACGGGAAGATAATGTCGTCACCTTAACACCCCCTAGACCGCCGCCCCACGACTCACTTTCGAGGGTTCATCTTCGGTGTTGTCAAGTGTCAACAGTCTCATCACGCCTGACATATACTTAACCGGGGACGTGTATAGGCATCTAATACGTCTTCACCCGGCAATATCTGGATTTCACTGTCGACCTGTCCGGCAAAAATACTAGGTCGAGAAATCGTTGCTGATGGGGGCGGAGAGGACGGTATTCGAAGAACAGCTGTTTCCCCGGATTTTCACGGCACGATAATATTGGACAGAAAGTTTCTAGGATAAAGAACGAACATTTCCTCTAAATGACCATAGAAGAGGAAGGAGGGTGAGCCAGATCCAGTGCGTCGATTCTTGCTGTACTAGCAAATCCAACCTTTGATCAAACCAGTGCCGGTGCGAACAGAGAGGGGGCTGAGGAGAATTGGTTAATGGCTCACGGAAATGGGCAGGGCCTGCAGTGCCACCAGGTATGCTATTGCTGTGTGACCCCTCTGCTACTCGTGAAGCTGGTTGCACACCAAATACATGAAGTGAACCCTCAGCCGGCTTCTCTTTCGGCAGGGATAAGAACCGGGACTCGAAGGGCCCGGACAGGCACCACCCCTCTCTTTTTACCAAGCCTTGCTTCACAGTATTATTATATTATCGGAGGTACCCCCTGACCATAAACACCTGCCGCCGAGGGTAGCCCTAGATGGAATAGGTAATGAGTCGCGAGGGTGTGACAAAAGGCTGATCTCTGTAGGAAGAGGGGAAACGATCGACTGCGGTGTATTTATTACCCATACGTATTAACCCACTCATATACACCACCGCAACCTCATATCGAATACCTACCAATCGGAAGTCGACTCTGTGTGCGATGCTCGTCAGCCCCATCTCTACATTGTCATCACTACTGGGGGGTTAGACGCCGTACGTTTACCCCGGCACCACTGCGTTGGTTGAATAGATATACGGCCAATGCCGACCAATACTTTGGGCTTCGGGTCCGCGATGGCTACTTCACATCGAATACCTACGTTGCACCGCAGGGCTAGAATGCCTGGGCAACAGCTTTCAGCGTCGCTTAAGAGCCGTTTGGAAAATCGTGTCGGTAGCGTCGTCCCGAGCTCGATAATGAGGTGAACCATCTCCATAATGTGGAAAAGATGGGAACTCCAGTCAGAATTAGGGCGGGAGAAGGGGGGGGATAGGTCCTTCTCTACCATTAAAATCCATGTGTCCACGCTGATGTTATATGTGTTAGGTGGTGGAACGTAGGAGAACCGTCGACCGACCTATCAGGGGCCCCATGATGGCATCTCTTTGCATCAGCATGGGTCCGTCCAGGACGACGGCGGGTGCCACAGCCTGAGGATGCGGTCGTAAAGCCTGTTCCCGCTGGAAGCTATATGTCACCAGGATATCCCAAGGGCTCGGTCTCATCCCCCCTACTCTGTTCCACATCGGAAACCCCACCGACTCGTTTCCCGTCTTGCTAGGCGCTTGGATCGTGCTGGTTCGAGCAAGAAGACAGCATGAACAACACCGATCTTTACCTGTCGAATGGCACTTGTTTCTTCGGCCCGGGCCAGGTTGCCGACGACAATTACATCCCCTGCGGAAATGCGGCATTGTCGGGACCCCAATCTTGCTGTTACGCTGGGGACTACTGTCTCTCGAGCACGGCGTGCTGGAATGAGCTATGTGTGTACTCGCCGTTACAAGCGGCCTGATGGCGCCTTCGTGTGGAGGAACTAATAGAGGCTAATACGAGTCACTAATAGATGTCGTAACGTACATTGCCGGGTGTACAGACTCCACGTTCAGCTCGGCGAAGTGCACCAACAAGTTCGACTACCCTGGTCAGCAGTATGTCGCGATGGCCAGGTGCGAGGGTGACCAGGTGGATATATGGTCGGGCTGCTCACACCACCCCGAGTGGATCGAGATACTGAAGGAACCAGATTGCGCCTGCAACGCTTCGCAGGCACTCATCAGGAACTCGAATGGCGAATCCACCCTCGACAATATCGGAAGCCTCCCCCCTACTCCCGGAGGCACGATCTCGTTCAACCCCACCGCAATTCCTACCAGGAGGGCTACTTCGTCCAGCAGCATCTACGTCTCCGCCACCCAAACCTCAACCCCGGCAGCGACAACGGACTTTCCTCCTGACGACAGTTCATCCCGAGGTCTCTCGACGGGCGCTAAGGCCGGCATCGGTGTCGGCGTCGGCGTCGGCGTGCCTCTCGTCGCCGCACTTGCCTTCGTAGCCTTCTTCCTTCGCCGCAGGAACAGAAAGGCCGCTCAAGAGCCCCCAGCGGCGCCTGAGGTATCGGCGGCTCCTCCCCCGCGCGACGGAGATACTGGTGCTGCCGCCGCTCGAGTAGAGCCGGGTAGTTCTCCAGACTCCCTAAAAGAGAATACCGTCACGCCGGACCCGCCGGAGCCGAGCCCGACGGGGTTCGTATACAAGCCGGAGCTGTCGGGCAACCCGACCCTCAAGTCCGAGCTGGCCGGCGACGAACCCCCCAGTAGCCTGGCGTCGTCGAGCTGGAACTCGGGGACGCTCGAGAGCCACCAAGTCTCGGAGCTGTCGGGTCTAAACGCGATCCCGAAATCTAGGAAGTCGTTTTGATCGCGCTTGCCGAGATGCGGGCAGAAGACGCGATGCCTACTCACTCCGATACCGTAGAGGGGATAACGACGACCCTGGTAAGTGGGATAGAGGCTTGGGGGAGCAGAGCAGGGTATTCCGATTTCAATGTTGCCATAAGTATCGAATCCTGATATTTGCGTGTCCGCGTATGCTAGCAGCAGCACCTACCTACCTACGAGTCGCTTCTTTTGTAAGCCTGAGTACAAACAGCTACTCGACAATTCCAGTTTGTGTGAAGGAGAACCCCATTGTCAGCAGGCTCCCGATTCTCGATTCTGAGCTCGGAGTTGAGCCCCCGTGGCTAAAAGATACCTACCTCACCTCCGATTATTTAAGCAACCCCGCCTAGGTATCTAAATAGGGGTAAAATAGGGGGGCGCCCGACAAGACCAAGTTCGCATTAAACAAATCCTCAACGGCGGTAAGGGAATAGATATATATATATTGATGTTATTCTTAGAATACGCCCGGCACAGGAAACGGTCCTCACGATGCGAGGATGGCGGCTTGCCACAATACTTATGACCGCATCTACACTCCGAGACCGCCTTGGCGGCTACTTTGCCGTAGGGTCTAGCGTCAAATGCCATCACCACCACGACAACTGCTATTATTGTTGTTATATCACCATATCTACCACCACCTTACCGCAATGTAACCGTATCCGCTAACCCATCCGACCGTACAAACTATCCGAATAGTTCCATATTGAAATAGACCTTTCCCCAATAAACTTCACAAGAACCAGGTACCTGATATCTGAGACCGATAGTAATTACCTAGGTAGAGATAGGAACAACGCATTGAAAGGCGCCTTTTATGATAAACTTGCAGATTAGACCGCGTCTGGTCTGGCGACGTCCTCATGTTCTCACTAGCTGGCGGTCTTCGTTGGTCCCTCCAGACCGCAGAATATTACAAAGAACTCGCGTGCCGAATATCTATCAATTGATATTCTACCCACCGCCTCATCGACCGAGAATCGTCTGCTCCCGCGCGCAGCGACGCGTCCAGGTCCTAGCTAGCACGTCGGCGCCTCGTCCAGACCTTCATATCGGCTTGCGCTAGCCTGGCCTGCTACCGTGTATTACCCGGGAACCAGGCATAGGGGATGGATCCGCGGCAAGGGGAGGGAGATGGCAGCTGCTATTTTTATCCCGATCTGGGCCCGGAGGGGCGCGGCGAGCGGAGCCTTACCGGCCTTTCGGAACGTGATGCCACGCAGGGTAATATGGCTAAAGTCTCTGGGACCGCGATCTAGAGCGTGTCAGCAGAGGGAGGCACCGCGCCCCGCGCCCAGGGAAACCCCGATATGATGGGATGCGATCGGAAGATGTGGCGGATGGTGCCGTGCTATTAGTACCTCGACAAAGGCGTCGTCGTGCTCGCCGCCGCGTCCGTCCGCGACTATAAACGAGGCCAGTCTCGCTCGCACTGCAAAGCAGATAGCTCGAAAACGATCGTCGCCTAAAGTTCAATCAGCAACGAAGCAGTTCAGTTCCGAACCTCCTATCGCGATCGACACTCAAACCTCCCGTCGTGGTAATATCGTCGCGCTTGCACCCTCTCTCACGACGCTCCCGCACCCACGCCCTTCATTCGACACGCACAGCTCACCACACGCTCCAGCACAATGCTCGTCCTCTCGCCGCTCACCCGGGTCCTCGCACTGGCGCTCAGCAGCGCGTGCGCGGGGGCGGCGCTCGGCGAGCAGCAGAAGCCGGTCGCGGGGGGGGCGCCGTTCGCGCCGCCGACGATCGAGACGCTGTCGTTCTCGGGGAGCGGGTGCCCGCAGGACGGGGCGGGGCGCAAGCTGGTGTCGGGGGGGTGGCAGCACTTCGCGGTGACGCTGCCGGACTTCGCGGCGGCGATCGGGGGCGGCGCGGGCGTGGCCGCGCGCAGCGCCAGCTGCCAGGCCCACGCGCGCCTCGGCGCCGCCGCCCCCGGCTGGCAGGTCGCGCTGCGCGACGTCTGGACCGCCGGCCGCGCCGAGCTGCGCGGGCCCGGCGTGCGCCTCGCCCAGTTCGTCACGACCTACTTCAGCGAGGACGCCGCGCGCACGGTGCGTCGCCGCCCACCCCTTTTTTTTTTGCGCTCGCGAGCCCCGGCTAACCGCGTCAACAGGTGTCCGCGAGCCAGACGGTGGCGGAGACCGCGGTCGACGGGGCCCCCGCGGCCGTCGCCGAGGACGTCCAGGTCCACGCCCGCATCCCCGCCGACAGCCTCGTCTGGTCGCCCTGCACCGGCCCCGACGGCTACGTCGGCCTCGTCAACGTCAACTTCCGCGTCGCCTTCACGTCCGCGAACAAGGCCGCGTCGGGCTACTTCGGCGCGAGCAAGAACGCGACGGTCAGCGAGCGATGGGGCTGGACGTGGAGACGATGTTAGGTAAGCGGGAGGGGGAGAGTCTGGGGTTGGGCAGGGGGCAGGGGTGGCGGTGCGTTGGTTGATTCCTGTTTTTCGTGTGCGCAGGTTAGATACGCAGGAAGACGATAGAACGTAAACATTGTTGCCTTGTCTATACGACTTGGGGAGTCTTTTCTTTTGTTTGGGGATAGTCGTCGTGCTATGGTAGTGTTATCATCGTCGTCGTCCAAAGTGGAAGGGGGGAGTCGGCCCGCCCTTACGTAGGTAAATGGAGCTGAGTGGATTCCGACGCGGTCCTCAACCAACAACAACAACAACAATGTACTACCTAACTCCTGCCCAATGCCTCATAGCTTTCCGGCCTTCTATCTGAATAGCATAGATGAATTTCGTCGAGTTAAGCATCTTCGGCTCCCATCAATTTTCAGACCTATACCTACCCAGTACCGACCAGTTTATCCCCTGCCCGCCCCTACGAACGCACTCACACGGACATAGAGTCCACTGCGCTGAAATTACGTACATGTACCTACGTGCATATAGTGTTGGTAGGGGTGGGTAGGCTGTCGACATGTTCCCCTAGAACTAGAACTTGCTCATATTGGCGCCGAGCCAAGATCTGCTGCTGGCGCTGCTACCAACCAAGCCGGGACGACAAGCTGCTGATACGATACGATCGGGCGGAGATCTAGGTATCGTTCCCGCTGCATCAAGCGGTACCTGACCTCTTAGGACAGGAGGAGAGAAAGAGGAAGCAAGAGAAACGTGACCATCTCCCTCTCTGCTCGAATCGGATCAGCCTATCTGTTATCCACAGTTTACCGGGTACGCGTTGGGTACAGTGTGTGGACACTGAGAGAGATTGCGCTTGTTAAGTCGAGCCTACCCCCTCGGGTCATAGATGAGGCGACGCACAGAGTATCATACACGCATCGTGTAGAAACAGATGGTACACGCATAATTGAGGACATAGCGAGTGTCGAAGACTCATGCCTTTCTTGCCTAATAGGTATAACCGCAGCGGCGTAGTAACGGAACCCTTGTTTATCGTAGAGATAGCGACGTATGCCTAACTACCTTGTTGACCCGCGTGCCCTGTCCCTCTAGGTGGCATGCGAATACTCGCTCACGAGACTGTGTCGACGATCCCAAGCTCAGTCTATTAATATGATATACTCATCCCATACACGACCTAGTAGTTTCTCAGTGCCGCGCTCTCACGATCCGGGACCGTAGGTATGCAGACAGGCAGCCTCGTACCACAGCATCCTTATTCCCTCCTACTTCCGTAACACGGTTCAACTCCCCCTAACCCTCACCCCCCTATCGGCCATGAAGGTGAAGCCCCGGGAGCGTATCTCGCCATGCAGCGCCGTGTTGCTCGCTGCCGAGCTCGGGCTCGTGCTTACCACCATGTCGCTGCTGTGTTGTGCGTACCCGGAGAGAGTGCGGAGGACTTTATGGCAGATCGGCGGGGAGAACGGCTGGAACTCGAACCCGCGTCTGCGCGTCTACTTTTACGCCAACTACGAGAAGCCGCCGGACATTCCTCCAATCTGGAGCCAGAGGTACGTGGGCTAGATGGAGGGCGGTTACCGAGACAGCACTTTCCATGCACGGTGACGGGGTAGAGGAGACAACTAACGGTTCTACCAGGCTCAGCGAGTCCAACCTAGCCATCTCGGTGCTCGCCGTGGTGATAAGCATGGTGCGGATCGTGCTGGCCTTCCTTGGCAGCGCGTCGAGCTTTTCGGCCGTCTTCAACGCGTTCAACGACATGCTGCTGTCGGGATTCTGGATGTACAGCGTGGCCGCGCAGTCGTCCAGCGACCTCACCGACCCGGGACACCTCAGTTTACGGCCGTGGTACCTCGAGAAGAGCTGCGAAATTCTGCACGAGAGCGTCGTACACCACTGCGTACTCGCCAAAGCCTGCTTTGCCTTCTCAGTCCTGTCGTTGTGAGTGTGCTGAAACGAAGTCGTGCTTTTCGGCCTCGCCCGATTGGGGAAGGGCATTGCGAGCTTGGCGCTGACGCGAGAAAATGAAACTAAAACGCCGCAGAATGCTCTTCCTCGCTCGATCGGTATATTCTGTTCTCAAACTCGCATACTGGTGCGGCAGTCGCCAGATGCTCGACCGAGGGGTAGCAGTCATACTGGTGCACTCGAGGCTGAAAAGGGGCCTAGAAGCCAGCCACGCGAGCCCCCTTTTCAGTATACGGAGTAACCACTACGACTACGACTACGACGATGACGACGACGACGGCGGGGAGGATGTGAATAGTTGTGATGAACATTGTAGCCGGACGAAGAACAGCGTATTCTGGGTGTGGCATAATAACGATGACGAGTCTTGGGGGCCACCACGGGGCGAATAGGTAGCCGGGGCAGCTAGCCGAAATCACGAAGCAATCAAAATTTTGGGAGCTCGGAGCTTGCCCCGTCGCCTTAACCGCGGTCGCGCAGGTAATAATATTTATGCCCCGTGAAACCATCCGCTGGGAGTTCCCGGTGCGCTATGGCGCGCCCCGTCTACCGCCTCCTTCTTAGCGATACTGTCCTGCCGCAAAGCGTCGCGGTCGCTTGGCTCGCTTTGCTGATAATCCTCCTCAAGCGACGTAATTGGCCCTGTATCGCCAGTGCGACGACGGAAGCGACAGCGACAGCGACGACTGGTGCCGGCGTTGTGAGTACGGTTACCAGTGGCACCAACACCCGGGCTTCCATCCTGCCCTACCACCCAATAGCCCGACCGTTCTGTCAACGGCCCAGCTGGCTAGCCGCAAAGTGTCCAAAGGGGTGGCGTTGGCCGACACGAGAACAGCAAGTAGAGAGGGGAGATAGCGACGAAGGCATACCTATGTCTGTCTGTTAGGTCAATTGCCCAGTATTATGAAAGGGCATTAGGTGCATAGCTATCGTCGGGCAGGGGTCTTGGGGCACACAGGTGAATTGTCATAATTCATAATATATCGAGTATCGTGGTTATTATTCGTATCAGTTATTCATATTCCCTTCTCTCTGCTGTCCCGACGGGGATGTGATGTTGAGCAAGTTATATACTTTCCTACATCCCGATCCGTCGATCCCCCCCGTATTCAGGGCCGTGACAGGCTCGCCTCCTTGTCAAGCACACGGACGTGGTTACATGCTGAGTACATAGCTCGCATCGCCGCACGCTGCCTGTCAGCCAACTTCGTCGATGTATTCCGAGGTATCGCACCCACGTGTATTACAACGTGGAATCCGGGCTGTACCCGTCGACTGGGACCGCACATGTACATGCATTTAGACGACGGAGACCCGCTGCAGGGGGGACCGGGAGGGGGGTGCGAAGGTGGGACTCGCTTGCTACGCCCACGCCCCGTGCCTCCTCGACCTTTTTTTTTTATATGCTGTCCCTGTTAGTCACTGAGCGTTTGCGCATCCGATCTGGGAGGTGAGTAGGTAGGTACCTATTGCCTAGCTTAGGCGAGGTAGGCACCTGGGTAGGCACCTCTTTCTAGCCATGCAGGCGTACCTGCCGAGAGAATAAGAGCAGGAGCGGAGGGCACGAGCACGAGCACGAGCGAGAGCAAGACCAAGAGCAAGAGCCGGAGCAGGAGCAGGATCTAGAGCAAGAACATGGCCAGATATAGGCCTGCGCTTATTGGACGACGCCGCACGCCCCATCCCATAATATTACGCTCAACGCTCATCGCTCGTCGGGGCGGGCAGGGGCTACCCCCGGAACGCCTGCTCTGGTCGGTGAGTGATGGTGATTCCATGTCAGTTACGTTACGTACTTCTGTCTCGTTCCGCCGCTTCCTCACTGGGTCATTCGGCGGGGGGAGTAGAAGGGGGGGGATGGGCGATTGCCTCCTTCACGGCAGTAGGAGGCTGTAGGTGGAGTGGTAGATAGGTATTAGGTACCTACTTCTCTGTCCAGCTACCTAGACCTCTGTTGTCACCCACCTGCAGTGACCTGCGTACCCGAGCGGCGCTCCCATAGCCGTCTGTCTCCCACCTAATATGGCTAAGTTACCCAACGGTATCTCCGCCGTCGCAGCTCGTAGGGCGGATAAAGTAGACGCTGGCGTTGCTTTTATATTCATCCATACACCCGTGCTGGCCCAGGAACCACATACCGCGCCTGGTCTGCGGTCATCTCTCTCCCTACCCCCGTCTCTCTCCGTGTTACTGACTACATAAATACCCATCCTCGACCTATTCCGTAGCCGTATCGTACCAGCCGCACTCGTTTCTTGTTTGGTTTTGGTTAGTCTTTCTCTGGCCCCGAAGTCTCAACCCAGGTCTTCCGTAACGAACCGGTTCTCGTTGTCTTCCCACGGCGGCGTCGGCGGCGACGACACGCCACCCCTAAACGCACAACTCGAGTACAAGTAACTACCATCATCGGCCGAGGACGTCTGATCGCCCCAGCCGGACGAGATGGATCACATGTCGATGGGGGGCGGCACGCCCTGGCTCGACCAACCCGTCATGCTACACTCGTCCCGCGCCGATACCTGCAAGTTGACGCCCGAGCAGTGCGCCTACCGCAGCGGATACTGGCGATACTGGTATGTCTCGGCCTCTCTTCCTTCCTTCTCGTCGCGTCTCCTAGACCCCAGCGCTCCCGGGGGGTGGTGTGACAGAAGTAATTGAACATGAATCTGGGTTTCAGGTACCAGGCCGACTATGTCTACGCCCAGGGCACCGTCTACTTCTTCGTCGCAACTGTCGGCCTCTGCTTCCTCGGGTTCTGGACCCAGCGTCTCGCCCCGACCTCCCTGAGGAACCGGGGCTGGTGGAATAAGGGGCTCGCCGGTGTGCGGTTCCTCGCCTACCGCCGCTACGAGACGCCCGCCATCCGATGGCGCATGCCGTCCCTCGGCGTCGGTGTGCTACTAACGGCCGGTTTCCTTTTCTTCTTGCGTGAGTCGGCCCCCGATGCGCGTAGTGGCCGGCTCTTGGGCGCGGACTAACCTGGAGCTTTCCCGCCTCGCACAGTCATGACCCTCGGCCCTCAGCCGTACTACTGGCCCAACACGCAGACGCTGAGTTACGGAAGCTCACCGCCCATCGCGACTAGGACGGGCTGGATGGCGCTCGCCTGCTTGCCCTTCATGCTCATCCTCCCGACCAAGGCGAATATGATCGCTTCCCTGACCGGCGTCTCCCACGAGCGACTAATTGTGTTCCACAACTGGGTCGGCTGGGCCATGTTCGCGCTCGCGCTTGTGCACACCTTCCCCTTCATCGTCTTCCATATCTGGAAGGGCGATATGGTCCATGTGTGGAACACCAGCGTCGTGTACTGGACCGGTGTGGTCGCCCTGATCGCCCAGGCCTATCTCCAAATCTTCTCTCTCCGCTCGATCCGGTAAGTATACTAGTCGGAATACCGCTTACGGTGTCGATGGCTTATATGAAGTATTATAGAGATCGGTTCTACGAATTCTTTAAGGCGACGCACTACGTAGCTGCGCTGGTTTTCGTGGTATTCTTTTTCCTCCATTGCGATTTCCGGCTGACGTCTTGGTGCGTGTCGGCAATCCCTACTGGGACGAAATCACGGGGTAGCTGATGGGTTGCTAGGGACTACTTCATCGCGACAGGTGTACTTTACACTTTGGCCTTCTTCTACCCTCAGATCCGAACCTTTTTCGAATTTGGGATTTCCAACCGCGCTACGTTTACCATGGTTTCCGATACGGCCATGAAGATAACAATCCCCATCGATACGACATGGCAGCCGGGTCAACACATGTTCCTACGCTTCGTTCATATGGGACTACACGCCTTTACTGCCCACCCTTTCACGATATGCAGCATTCCCGCTAGAAGAAACAGCGTGGAGAAGTCGAGGCTTACTTTTTATGTGCAACCTAGGGGCGGCTTAACCGGCCGTCTAGCGAAGGCAGCGTCTCAGCGACCAGGTTTCAGCGTGCCCGTTCTCATCGACGGGCCATACGGCGGCGTGAGGGGGAGGCCGTTGAACAAGTACGATTACAACCTAATCGTGGCCTGCGGCGCCGGTGCCAGCTTCTCCTTACCGTTTGTGATGGAAGGAATCCTGCGCGCGGCTTGGCAAGCGAGGAACGGCAACAGGGAGCCCCTGAGCAAGATGCACGTCGTGATGGCTACTCGAGACCCACAGCTTGTTCATTGGTACGAGGAGGCTGTGGTAGAATTTTTAGAAGAAAATGGACTGGACACGATTCCGGAAGAAGTCATCATCTCGGTGTACCAAACAGGCAGGCCGGAGTCCAAACCCAACAGCACCTCCAAAGAGCCCGAACAGTCGGACGAAAAGCATGGCGTCGAGAAAATGGCTGTCAGACAGGTGCCCATCAACGTGTATTCGGGCCGCCCCGATCTCGGCGTGATTATCAAGGAAGCGACGCTCCAATCCGGCGTTTCTGTCGGCATCGCCGCCTGCGGACCGGGGGGGGTATTGAAGCAGGTTCAGGACGAGGCTGCGGCTGCCCAGCTGCGCGTGGCGGGCTCCGTCAATGGCGCACGCGAAGTGTACCTCCATTCAGAAGTCTTCTCGTAAGTCGATACCCAACTCAAGGCTCCCTCCCTAGGCACTACGTAGCCGCTGCCGCTAACAACCGCTCGACACAGATGGTAGGTGGACCGGCATGGCAACCTGGGACAAGAGGATTGCCACGTATTGTCAACCGGACAAGGGACCGCGGACACCATCGATTGTATTTACAAAGCTAGTTACCCTAGTACATGGTCACGATACCCAACAGTTACTTAGGCTAGGGAGCGCAAGGAGCGATTGGCCTACGAGAAGCGTTGAGGTGAGGCGTTAGCGAAACTAATATTCCGGAGACGCCACTCCCGGAATTCCTAGGGCACGGCGGGACTGATGACCCTCACTCTGGTCCTTCTTTTTCCTTTTTTTTTTTGCGACTGCATCTAGCCGCTTTGCCCACACTACTCTACAATGTTATAGGTATGTACTTCTGACTAGACACCACCGGCTCAACTTTAGAACAGTATTATAAACACACGATTGTCCGGGTCGGTAGGTCGCTTAACGTTACATTGGCCTCGTCCCCCATGCCGAACTGTAGCGTATAACAACTGCAGGTACGTAACCTACAATAGCATGTACAACGTCCCTAGTGTCGGCAGCTATTGCTTGCTTCCTAGGTAGTAGGGCACGTCCTGGAACCGGAGGAGAAGGACCACGAGGAGCGCAGGTTGGGTACCTGAGATGAAGTACCTGTTGCGAACGTGGGCACGTACGCGACCCGACGGGTGGCCTGCCCAGGCGATTGGCAGCTAGGAACTTCGATAGTTACGGGTAGTAGCGAATATAAGCTTTGCTCTACCCGGTAGCAGGGGCCGATTGTTACTTGGCAACTCACGATGCACGTTGCCGTAGAGTAGCGCCCAGGTGGCAGGCGGACGCGTGGGCGTGTGTAGGCGTAGCAAATGCGGTTGTGTGGTACTTTAACGACGACGGCAACTTTGACGACGAGAAGGGAGGTAGACAGGGGAGTGAGAACTGGGGAGGTGTGCGTATATCAACCGCGGCGCGGCGGGAGGAGCCAATGGGTGGTGAGGAGCCGCTCGCGGCGCCGACGCGGCGGCGGCATGGTGTGAGTGAGTGAGAAGGTTTGAGCAAGATCCCCGTCTCACACTTCCCGAAATAGCTAGGGCGGCGCGCTGAGGCGCTGACGGCAACCCACAGGCGATGGGACGGATCATGCTGGCGATAGGACCCGGGGAATTGGGGGCCTCGCTGTGTGGATATTACATGGGTGGTAAGACCTACGTACCTACATACGTGTATACCCTCGCCGTGCACATCCTCGTCGGAGCCATCCTGCTACGTGCGTAGTGGATGCACATAAACCTAGGTACTACATGTACACAGACACGGACGAAGAGAGGGGACAGTCTGGTCAGCGTGTGAAGAGGCGGGATGCGACGTCGCCGTGCTCTGCTGCGGGACGCCTAGCTGGAGGCATGTAGGTACGTAGGCTTGTAATATATCTCGCATGGCCAGTCCCTCAATGCCCTCAGGATAGCCAAGGGGATGCTAGCTTCGCACCCGTCCACCGAAACACGCTGCCTGACATAGACAAGCAGTCTACCTCCTGCAAGGCGCGGTCCAAACAAGTCAACCGAACGACTTGAAGCGCCATCTGTTCCCAGCCTGCACCCGGCCAGCAACAGGTACCCGCGTAGGCACCGAGTCCAAGCCCCCCCTAATACCGGGCAGGGCAGGTCGTTCCCCGGAAGGCGGGAAGGGGACCGCGGAGGGAAATCAGGCTGGCCTATCGCGTGGGACGAATAGCCATCGCAGTAGAAGGGAAAAAATCGAGACAAAGAAGGGGGAGGCGAAGATCAGATTATCTAATATTATTGTTCTTCCACTAGCTTTCCCATCGTCGACACCGACTCGACCGATCAACCAACCAACAACCACATTTGCTTTTTTTTTTTTTTTTGCTCGCCTTGTGTCTCGCCGTCTTCCTCCCTCTCTCCGTCTCGCTTCTCTCCTTCTTACTTCCTTCCCTCCTTCTTAACCTCATCCCTCCTCATCCTCTCCCTTTCCCTCCTCTCTCCTCCTCAAACCTCAGTCTTCCCGCGCTCCCATCGCCGACCACAACCTCCGGGGGGGGGGGCGAACCACAGACCTTAGCTACTACCCCGACGTCCCCAGACTCCCCTTTCGCAGGCGACCACCGCGAAGATGGACCACGGCGACGACATGACGATGACGAGCACGGGCGCGGCCGCCTCGGCGACCGGCGGCATGGACATGGGCACGGGCGCGGGCGGGATGGAGCACGCGACGGCGTCGATGACGATGGTCTTCTTCCGCAGCGCCACCACGCCGCTGTACGCGGACGCGTGGACGCCGCGCGGCGAGGGCGACTACGCCGGCACGTGCGTGTTCCTCGTCGCGCTCGCGGTGCTGCACCGCGGGCTGATAGCGGCGCGCTGCGCGCTGCCCGACGCGGCCCCGGCCCGCCGCGCCGCCGCCGCCGCCAAGGCCGACTCCGACGCCGACGACTACGCCCCCGCGCTCGAGTCCGCCGCCGCCCGCCTGCGCGCCCGCTGGCGCGCCCGCCCCTTCCGCGTCGCCGCCGAGGCCGCCCGCGCCCTCCTCGAGCTCCTCATCGCCGGCGTCGGATACCTCCTGTGAGTACCACCGCTCTAGATATGCCTACCTGCCGGCCCCGGCTGACCCTCCCCCTCCCCCGCGCAGCATGCTCGCCGTCATGACCATGAACGTCGGATACTTCCTCTCCGTCCTCGGAGGTATCTTCCTCGGCACTTTCCTCGTCGGGCGGTTCGGCTCCGGCGACGACCACCACTGATGTCCCGGCCTTGAGGCGCGTCGATTGTTGAGGAGTAGTAGGCTTCGGTTTACTTCGTTATAGGGCTGGGCCTGGGTCGATGGTTGTGTTTTTTGGTATGCCTCGTTGCAGGGCGGGAGGGGGCAGTATTGGTGATGTTTGAATGTTGGGAGGGGTTGCATATTAGGCTGATATCTCGGGTTTTTCCTGGGGGGAACTATGGGGGTACTATTGAGTTACGCTATTTATACCTATATTAAATACCGTATTTTGGAACCCTTATCTTCTGAGTTATAGTATAAACGCGCTTTTGAAATGTCTCTTCTTTATTTTATAAGTGTACCTAGAGGTTGTTTTTAACCTTATTACATCAGCTTCGTTTATTTTTCAACCTTGGCTTTATAACCACGTGTCATCTCGCGTTTCCGTCAGACCTCTTTTGTGAAAATAATGTTCCTCCTCCCCGGGCCACCGTCATCCCTTGCATCTAACACGGCGAGCTGGCACACTGCCATCGTGTAACATTAAATAAGGATAATACAAAACAATTATCGATGCATGGATGTCCCAAGGCTACTTGCCATAGGTAATTATTAAGGATATAAGATATGACGCCGAGTTTCTAGGTTTGGCTACGGTTCCGCCGGTAGGTATCTTGGATAGGAGGGGTCCTCAATATTACATCCCACTTGAGGCATCATCCCGTAACAAGCTCCTACATAGGACCTAGTAAACAGTTCCTTACGGTCAGTGTTGCGGCCCGAGTAAAGGTGTACCGTGAAATACCTAGTTCCTAGGAGCGATGAATATGAGCCTCGGAGTGTGAGGACGAGCTAGCCAGCATTTAAACAATTGTAGGGCGGCAGAAGGAGATAAAGGAGTATTGGCTTGGTTGCATGCCCAGCTGCTTGTATAATCGGCAATGATCCCTGACTCAGGGTGTGGCTCCACGATGCTGCCCTAAGGCTCAATGATTACCTACGGAAACTAACTACTGTGCATTGTGGCCGGGTTCGCTCCTGTGGCTTCGCTGCCTTAGATATAAGGCATGCAAAACGTTAGAAGCTAAACCTGACTGTCGAATTGAAAGGAGTCAAAAACTATATTAGGTGCTAAAACAGCTAATTCAGCAGCTTTTAAATACAAGTGCTTTTGCAGTCAAAACGCCGTTGCGTTGCGTGGCGTTTCGTGCCCTCGTCAAATCAACCAATCACAGGGCTTTGTTAGGAGCCCTAGGTGCTCTACTACGTGGCCCCTGTTATTACATAATGCTATAAAGACCTTCTAAACGGGTCACGAAATGATAGAGGTATTTACAGGAGGAGTCTTTAGTGGTAATTATACCTGTATCAAGATCTGATTCCCATTGCCGAATGTCTTCCCTACCGACTAATAGATAGCATAGACTTAGATATAATGGGTGTCACGTTGAGGGGAATTCTAGAAGCGATCGGTCGATTATCTGTTACAATACAAGGCACGTTGCGCGGTGCCTTTGACCTGTTTCTTACGGTACACCCGAGGTTAAGGGTTGAAATTATAGGCAATATTTGAAAGTCAGAAATGCATAAATATTCCTGCTGTGTTCTGTGTGTGGTAGTATTGGCGCCCCTCCCCGCTTCTCCGTATTATTGGAATTTTCGTTGTATGTCAGCTCACATGAAGCCCTCACCCAGTAACACCCTAACCCGCTCGTTTAACAGGGCGTGCATGGATTTACCGAGTAGCAATGGATGGGATCTTCAACAAATTCTTGGCGATCCTTCACGCGATTTGATAGAAAATGTTTCAGCCTCAACGTCGAGTTATCATCATCGGAGCCACCATGTCCGGAATCGACAAAATTTAGCTGGATATATATTGTTTACCAGGACTCTGAATTTTTGGCAATAGACACCCTACCTACCTTAATCTTCACACCGGAGAAAGATAGGCATCATGCGGCTGATAGATGTTCACAGCAGAAAACTGAAAGAGTTCTTCAATACGAAACCCCCAGAATACGCGATCTTGTCACATACCTGGGGCAGCGAAGAGGTGATCCTCCAAGATTTAGATACCACAGCATATATGAAGAAGCTTGGGTGGGCCAAGATCGATATGTGTTGTCAAACCGCTGAAAAAGAAGGTCTCGATTGGGCATGGGTAGACACCTGCTGCATCGATAAGAGAGACAGCGCAGAGTTGTCGGAAGCCATCAACTCTATGTTTTCATGGTACCGCATATCCCGGGTCTGTTACGTATACTTGGCGGACGTCACCAAAGATGAAGACCATTCTAGAGAAAACTCGACGTTTAGGAAAAGCCGTTGGTTCAACAGAGGATGGACGCTCCAAGAGCTACTCGCACCAACTCGCATGAAATTCTACGATAAAAACTGGGACTTCATTGCCGAACGGAAAGATCTCTTAGATGCGATATCACAAACTACTGGCATTAGTTTGGCCGCAGTACAAACGCCACTATCATATATACCTTCAGCGAGTATAGCCGAGCGACTGTCTTGGGCAGCAAAAAGAGAAACGACCAGGATTGAGGATAGGGCCTATAGCTTACTGGGAATTTGTGAGATCAAAATGCCCCTCATATACGGCGAAGGAGACAGAGCTTTCTTCAGGTTGCAACAAGAGATCATAAGGACAATGTATGACCAGACTGTCTTTTGGTGGAGCCTGGGGAATGGTTGGACACAGTGGTTTTGCGATGGACATTCCGGGACCGCCAGGACGTTGTCTGAGGTTGGAGGCCTAAAGGTGCTTGCCGATTCGCCAGATGCTTTCCGCGGGTTCAAGTCGAGATATGTATCAACACGTCTAGGAAAACACTACATGATGACACATTCCGGACTCCATATTGAACTACCAGTCATTAGCCTCGGCGACTCCCAAAGAAGCTTCTATCTCGCCATATTTTCTGCGATGGATATCCTAAAGTCAGCCCCCCTGCATATAGGCATGCCAGTCCAAGATTGCGAAGTATTATTGCCCGGACAAGCACCATCTGTTGTCAAGTTTTTCGAGAAGGCTATGGGCAACTCGCCTTTCCCATTACCTTTCCCTTTACCTGCGGGGATCACTGAGATTCCCTTGTACATCTCTGTTCCACCTGACCATATCCAGAGCTCGAGACTTTCGTCTCGCTTGGCAGAGTGTTCCAGACATATACAGCTTATTTTCGGCCTATTGTATTCGTTGGACTACATCCTCTGGGACTACTACCCCCCAGCCGTTGAGATTAACGACGGCTTTCTGACCGCACATTTGGGTGCCGACGAGCTCATGCTGCTCCGATTCCACAACCCGGATCAGAACGGGAGCATCCTCGTGATGACCTATCCAGTTGAAGATGGTCAGGCCAGTTGGGCAGTAGCGACTTACACAGACGACAATTCGAGCGCCTGGGAATTCCTCCTTCGACCGAATTTTCGGAAATTCGATTTTCTAAGTTTAAGGAACAGTCCTTCTCTAAACTGGTCTACTACGATCTCGGTACCGCTGGAGGATTCGTTACCTTTGGTTGTGGGTCTTCAGGTTACCGACGACTCCATAAAGATCACCAGCAGCATAGGTGATACCGTAAAAGAGTGCGCAGAGGAAAAGCAGGAAGTGGTTCGATGTAGGAATGTGAAGATCGAAGGAGACAAGGGGTTGTGCAACATGGGTTGATGTGAATACGGTCAAAGTGCGATATATATAGGCATACCTGTGCCCCTGACTTCAATTAAGCTTCACGTGCATAATCCAACTCGGCATATTGAAGCAAGGGAGGCTGTGGAAAAGGGGTCGTCATACAATCTCAAATAGCATCGTATCCGCTCGTATAGCCGGAATCAAACCCGCCTTTCCTCTACCCCTGGCAACTCCCCAACCAAGCTAGGCATAGTGACAGGTCCGAAAACCGAAGCCTTGGCTCAACCCGAACCCCAGATTTGTCTGGCGCATGGGCGCATAACCTACTAAGTCTGCTTAACCATCATGCGCTACCAACGCGATACTAGCAGACCGCTCTGCTTCGCGGAACCCGGGATCGCAGAAGCAACCGAACCCTGCCCCCTGGCCAGCAGCGTCGCAGCGAGCTCTGGGATCGCGCTTCGGCGCCGAACACGAGGTTTTCTCCACGCGGAGATGAGACCCCGTTTCGGAATCGCGCAGGAGGCGCGACGACACGACCTCAATCGTATAAAGACGGCGTCACAAAACCGCTTTCCGCAGCGATGCGCGCCAATCCGTCATCTCCCGGCCGGCGGCAAGACCAGCAGCTGTTCACATTAGCCTCCTCGCCATGCGGTGCACCCGGATTCTCCTGGCGGCAGCCAGCCTCGCCGCGACGGTCGACGCGCACGCCTACGTCCCGAAGGGCATCCGCGCGAGGGCGTCCTCGCCGCTCGAGGTGACCCTGGCTCCCGCGGCAGGCGGTGGCGTCGCCGAGCTCGTCGCGACCATCAAGAACGTCGGCGGCGAGGACCTCAACCTGCTGAAGGTCGGCACCATCCTCGACGACGTCCTGCCGATCCAGAAGGTGTCCATAGTAGACGAAGCCGGTACGCTACCGACCTATATATTCCTACCTGCCCCCCCCTAGGTAGGAATCCGGAGGCGAACCCGCACTGACGTAAGTCCAGGCGTCGAGGCGCAGTTCCAGGGAATCGAGGCCAGCCTGCGGCACGACGCCCTTAAACCCGAGCACTTCGTCCTGGTGAAGGCGTCCGGGTCCGTCAGCACCACCATCCGCGCAGCCCCCGTCCACGAATTCCCGCACTCAGGGACGTACACGTTCTCGGCGGCGGGGCTGCTGCCGGTCGCGCGGCCGGGGTCGACCACGCTAGTAGGCCCAGCGCTTGAGTTCCAGTCGAACCAGGTGCAGCTCGCGGTGTCAGCAGCGGCAGCGGCAGCGGTGCCGCGAGCGCTACAACCCGCGGACGGCGCGGCGGCGGCGGGGCTCGAGGCGCGGACGAACCTGCAGCCGGGGTGCAGCGCGGAGCGGACGGCAGCGACAGAAGCAGCGCTAGCAGATTGCGCGCAGCTAGCGGCGGCGGCGGCGGCGGAGGCGGCGGACGCGTCGTCGGCGCGGTTCGTCGAGTACTTCGGGACGAACGAGACGGCGGCGCGGGCGGAGGTGGCGACGCGGCTGGAGCGCGCGGCGGCGGAGTGCGGTACGACGGACGCGGGCGTCTCGCGCTTCTACTGCTTCGACTACTACGGAATCTGCGAGCTCGAGGGCCCGCTCAACGCGTACACGCTGTGGAGCTTCGACACCGTCGTCGCCTGCCCCCTCTTCTTCGAGGCCCTGCCCGCCCTGCCCCCCGCCTGCCACCGCCAGTGCCGCGCCACCACCGCCGTCCACGAGATGACCCACTGCGAGGGCCTCTACAGCCCCCACACCAACGACTGGGCCTACGGCTACAACGAGAGCGTCGCCCTGCCCCCCGACCGCGCCCTCATGAACGCCGACAACTATTCCCTCTTCGCGAACGGTAAGTGGGGCTTCGCCCGTCTCTCTCGCCTTCCCGAGGCCGGACAGATTATGCTGATGACTTTCTTCCTCTAGCTGTGTATCTGGATTGTTGATGATCTGATGGGCGTTGCGGCGGGAGAAAATCTGGCTTTTGTTCGGATAGTACGAGCTGATGATTTGAGTCTTGGCGTCGTCTCTAGGGGCAGGTATCGGCTGATGGTGAGTGTATGACGACATGTAATGTAGCAATGTCGGCGATATATGGCTTGGTAACGTAGGCAGGTGTGTAAATACTACACGTAGTTGTGGATACCATGCCCTAGGTGTGGTGGCTTGCCTTCACTTGGTTCTACATCAGAGTTAGATGCCAGGTTTGATGGATGAATTTGTGTAGGTGTAGTAGGTATTAGAATCGTTGAGGTGTATAATTATTGACAGGTACGCCATCAACACACTAATACTAGAGGCGTAGACGTGATTTGCACTCCAGCCCTAAGCCCGATCCCATGGCACGGTCTTAGCATCCATACACGTAACTCCCCTCCCATCATCATGCTTTCCACCCTGACTCAGACACCTCAGCACACGACCGACGCCTCTCTATTCCCCCATCCTGAGGTTTTCATCCCGCACCCTTGATGGATGACAAGTCTTTCCTGTTCGGATGGAAGGAGTAGCAGGAGCCACCCTTAGTCCCAAGGGGTAGTATCACGTCCAGGTCGGCCTCGTCTGTAGCGGATATACTCTGGGTCGTCGTACAGTTCGTCATATACCCACGTAGTTCGAGCGGATGAAATAAGGCTGGCTGCGAGTATGACGCAGAGTCCGAAAATAATGACGGTCAGGAGGATAGTGAGCCCACCCCAAGTGAGGGGGATGTTGGAGTCCATGGTGGCCTGGCTCGTCCTTTCGAGGTCGTGGAAGGGATTGTGATTGTTGTCGTTTGATGAGGTGGCCAAGCTTTCAAAGGTTAGAATGACAATATTAGGTTCGGGATGGGTAGCAATACCTTGAATGGTCAGGAGGTGGATGCGGGACTCGTGTCTGTGTAATTGAATCTCTAGGGGTGATGGGAGTGAGAGACAGACGGCGAGAGTAAGTGAGGTTGTGCTGGAGGAAAAAGGAGGAGAGAAGTCCGCGGAAAAGATTAGAGTTAGTCAAAAGTGATTAAGACTGAGGCAAGGAGGAGATCAGTCAAGTGATTATGAATATTGCGAAACCCCTAGCAACCTGCCGTCGCCCCCCTCCCCTTTTACTGTGCGCACACATGGTAATATACAATCAACAACAGCATATCAACACTCCCAGGCACCAAGGCTCGTTGCTGTGCCACAAGTTGTGTTGCCAGTATAAAGCCGAAGCATATTAACGGCTATTGTTATCGTTAACGCGGAAAGAAAATCAGCATGCCCTACCATAATAAACCCACCCTACAGAAGTTGCGAACAGACCCTCCATCCCGACGCGACAGGCTGGGATTCCGAGGTAGTACTGGGGGTGCAAATGAACGACTGGCGTGAAGAGAATATTGACATAGCAATACTGCACTTCAGCAGCGGATTTTCTTATGACAAACATGAATTCTGGATTCTTCTTGTTATCCCGTAGTGTGGTCTAGAATCTTGGTATCAATCAGCTCCAGAGTATCATACAAAACGTGCCCTCTCATGTAACTAAGGATTACCCTCATCTCCTAATCCTCCTCCTCTTCCTCTTCCTCTCCGCCTTCTCCGGTTTCCTTCATTTCATCTACTTCTTCCTCTTCTGCCTCCTCAACTTCCTCAGCTTCCTCAACATCCTCAGTGGAAGAGCTTGCGTCCTCCGTGTCACTATTGTCGCTCTCCACAGCGCCCGTGCTTCTGCGGACCAAATTGGGGAACATCAGCTGCTGAGCTTCATCCTCATCCAACACATCGTCCGGGGGGACATCACTAAGATCACTCTCGTCGTCTGCCGAATCGTGGACACTTCCAGGGGCTGAGCTCAAGTCGCCCTCGGCTTCCTCGTCCTTCATCTCTACGTCGTCCTCCGGTGCGGCGTCGTCGTTCCCTTCGCCCTCCTTGCCCTCTTCCACGACAGGCGTCTTGCTACCAGAAACAGAACCGCGGGACTTGGCACCGGCGGCCTTCGGGCCTTCTTGAGCACGCAAAACCGCCTGCTCTGCTCTGCGAAGGACATCAGCCCTCCGAATACCGGGCTTGCGTGGTCGTTGTACCCCTTCTGCGTTCGTAGTGGTTGAGTCAGGGGCGGCGCCCTCCGCGCCTGAATTTTCGTGGGATTGAGGATTGAACAGACTGGTCAACAGGTTGGCAGGCTTAGGCTCTGATGCCTTCTCAGATTGCCGAGCTTGCTCTCTCTCTGCAATCAGAGTAGAAACAGAGGGGCCGGGAAGAGACTTCCCAACCTCAAAGTACAAGGCTGTGTAGCAGTCGCAGATCAGGTCGTCGATAGCACCGGCCTTCATTAATCCGGCATTGAGCTTCTTCAACTCTATGGTTTCCTGCATGGCGCTGAGTGCGGGGTGAGACGAAGATGAATCCGAGGACCAGTCGCCGATTCTGGCGGTGATGATGTCAAACTCCTCAGGGGCGGTCATCTTGAACTCGTCCTCGATAACGGGAGAGATCTGGTATGTTTGGCGGATAAGCCGCAAGTACGCGAGGCAGCATGTCTGCCACAGATCGTTGAAGTGGTAGAAATCTGCGCCCTTTTTGCGTAGGCGGCGAAGCATGGCCTCAAAGTTGACTCTGTCTTTCAGAACGACCAAGAGCTTGACGACGAATCGGACATACTGTTCGGTGTAGACGTGGTGCCGACCCGGCCGCTCCGCGTCGCATTTCCACACATTCATCACCATAGTCTTGGTCAGCATCGATTCCCTCAGGACGCTAAATGCGGCCAATGCCTGGGCGACACTTTGCTCTTCCGCGTTCTCGTCGAACAGGATCCTGGCGTGACGCATGATAATACGATGCTGCCAATTCGACCTGTCCTTTTCGCGAAGGAGGGTCAGCGTTTTGATGACGAGCGACTCCCAGTCTTCGGGTTCGTTAATCTCGACATGTTCCCCGTTCTGGTATGCGTACGGTTGACGCTGCAGCACGACGGCTGCCTCTTGCGCCGGTATATCTCCTCGCACGACGAGCTTGTACAAGATCGAGACAATTTTATAATGAGGCTCCAAGATCGGGTCCTGACCGTGGCGCGGCTTGGGCAGTGCGGAAACGACTTTAACTGCTTTCTCGAGGGAATCGATAACATTCTGCACTGTAGGTCGATCTCGGCGGTCTTTAAAGTCGAGAGACGTTAGGGGCTGTTTCTGGTACATCTTCCAGATACATTTGGCAGCCATGTATGGGTTCCTACCAAACCGTCAGAGGAAGAAAAATGACGACACTGCATCGGGGTGATCACTTACTGCCATTGTTTCGGCTTGACTTCCATTGCCTTCACGAACAGCCGCAGGGCGTATCTCCAAATTTTGTAATCTTGCATCTGGGAATGAAGTTCCTTAGACTCTACACCGGATTCGAGAATGACAAATCGCCTATGTTCCGGGTGATGGAACGGTTCCATAGCGAACGGCTCCCGGCTAGACGCGTACATGCGCATGCCGAATTTGTAATATAGGTCGTGGATATCATCGTTCTGCATGCTGGACAGCACGCCCCTAGAGTGCGACAAAGCGAGCGTGTAACAGTGTATCGCACTTCGTTGGAACTTCACCAGCTCCGCCCTCTCCTTGTTCATCTTATCCGCAGTCCAGAGCACAGACTCGTCAAGTTCGTAGTCGAAACATTCGGCGAGCCTGAACCAGGCATCCCATTGATCAGGGGTGAACTGCAGCTGCTGGCGGAGGAACGTGGCGCCAAGCCGAAGGTCATCAGTGGCGCCTGGGGTCTGTCTCCTATTGAGATCCACGCCCTTAAACTTGGTGAACGCGATCATGCCTAAGAGAAAGAACCATCTGTGCCTAGCCAGGGCGCTATCTGGCGTATTTACGGTAACCGCATCCATGGAAACGTTGCCTTTCAGAGCTTGATACAAGCGAAGTTCCGATATAGGCCTCTGGAGGGTTTGGTTGAATATCCTGAGATTTTGAATGAATTGCTGGTTGGATTTGGTCTGCCCGATGGCTTGCTGCATGTGCTCGATCGTGTTTTTGAGGTCAGACTTGAGCAAATCCTTCATGGGCATGCGGTTGGCGAGAACTGATATCCTCTCCACGAGAGCCGTCGTATTCCGTCGCTCTAACTTTTCCGGAGGACACCCATGATCCTGCACCTCGCCTAGGCCGACTCCGAGCTTCAGGCCGTACAGGTCATAAAGGACTTGGCCAAGGTAGTCTTCCCAATTGTCGATGAGGTGCTGCTTCAACAGCTCGACTCGCATCATCTTCAGGAATATCTTGTTGGATGTCTTGCAAAACTTCCTGAGACCTAGGACCTGATGGATTGCCGCCAAGTAGTCAGCAAGATCGTTTTCTGGCGAGGTAAATCCCTCCCTATTCTGAGAAATTCCGGCTTTGAGAACTGTATATAACAGGGACCAGTTCCTGACCTGCATCTCGCGAAGTTTGGTCAAGAACGATTGGAATGTTGCGCCATTCGAGGCATGCTGCTTCATGCCGACACGGACTTCGTCTTCATACATGCAAGACACGTGGAGGATACAGCAAAGCTTCGCCAAAGCTGACATGCTCGACTTCAGGTGATCGTCGTCTATAATATCGAAAGATTTCGCGTCATTGAGGGCCATCGAGAGCGCCCGGATCAGTAGATCGTCTAGAGACTTGAGCATTTTCAGGAACAAGGGCCGACGCGCCTCGACAGGCATAGCTTGATAGGAGATGTGCTCGAAGTCGCTAACCACCATCTCGATACTCTTGAGAAGACAGGAGAACTGTTTCGTTCTATAGTCTATGGCCTCATACGCCTCCCCCAGACGATTCCACAGGAACAATCTTAATTCAGTGCTCGTGCCAAGCAAGAATTTCCAAAGATCTAGAAGTCCTTGGTCCGTCGTCTCGGAGATTGGCAGCTTATTATGCCTGAGGGTTAGGTCTTCCGATTCATCATCGCCGGCCGGAGCAGAGGATGCTCGTACGTTACTCGTTGACGTATAGACGGATGAGGGATTGAGGACAGGCTCGAGGCTCTCTATGACAGAGACAGGATGGCTGAGGTCGTTCTGGAACAGCCCGAGGAAGAAGTCCATGGTGGTAAGTTTAGATATCTCCCTGTCCGCTGCGAGCGCTGAGACTTCTGGCATAATGACGTTGTTCGGAAGTCGAATGTCGACAGTTTCGTGCTCCTCGCCGAGGCTGTCGCGGAGGCTTTTCCAACACTGGAGGACGTGATCTCCTGACACGCCATCCGTCAGAGTGACGGCAAAGACAGCAGACCACAAAAAACGAACCGACAGGGAATGGTTTACGGTGTCAGAGCGATCGCGGGACATCTTCGAAGCGAGGGCGAACCATCGTCCCAATCTTCCTTTAGTTTCTGCACGAATAGCGAAGTCGACAGCGCTGCTAGGATTTGTTATCCGCTCGTAGACATCCAAGTGAAGTTCAAACAGCATCTGGACGATTTCGTCGACCGCTACCCACGCCTGCATCGGATTCTCGGACGAAGTGAGGCACTCGAGTTCGTAGTGTACGCGATTCCAAATGTCCTCGTCAAGATGGCTGATAACTTGAACCACGGCCCTCTTCATACCATCTGACCACTTGCTCGTCAGGTAAGTACCACACATGTGCTTAACCCACTCGAAAGCGACATCTTGAATCGCCATCCAGCCGCCATTCACTTTCTCGACGAAAGCTTTCAGGCTTCTCGTCTCGTGGAACACGGGCATCTCTGGTTTATTTTGAGACGACGGCTTCGAGTGTTCGAGAAATGAAGAGAAACCGACAGGCGTGGCCTCCTTCTTGTTGAGGACCACCCTCGTGCTCTCCTCGTCGAATCTCACGAGCGAATCGCGCAGGTCAACTAGGGCTGGCCGCTCAAGTTTAGCAGTGCGGGTTTCCGTGGCGCAAGAGTCGAGCACTTCGCCAAGTCGATTGAGAGTGTCGCGATCGGTGACACCCAAGTTCTCTATCAAGTTCCGAGTCATTTGAAAGAGATTTTGATCGGCGGCTTGGAATGGTTGCAGCTGGGTGGCGTATTGGGTATTCGCGTCCATAGCTTCGCCAGCAGTTTCTCGCCGTCGGATTCTCTTACTCCTCTTCTGGTCGGTAACCTCTTCCTCTACCGCATCAGGAAGCCCTGCAGTGGATTGGGATCGCTTCCGGGAAAGAACCGAGACGCTACGCTCAGCACGCGTGTCCTCTGCGGCGTTGCCGTTATCGGCGCTGCTCTCTTTCGGGGAGTCGCTCTGGTCATCTTTGGATTGTGCCGCTACCTTTGCTCCCAGAGCGAGCCGGGTCGTCCCGCCGCCTTCGGGTTTCCCGGGTTTCGGTCTGTCCACCAACAACTGAACCTCGTCTTGAGGGTCTGGAATCTCGGGGAAATCCAAAGTGACAGCTTGGCCGGACACGCCCATGCTCGCGACCGAACGCACAAGTGCCATCCCCAATTCGGTCCACGAAGCCACGGGGACCTTGATAATGAGGCGTGGGAGCTCTTGCTCACCTTCTATCGTCGGCAGTGCCGCCAGGGCGAGAGATTTCGTAGGGTCCGGGAGGAATGGCAAGGGATCAAGGTACTTCCTAAGTGATTCCGGCAACGATTTTTTGAGGAATGGTGTCATGATGGGGTGAGATTGCGAAAGATGGTCGGATAAGATGCTCAATTGTTCCTTCAACTGTTCACCAGCAAGTGCCTCGGCTAGAGAGGGGGGATCGACTTCTTCGACGGCCGGATCATCGTCAAGTTCGATGGCAGCCTCGAGGCAATATCGACTAATCCTGGAACTGTTTAGAAACGCGGCCACACGGGCCGCTCTCCTCCACAGTTCGGCATCGGACGGATCAAAGTCCAAAGCAACGCTGAACTCATGTAACGCCTTCCGGGCTTCCGCAAGCACCTTCTCATCCTTCAGGATAGATGCCCGGTCCGCTTCAGTCTTGAATTCATGTCTGATGTTGTCTAGGATGAACTGGCCATGGTTTTTGAAGGCAAGGTAGAGGGTCTGTGGTAGGCTGCTCCCACTACCGTCGATATCAGCTTGGGCTACGTCGAGCGGCTGCGGGAAAGGCACGTCAAGGCCGAGGTTACGAGGATCGGATTGCCGTTCGGCACGATCGAAATCTGTCGCACTCTCGGGATATCGAAAGATATCGGACTGGAATAACGATTCGTATGCCAGAGAGGCATCGGGGTAATGCTTGGGGCCTTGGGCATGGAGCTTGAGGGCGGCCTGGAAGCGTTTCAAGGCCTCGTCGATCTGGATCTCGCGAGTATTGTCGATCTCCTCGTCAATACTCTCTTCAGGCTCGACATTGATGGCGGAAAAGGCTGGCTACGCCGATTATCAGCATTCGACGTCGGTCGGGAACTCCCGCGTTCATCTCACCATCTTGTCTGTCTAGACGTGCTGCGCGCGTCGCGCTGCTTGCGCCGCGCCCAGCCGGAGCACTACGAAGCCAGATCACAGGATGGATGACTTGTAATGCGCGACGATCTGGGGCCGGGATTTGACCGGGAAAACGCCTTGGCGATGGCGTCCTCTGGCGAGGCAGGAAACTATAGACACGCGCTAATACGACAACGTTCGGTGCATAGAGGCCACAGTTGGTGTGTTATAGCTGGGGGAGACGACAGGCTCGTTTGTCCGTGGTGGCTAGCCGGCCGATCGGCGTGCAATTGAGGAAACGAGCACGAAGATGTAGGTATATGCATCCGTGCGCCGTTCGGTCTGCACGATGAGGTCTCTCGCACGCGAGGGTGGGTTGTGGACGGGATGGATGTTGAGTATCGGAATGGGAGACGAAGACGGAACTCGGAAGGCCTACGCCACTTGGAAATGACAGGCAGGTCGCGTCCAAAGGTAAGCCAGAAGCAGGTACCTACTTACCTAGGCAGGTACCTAGAGAGGTACCTATAGGCAGACGGGATAATGGGCATACGTTATATAGAGGTACCTATGTACATAGGTACCTGTTAGAGGTACCTTGCATGATGTAGGTATCTTGGGTATATTAGGTAAGAATGTTGTTAGGTCCCCCGCCACTTCTCACCCCGGAGTTTATGTATCTATCGAAAAATCTAGATTATGCCGATGCGACTCCATCTATCGTTAGCAGAATTGGAAGTTTCTTTCCTCTGGGCGTGGGAACTCGGAATTTATATCACAATCCGAAGAAGCAGAGCTGCACATATACCTCCTTTATCTTTCCCCAGGCTCATCTCTCCTCCGCCAGTCCCCTCTCTCTTTCGTCAGAAGGTCCCCGGGGATCTTACTGGCTTGCTGCCGCCTCCGCTGCCGGTATTGGGCTCGAGGTTGGAGCCAGACCTGGACCCAGCGAGGACCAATGTTGCAAGGTACGTAGCCCTCGCCGTGGCAGTCATCCGCCGCACCTCTCTCCCACCCACGTCTGCTCTCTGCCTGAGGTATTACCCGTCTACACCCCCGACTCAACCGTGGTCTTGGGTCTTGGTCGGGCCTTGGATCCTGGCGCTGTCCATCCTCTGTTCGTCAGACACCTTAGGACCAAGGCACCGAACCCCCCGGCGACCTGTGTAGGCCCCACCGGCGGTCGACGGCGAGGGTGTCTCTGAGCCACGCCGGGTTGATCAGTCTCGTGCCTCGAGTTAGTCATAATCCCCAGCTGCGCGTATCGTACTCTCGACACCTCATCGTAGCTACCTCAGGCATCATGGCTGTCACGCCTATCATACCTACCTATCCTCCGTCCCTCCCTCTGCCCGTTTCCCGCATTGCACCGGTTAGCTGCATCTGGCGTTGTGAAGCCACCAAACCTGTCATATAACTGCCTAACCCTCCCAGCCTGGCTCGCTCGCCACCCTCGCAACAACTCCTCTCTCCGTTGCCTGCATCGGCTGTCCATCTGCACACACGGGCATGTACAGTTCTACCCTACCTCAAGCGTGAGGGAACCGGAGATAGATCTTCCAACAGGGTGTGCTGATTGGTGCAACTTCCTCTAGCAGTAGCTTTACGTCGTCGACTCGGGTCGCACCCTTTAGGGACCCGCGCCGCATTCTCCAGCTTTCCCCTCCACCAAGCTGTTCCCGCCTTCGTCAACCGATTCTCTACCTGCCATCCTCGTTTGCAGTCTCGCGGGCTACGCTGCTCCCCTCTTACCACCCACCCGCATCGGGCTCGGTTGACGACGTCATTACAACAATCAACATCGCACACCGTCTCAAGGCACACCTGCCGCCAACAGTCGACCATGGAGTCCTCCAACGTACCTTATCGCAGCCAGGATCCCAGCGAGGTGGCTACTATGATCCGCGCGCTGGGCTCTGGGGCCTCGAAAGCCCGGGCTAGGAAGACCACCTACAAGGTCAAGGGGTCACCTACCGGCATCACCGTCGATTCCTGGCGTCTTCATGACTGGAACTACAAGAAGTCTGGTCTACCCACTTACGCCCGCGGGCTGTTCACTGCCAAGACCAACGGAGGCCAGGAAATTGCTATCAGGGGTTACGACAAGTTCTTCAACATCTTCGAGGTTCCCGAAACAAGATGGCCTACCATACTCAAGTGCACCAAAGGCCCGTACGAGCTCACCCTGAAAGAGAACGGCTGTATCATATTCATTAGTGGCCTCGAGGACGGCACTCTCCTGATCTGCAGCAAGCATGCTACCGGAGATCGCTCCGATGTCGAGCTCAGCCATGCTGGCGCCGGCGAGAAATGGATCGACAGGCAGCTAGCCAGTCTGGGCAAGACTCGACAAGAGTTTGCTCAGGAACTGAGGCGGAGAAACGTGACCGCCGTTGCCGAACTCTGTGACGACGAGTTTGAGGAGCACATCCTCGCCTACGGCCCGGATGTGGCTGGTCTCTACCTCCATGGTATCAACGTCAACGTACCCGAATTCCTGACGTACTCTGGAGAGCTCGTCCACCAGTTTGCCGAGGAGTGGGGCTTCCGTAAAATTGGGCTCCAGCTGTTTGACGACGTCAACTCTGTCAAGTCTTTCCTGGAGACGGTCGCCGAGACTGGTTCTCACGATGGCCGGCCCGTCGAGGGATTTGTTATTCGCTGCAAGATGTCAACCGACCCGGACAAGAAACCCTTCACTGACTGGTTTTTCAAGTACAAATTCGAAGAGCCGTACTTGATGTATCGACAGTGGCGAGAATGCACGAAGGCCATGATCGCCGGCGAGACCCCAAAGATCCGGAAGCATGTGAAGATCACGCAGGAATACCTCGCGTACGCACGAAAGAGGCTCGCAGCCGACCCCAAACTAGGAAAGGCGTATCAAGCGAACCACGGTATTATCCCTCTCCGTGATGACTTCCTGGCGTTCAAGCACTTGAAGGGCTCCGAGGCAGCCAACATCGCGGACGAACGTGACGACAAAACCATTGCAAACGACGTCGTTCTTGTCACTATAGCTACTCTTGGGTGCGGCAAGACGACCGTTGGCGTGGCATTGACGCATCTTTTTGGCTGGGGCCTCGTGCAGAATGACAACATTCGGGGACCGAAGCGCCCCGTTCAGATGGTCGACTCAGTATCGAAACTCCTCATGAAGCACCCGGTCGTCATATCGGATCGAAACAATTCGGAGCGTTGGGAACGACAGCAAATACTCGAAGATGTCAGGAAACGCCACTTGGACGTCACGATGATCGCCCTGAACTTTTCCCATAGCGACTTCGACGCGGTTCGGAAAGTTACCGAACAACGGGTGCTGAACCGGGGAAACAATCACCAAACCATCCAGGCTGCTTCTGACAAAACTAAGGTCATTAAAATTATGGAGAATTTCCTGTCGAGATTCGAGCCGTGCGACCCGTCAAAAAGTCCGGACAACGGGTTCGACTTCGTCATTGACTTGGATCCGACGTTAGATAGCCGAGCAAACGTGGAGACGGTGATTAGAGAATTACACGGAAAGTATCCAGCATTGGTCCCGGAAATCCCGAGTGCAGAAGCGATGGACGAAGCCGTCAAAGCTGCCATCGAGGACTACAAGCCCGACTTGAGACATACCATCCCGGCGCGCAAGCAAAAGCAGGATAAGCGAGACAACGCTGAGGGTTCCAACGCTGAGGGTTCCGAGCCCACGGCCGCCAAGAAGAAGCCACTGGAGTATATGTCCATATCCATCCCCACTCCGGATGTGAGCCAGGCACTAGAAGCCGCCTTTAAGGGCACGGACCCTGAAACCCAGCGATTCTACAAGCAGCTGCAGCAGACGCGACGCATCCAGGCTCGGTTCCATGTCACGCTCATGCATCGCGCCTCGTCGAGAGAACACCCCGACCTGTGGCAGCGGTATGTGAGCCTTGAAGCTGAGAAGGGTACCGCGGACGGGGCCCTGGGCGAGTGCGAAGTGATACTCGAGCGGGTCGTGTTCGACGACCGTATCATGGCCATCGCCGTGAGGCTAGTAGACGCGGAGCAGAAGTGGACCTGCGTCAACAAGGTGCCACACATAACGGTCGGCACGCGCGACTTCAAGGTCAAGCCGAAGGAGAGCAACGGCCTGCTCGGTCGGTGGCTCGAGATCGGCAGCGGCGGCGACACGGGCATCGGCGAGCGGCTCATCGAGGGCGGGGTCACGGTGAAGGGCACAGTCCACGGCGTCTTGTCGAGCTAGCGCTCCACGCGGCGAACTGCCGGACGGGCTCCTCCAGCCACGCTGGGGCCAAGTGTCGCCAACAGAAATGCGGAAGGCACGAAAGGGAGACGGAAGAGGCAGAAGAAGGAAGGGAGAAAGGCAGAGACGGGGACCGAAAAGTAAAGAAAGAAAACTAAGAAGTAGACACCCCCTTTGAACACGACCTACTTCCTAGGACGAAGTTAGCCAAAGGAGGAGCGACGGTTTGACCGCGAAACCAGTCGTAATATTTGTATAGACTTGCCAGTGTGTTCGGTACATCCGCTGTGTACGCGGAAAAAGAGCTCCTCGGCTCTTCCTGGGCGGAGGAGGAGGAGGAAGAAGAAGAAGAAACATAGTATACTCGCCCCCGAGTCAAAAAGAAGAACAATAAGACGGGCGGCACGGCGCGGCGGGTTCGTTGGCTGCCGCCATCTCACCCCTCTACCCCATTCTTGCCTTCCTGTAGTTATAGCTGTACTTATACGAAATAACGAAGGGAACACTGCTCGCCAAATATGCACGCCCGTCTTTAGATACCTGTTCCCGGCCCCGAAACCTAGCGCGGGGCCACAATGATACGCTGAGAAAGGCTCTTTCCAGAAGGAATAGATAGATGTGTCTGTCACAAACGCGCGATGGTGCTACTAAGGGATGACGGTACGAAAGTTTCGGTGTTGGCTCTCGCTGTCTATCTCAACGATGCGAGCACGCTGTGCCCTCAGACGCCTGGTCCCAAGATCACCCGCCCCGCCTACCCCGCCGTGGCTCTGCCGCCCCCCTTTTTGTGTTCTGATACGATGACTATTACACACCTCCTCGATTATACATATCAGTCGTACCCCCCGGCCTTCCCCAACGTATAGCCGTCGTCCACTCGTAGCCGCGGGGGTGAAGAAGAACCTACCGCTACTCCCCCTTCTCCCCTACTCCGCGGGCAGGCCGTCGGTGGCGAGCGCGAAGGCCTCCCACTGGCGCCAGGCGGCGCCGCTGTCTATGGCCCAGCGCGCGCGGCGCACGCCCTCCTTCCAGCGGCCGCCGCCGGGGCCGCGCTCGGGGACGACGCGGCCGTCGTCGCCGGGCCCCATGGCGCTCGCGTCGGCGTCGCACACGCCGGCGGCGACCAGGAAGGCCGCCGTGTTGATCAGCACGAACTCGAGGATGGGGTCGTTGGGGGCGAGCTCGCCGCGCAGCAGGCGGCGCAGGATGGCCGCGTTTTCGCGCGGCTCGCGGCCCGGCGCGACGGTGTGCAGCGGGTGGGTGCCGAGGCCGAAGTCGGCGGGGGTGAGGGTGAAGTGCTCGACGGCGACGCCGGCGCCGGCGCCGCCCTCGCGCTCGACGAGCTGCCAGCACAGCGTCGGGCCGGCGCACGAGACCTCGTCAAGCTGCTCGGCGCCGCAGACGACGAGGCCCTTGCGGGCGCCGGCGAGCCGCAGGGCCTCGGCGAAGATGGGGCCGAGGTCGTCGCGCGCGACGCCGAGCATGCGGGCCTCGACGACGTCGCCGAGCGGGTTGCTGAGCGGGCCGAGCAGGTTGAAGATGGTGCGCCAGCCGAGCTCGCGCCGGATGGCGGCGACGTGCCGCATGCCCGGGTGGAAGACGGGCGCGAAGAGGAAGGCGTAGTTGGTCCGCGCGTAGACGGAGGCGATCGTGGCCGGCGTGATGCGCTCGAGCCGCGCCGGCACCGGCTCCATGCTCATGAGCAGGTCCGCCGAGCCCGACTTGGACGTCGACGCCCGGTTGCCGTGCTTCGCGAGCAGCAGCAGCGGCGACGCGACGATCGACGACGTCGTCGAGATATTGAACGTGTTGTGGGAGTCGCCGCCCGTACCCACAATGTCACACTGTCCAGAGGTGGGTGTCAGCGCTGCTGTCTTCAATAACACGTCTATAGAGAGCTATCTCTCTGTAGGTATATACGGGCCCGGGACGGTAAGAGGAAAGGATAAGGAAGCACTAACTAGCCCGCCGTTGTACTTGCCCTCGGGTCTCCTTCGCTTGGCGATGGCGGCTTCGAGGCTGGCGATGTCGATCTTGGCGGCGTGGTGGCGCATGGCAGCCGAGGCTTCGGCGAGGACATCAGCGCGGCGGTCCCAGCCCGTGAAGTGCAGGGCAGTCAGCAGCGAGCCGGTCTGGACGGGGCTGAGGCGGTTGGTGAAGATGTGGGCGAGTGCTTCAGAGATCTCCTTCGCGGTGACCTTCTCCTTCGCCGGGTCGGGCCATAGGCGCTGCAGGAGCGGGCGGATGTCAACAAGCGCGGCGCCCTGACCGTCGCTGTCGGCCATTGTGATGGGTGCTCTAGATGAGTCCGCCGCACGGTCGAGATAGGCGTCTTTAGATGTCGGACGGTAGAAAGGACAACAGCGGGAGTTGTGTAAGCCGTCAATTGAGGCTCAAGACTTGGGGAGCTCGCCGTATCTACACATGTGACTCAATGGGTGACATGCATACAGCGAGGAGGGTAATCCTCGACCAGTTACCTATTTCTTTATTGGTACCTTGGAATATATCCGGAATACCCAAAGCAGACAGGGTCAACGAGTAGAATGACGCATGCCCCGCGATCGGTATCGAGGGGCTGCGTGTGGTGGGGAGAAGAGACCCCTAGCTATGTGTACTAGGGGTACCTATGTAAGCTAGATCTGTAGCCGTCGTGGCGGTGGCAGACGGCAGATGGCCCGATAAAGCTGCTAGATAGGTATGTTGCCGGCTCTATCTCGTACTAACGAAGGGACTGGATCGGAGCCGGAGCGAGATAACTCCGTCCACTTCCGACGATGGGAGCTTCATGAGTCCCGGCGTGGCAGGTACCTAAGTACCTAGGTATGTCGTGGTGGGCTGTTATGCAGATACCAAGCACTGAACCAATTGGACGAATGAACATTCGGGACCATCATGAATTTCGAAAGCCGAAAAAAAAGACAGAACGAGGTCCGATTCCAAACGATACAGCCCGGAGAGGTGACAGGCAACACGGGATTCGAAGTGGCGGGAGGCGACAATACCAAGATCTCCTCGGGCACCTTGTGCCCTGCCGTTCGCGATGCCTCCGCGACTCAATTGCTGCTCTGCGCCGAGTAGCGCGAGCAGAGCTCTCCGGAGGGCCGCCAGCTCCCGCCGGCCCATGCCCAGCCTCCTCCTCCAAAGCTCCAAGTTAGCGACGAGTACGACGACGACGACGACAACGACTATTTCCAGGCACTACACGAGCACGTCGTCGGCCCCCGCAGCCTTCTCGTCCTTGGTCTTGCCCGACGACTACATCCCGCCGACGCGGCCGCCCTCGGCGCGACGCCCCGAGCAGCGCAAGGCGCAGCTGCTCCGATCGTACACGGCGATGCTGCGCTCGACGCCGCTGATCCTGTTCTTCCAGCACAACAATATGACCGCCGTGGAGCTGGCCGCCGTGCGCCGCGAGCTGCGCGCCGCCCTGGCCAAGGTGCCCGTGCCCGAGGCCGGGCCCGACGGCGACCCGCCACCGATAGACATCGCGCCGGCCATCGAGCTGCAGGTGCTGCGGACGCGCATCTTCACCGTCGCGCTCAAGATCGACGAGTTCTTCGACCCGAAGGCCGCCGCCGCCGCCGCCGGGCCCGGCACCTACACGCACGACCTCTCGGAGGCGGCTTACGCGGCCATCAAGCAGGCCGACATCACCGAGTCCACGGCGTTCGCGCAGATCAGCCCGCTGCTCATCGGGCCCATCGCGGCCGTGACCTTCCCGGCCGTGTCGCCGGCGCACCTCGCCACCGTGCTCTCGGTGCTCGCGCCGTCGCCGGCCTACCCGCCGCCGTCGCGCAAGAAGAGCCCGGGCTACTACGACCTGTCGGCGCAGACGGGCTTCCAGAAGCTGCTCCTGGTCGGCGGCCGCGTCGAGGGCCGCGTGTTCGACAACGAGGGCGTCATGTGGGTCGGCAGCATCAAGGGCGGCGTCGGCAGCCTGCGCGCCCAGCTCGTGTCCATGCTGCAGAACGCCGGGCTCGGCCTCACGACGGTGCTCGAGGGCCAGAGCAAGGGCCTGTGGCTCGCCCTCGAGAGCAGGCGGACCCAGCTCGAGGAGGAGGCGAACGGAGGCGCCAAGAAGGAGGCGGCGGCGGAGAAGCCGAGCGCGTAGGGCGCTGGCGGCTCGCGCGGGACATAGGTACCTAGGTATGTCTAGGTGCCTAGCTACAAACTGTACAAATCACGACTATTGCCATCATCCCCTAGAGCGGTTCCTAGGTCCATTAAATAAAAATAAGAATAAAAAACAAAAAAGCCGTCAACCATACTCCTGCGATTGTCGCCACCAACCTACCAGACTCGATGGACTTCTCTCAAACACGGTTTATTATCCATCTCCAATGTTAGACCAATAAACGCCCGCGGCCAGATCTGCATAATTCCGGGGACTTGTACGTAGGTACCTGTAAGATATACGCATAACCCCGTGGATGCATACCAGAGCTATTATCCATCAGGATATGCATCTATCAATAATCACCGCACACGCCGCCGTCTGCACGCCTGCCATGCTGGAACGACACTAGCGCCTCGGTAGCGACTTCCCAGGTGGTGTAGCACTGCGGGTCCGGTCCCCATATCTAGGTACATCTGCCCATGTACATAGGTACCTACTTGTCCATCCTCGAGGTGCCTCACATGAAGTCGAGTCGTCCGACCTCCACCACCACCATGTCGCATGCGGTCCCGCCATTCTGCATTCTGGGAGAGAACCAGGTCCGACGCCGCCTCGCCATCCCGACACACAATCGACGCAGAGGCCGCTGCCATTCAGCTGGCCAGCCCGAGGAGCCGACTCGACTCGACGCCACATCATCGTCCTCCTCCACATTCCCTCGCCCGTAGACGTCTCCCCTCCCGTCCACCGCCACGCACGCCCTCTCTCTCCACTCTCCTTCCGCCGATCCTCTACCATCGCCTCCTGCTCCGCGCGAACGATGGACTTCGCCCCGTACCAGTCGTCGCCGCCGGAGCACAGCCGGCCGTTCTCGCCGCCGCGCTCGGCCGTCGCGTCGCCGCGCACCTCGCTCGAGCACAACAACAACAACAACAACAACAATACCGCCAGCACCCACGACCGCTGGCGGCCCTTCTCCCCCTCCCAGCAACATCCGCACGTCTACCGCACCCCGCCGCCGCTCCAGCACCCGCAGCCCCAGCGCTCCTGGCGCCCGAGCCTGTCCGCCGCCGGCGCCGCCATAGGGATAGGCGGCGGTGGCGGGAGCGGAGGCGGCGGCGGGTACTCGCCCGAGGTCCCGCCGGTCGGCGCCAGCTACGTCAGCGAGTTCGACACGAGCCTCGGCATCCGCCTCGACTACGAGGCCTGCCTCGCCTACCTCGCCCTGCCCCCGCTCGGCGCCATCGTGCTGCTGATCCTCGAGCGCAAGAGCGATTTCGTCCGGTGAGTCCCTCTCTCTTTCGCTTCTCACCGCCATCTTAACTTGGAGCCGGCGGTCCTGCGGTGATGGGTACAAAGGAGGAGGAGGAGGAGGAGGAGCGGCACAAAGCAGAAAGGAGGGGGTAGTAAGAAGAGACGGAGCGAGGGAGGGGCAGGCCTTGTGGGCTAGATAGGGAGACGAGCTCTGCACAAGTGCACGGGTTTTCCTTCCCCCCTCCCGCCCCTCTCCTCCCGCAGCCGCAGAAGATCCCCATACTACCTTGAAGCTGCGCGTGGCCGGTCCGCATCTGCTAACTCTCTTCCCCGTGCCGCAGGTTTCACGCGTGGCAGTCCAGCCTGCTCTTCACCGTCGTCTTCATTGTGCACCTCGTCTTCTCCTGGTCCTCCTTCCTGAGCTGGGTCCTCGCCATAGCCGACCTGTTTCTGATGGTCTGGCTCGCCCTGCGGGCCTATCGCGACGCCGACACGTTAGATCGGTAAGCAGCATTCTCCCCGCCCCGCCCTCCCTAGCTAATGTGTCCTCCCTGCGATAATACCCATGCGCTAATAAGTGTTCTCTCCCTCGCTCTCTCCTCTAGATTCGAGGTTCCTATCTTCGGCCAGATAGCAAGCCGAATACTCGACGACGAGTAGACTCTGCGATACTTCTTCTCGACCCCCCCCCCTTTTTTTTCCCCCTCATCCTCTCACCTCTGATCTGCAATCTCGTCTTTGAGGCAGATATCGCTTGATGCCGAGGTTGAGGCTCGGAGCCGCGTTTCGCTGTACCATATGGATTTCCCGTTGCTTATGTACATATACCCCGAGAGCCCCAGGCGCGGCCTCTGTTCGCTAATGGCATAATACCACGAGCCTCTTTGCCGTCCTTTACATCCAGCAAAGTCTGAGGCTAGAAGTTATTTTTCGCACCTCCGCCTGAGGCTGCCTTTCCGTTGTCTGGATTTGGTGAATCCGTATCGAAATATGCAAGTTCCGAATACAGAATTACACGTGTCTATGTCTGGGAGCTCAAGCACAAGAAATTTACCTTGGCAACCTACCAGCCAGGGACTTTTGAAATCTTTTAACCAGGTTGCCGGCATGAGTGGGTTGGACATTGAGGAGTAGTCATAATTGGGAAAGTTGGTAGGGTACTCTTTGGCCTGGCCAGCATCCAGAAGGCGATGGCTTGGTTAACAGGATTTCACCAACGTTTAAATATTAAAAATGAACGCAACCCATCCCGTTATAGTTATAAGTCAAGGCCTTGATCAAAACAAGATCGCACATCGGAAATGCTAGTAAGCCCTTCGGATACTCCTCGACCCAGGCTGTATCGTAACCTAGCTCCTTCGCCAGTTACCAAGCACCCCGCATAGGTACTATTACAACACGCAGGCGCCCATACTTGCTTCTCATTGCAATGAGATACAATCTCATAGGTATTCTGAAAGTAGAGATGTGTAAATGCCTGAACCACCAGCAGCCTGCCCCGGTCAACATGAAACGACGGTCGGAATCTTTCTAGAATATTAGCCGGCCCCTGCCTGGCTCATCCCTATCCTTTCATCCTATCGAGAGGCAACTTGGTATTGGTTTCCTCTCATTTCCTTTTTGATGGCCGACCCTTCTATCCCGCTGACCCTTCCCATGTCTGCTCAGGTGATTACAATCTCGTGATAAGTACATCGATCGTCCCAGAATTCGCAATTCACGCCGTCGATAGAGAAGAGACAGACGCCGCAGGAGTGCCCGAACACCCGATCGGGGGCGGGGGGACGACAAGAAAAGAACGGCCACATCCCAGCGAACTTGGATGTGTCCGAAGAGGACAGCTGAGCTCTAGCACCGCGGCGCGACTCCTCTGTGGGAGGAAAGTCCGGGATAGGTGGATTACCCTCGTAGAAGGGCAAGAGATCTCTCGCCATAGCGGCCAAACGACGAGCCTAGGGCAACCAAGTCAGCGCACATGACAAGGGACCTCATCCGGGAGACCATGTTGTTGCACGAACAAACCCGCAACGCAACGCAGATCCGCCAACCGCCGCCGCAGGTATTCGCCCACTGGTCCTCCATGGTTGATCTCCACGTACAGAGGCTATGCCCTCCTTAGCTAATCACATACACACAAGTAGCCCTCTGCCCTCCACATGTCATCTGCAGACTTTCGGTCGACTGCTCTTCAATGAGCACGAGACGATGATTTAAGAATTCAACCACACTATCCTATTTGTTGCTGGCTTTTCTCGCTGTTTGACATAAGGTTAACGCATCATCAACGCTCCAGCAGGATACATCCTGTGCTTGGCCCCTTGTCTGTTTCATGTGACACATGTAATTTTAAATACTTCGTGTACATCTAAAGCTTAGCCAGACTTCATTCAGATGGTAGCGCTATTAGGAATCGATCCTATCCTCCATCAAGTAACCCATTCATCTCATTCATGATGCACTACAAAGTCCTGCTAGCCTGATTCCGCCGAGGCCGACAATATATATACCTCTTCACATGTTTCCATGTCGGCAATAAATTGTGGTTTCCAAGTCTATGCCGACCCCAATCAATCGGTGAGGCGGACTAAGGCCTCTCTCCTGCCCAGGCCACCACTAGTAAGGCACAGCATATTAGTGATAGCCAAATGTGGAAGCTGAGAACCTGCTTGAGGTCCCCAAAAGGGCTTTGTGAGAGACGGGCAACATAGCTTGGATCGGTGATAGTGAACATACATCGAAGTGAGGCACGGAGGTGACGTTGTCCTCTCCATTCAGACCGTCAAGATAGTCTGCACCCCTCAAGTCGAAGTCGCCGTTCGACCTCCAGGAGGGGCGCACGATAGTCGAAGTCGCCGTTCGCTATTAGCGCCGAACATCATCGAAGACTGACGTTTTGGCTGGGTGTAATTGCTTGAAGTTGCTGTTGATACAGTATTAGCGGCAAGTCGCCGTTTGCCTTCCACGCCAACGACAGGCGGCTTCTCGGCTGCAATGCTGCCAACAGGTCGAAGCTGCTGTTGGCATGCAATGCCGCCCATAAGCCAAAGTCGCCATTCGACCTCAGTGGCATCCATGTTGAATTAGCCAATGAACTAGTTGGAAAAAGGCATCTTCCCATCAATACCGGCGGGATAGATGTCTGGAATTTGTTAGCTCACAACGCGGGACCAATCTCTCGAAAGAGCTACTCACAGAGGGATACAGTTGTGCCCTTGCGCAAAACAATGACAACGATTCGCAGAAACGAGCTAATCAAAACAATCGCCGGTGGAGCGATTCCAAGCTGTACTGCGAGCGCAGCGATAGCAAGGAATGTCCCGACGGGGACCACGCTCTCCCTCTATTGGAGGGAACACTCCCTCCAGCGAGGCTTTTGAGAGCGAGGCTTGGCCCCCCTGACAGTATCTATAGAACCGCTAGCCTTGTGCTGCTTTGCGGTAAACGACTCTTGCTGCAACGGCGCGTTGTTCTTCGCTGAGGGGCTGTAAAATCGTTGCCGCTAGACATCATTCCAGGACCAGGACCATGACCAGTTGCAACAGGCAGTATCTAGTCCCGGGGCGCCAAGATTGGTTGACGAGGTCTCCTAGGGCATCACCGGTGCCCATTCTGGCAACCCCCATGTGCGGAGGCGACTATAATTATAAGTACAGCGAATAGGCAATGGGGATTCATCGATTTTATTAAGCCCCAAGGTATGCCTCGCCTAAGTTTCAAAGGCCAGCTCGCTGGAAGTTGTCGGCTGGGCAAGATGGCACTACGCGAACTTCTCGATCTTCCGAGACCAAGTTAGGGTATCGAGATCGTTAGCAGGCCGGCTAAGTGTATATTCGAGGCGACCATATGTGTAAGGCCCTCTTCGTTTCGCAGAACGGTCGACGCAGCAAGATGCCACCCAGGGTGGACTTGTATGTCATCGGCTTCCATATCCGAAGGCACGGGGTGTGGAAAAGAAGAAAAAGACAGCTTAGAATCGTAATGCGCAACCCATCTTTTACATGAGATTCAGTCCAGATTCTGCACAGGTGTTAGCTATGTGCCAGCACTATTCCGGGCCAAGAGAAGGAAGGAAGTAAGAGCGCGAAAGAGCCCTTAGATGCGATAGCTTGGCGGCCACTATATTTCAAGGATCAGGGAAGGAGAGGAGTGGCAGGCTGGGGGGGCAGGACGGTTTGGTGGGGGATTTTCCAACTGACATTTACGAGAAGGGCCCTAGAAGGAAGCCAACTAGGAACTCGAGAACTCGAGAAGTGTCGAAATCTGCGCCATAGGCTAGCCTTTTAGCTGTTGTGGTGCCTGTGTGGACCTGGAGTGGCCACGGGCTGTGTTATCGACGGTGGATAGAAAGGTAGATGTACACCACCAGATCCTTCGTCCCGCCGGGGCAAAGACAGGGTGAGGAGCAGAAATGTGAGAAGCGGTGTGACCCAACCTAGTGGGGAACACAGTGCCCCTTGAGAGAGCACCATGAGGAGGGGCAGAGATATTGCTCTCTCCCTTGTAAAAGTCCGAGGTCAGACGACAACGTGGGAGGTGAGAGGTCTACGATTCTCCCATCCTTCACCCATATTTTGCGTTCTGCCCAGTTCGGAGGGGCAGAGTAGGAGGTCGAGAAGAGATCCCAGTATTGCTCTGAGCTAGAGCCGTTGTGGAATCCTGACGCGTATTCATCAGCTAAAAATTGTTTTCCCTTGTCAATCAAATGGGTTATCCAACACATCTTGCTCGGTGGGTCACTATAGGAATACAGGTGTGAAACAGGCATGTTGGCGAAGGAAACTTACCAGACAAGCGAGACCGACGAGTTGAAGTCTCAATAGTAGCCATTATTAGAAGCAGCGTTCAGTGTCTTGAGGCAAGATCTGTCGAGTTTCGAGGGAGCCTCCAAGCCTGGGTGATGGGACAGATGCAAACCGCTCGTTGATGCTCAGGGAAGATTAAGTAGAAGATTCTATGAGGCTCGAAATAAGGCCAGTGTCAAGGTCAGGGGAAATATGAGAAAGATATGGATAAGGCAGGGGGCATGGGAAGAAAGGTCAAAAGTGGAGGGATGCTGCCCCAGTGGTTCGTCCAAGTGTTAGCTGAATTCGAGGCATGGCTTGTGGCCCATATATAGACTTAATAGTTAAGGGTGTGTCGACGGATGTGACATATATGAGAAGCATGCTAGATGTGTTGAAATATCGACGGTATCTGGATCTTTGTTGTTCATCCCCAGTGGGTCGTTTAATATGAATGTTCGCAAAGTCCAGACATCGGGTGAAATGTTGATTTCACTAAGGAAAACCCCACCATGCTTGGGAGAAAGGGATGACTTCTCGGACGTGGTATGATGGCGTTCATGCTAGGCTACTAGCATGTGATGGAGGGAGGTGTCGAGGTGACAGTGACCAGCCAAACGGAGAGGAAGGGTGGAGTTGGACATGGTGTAGATGGAACCCATCTACAATTTCGCAAACAACTGTTTGTCCCAAAGACCGAGAGTTGAGGGTGTTGTGATGGATGTGTGAAGTTGATGCTCCGGGGGGTTAAGGGGAAGGAGGACAATGTTGTGCAGGAGAGAGGCGGAATTTTATAAATACACAGAAACAAAGAAGAGAGAGAAACTAGAAAGGAGATGGAAGGGATGGGGCAAGTCGCAGAAAAAAAAGAATAAGTGCCCTAGGCACTTACTGAGCTACCTACCTACCTACCACCTATACTACATATATATACCTACCCATCTGCTACCACAGCACCCCCCCACCCTATAACGAAAACGAGGACAGATGAATTGGCTAATCACGCCAAATAACCTAACTCATGGTTTATCTCGTCATCACGGACTTGGGCGTGGTTGTCTTGTTGTAATCTTCTTCAGTAGGCTGGAGCAAAGAGGGGGGAATTCAGGGGTACTGCCACATCAAGGAAGGCAACATCATTCCTAAGACAGCAATCCAAGAATCCAATCTGGTCCTTTGCGCCGGGAAGCTGCACATATCAAGACATATGTTGACTCATTGTTGTCCAGAGTTGGGGTGACTACCAAGGACCACAAGATGCGTACGTACCCCTTACCCCTGAGTGCCTATGCCACCATTGATTTCGCCACCCAGTGTACTCCCTACCGAACTGGACCTGTCTGAACCTGTCTGAGCGGCTATATATACTTGGCTGTTGCTTGCTGCCAGCAGGGAAACCTCGTGTATACAGTATCAGCTTCGCTTGGTACCACAGTCCTAGGAATACCTACCCACCCACCAACCTGTTCCCTCTCCCTAGGACACCTTATGAATCGAACCTGCCTTGTTCTTCTGCTCTAGGATTACGAAATTCGTCATACTGTTTGCTCAGTGGCGAAAATACGCTCCTTCTCTGTGCCATCGCCTCTTCCAGGCATCAGATGATAACACTGGGTTCAAGCACCACCTACACCAACATGGCTGGCGTATCCCCTTACGAAAGGCGTACCCTACTGCCTTCCATATTTTCTTTAGAGGAAGCTACACGGCCTATCATGTTTGCTTTGTTTGGGAACTTGACCGATGCTGTTGGGTAGGCACATGTCGGGCTCGTGTGGATAGTAGTAGTCTCATGGCTTCGCCACCACTCCGTCTTAGGGCTTCACTGCTAGTGATACATAATAGGTGTCATTATATGAGTCAGCTACCTCAAAGTGGCCCCTGGCTTTAGCCGGGCGTAGATGGACAGAATATAAAGGGGCCAAGGAACCTCCCCCTACGTAGACTAAGGAGGTGGGTACACAAGCAAGTAGGTAGGAGGAGGTAGGCATAAGGGAGCCCTCATCCCCCCTATCCGTACCTGCACCCGGCTCATAGACGCCCATCAACATGTAGAAGAGCTGTCTGACCTGCCTGCCTGCCCAGACATGTACGTTACTGGGCCACCATATTACTTCGCACTCTCACAGCCTCCCCCTCTCCCCTCCCCCAACACTTGAGCAGGAACGATGTGGTCCATGGCATAATCTCTCGTGTTCGGTGCCTGATGGGTGATGGTTGACCCGCGAGGTAGAGCCAGCCGACTAGAGGCTGTTTGCAATCTTTGAGGCATCAGCAGTTGCCGACTCTGGCAGACTCTGGGCAGCCCCGGCGGCTCCGGTGGCTGACGGCAGCATGGGGGGGACTTCAACGATCCACCCGTCCTCGTCAGCCGCCGCCCAGCGCACACAATCGAGCAAGACCTCGTTCCAGCGTAGGTGGGAGGGCAGCTGTGTGAAGGCGTTGAACGCGTGGGGCAGCCCGGGGAAAATGTGCACTTTGGTCCGGACCCTAAGCAGGGGGAGAAGGGGAAGTGTCACCGTCGTTAGTATTGGGACACAAATAGATAATCGGTAGATATACATATGTAATATGGGGCACGGTGATAGATGGTGCAGAAAAGGGGGTTGGTGATGGAGCCTCTTACCCAGCATTCTTCAACTTCTGCGCGTACAGCAGCCCCTCGTCTCGAAGCGGATCCCAGCCAGCGATCAGGAAAGCGGTCTTGGGCGCGCCGCGGAGCTCGTCCTCGCTGGCGAGCCCGGGGCTCCAGGTGCGGTTGGCCGGGTCAAAGTCGCGGCCGAGCAGGTCGCGGAACAGGCGCATGCGGTCCTTCGTTATGACGGCGGCGTCGGCGCACTGCTCCATCGACGTCTTCTCGCGGTCCGCGAAGAGCTCGTACGGGAACGCGTCGCCGTGGATCAGGTTCGGGATGCCCAGGACCTGGCCCCGGACGCGCGAGGGGGCGCCGCCGTCGCGCGCCCGCCGCAGCTCGCTCTGCACCACGCACGCCGTCAGCGACCCGCCCGCCGAGATCCCGCCCACCACGAGCCCCGGCGACACGTCGATGCCCAGCGTCCCGCCGTGCGTGGCGATCCACTCGAAGCCGTCGAGCGCGTCGTGCCACGCCGTCAGCCCCCCGAACTGCGGCGTCGGCCGGTAGCACACGTGCACGATGGCGATCGAGAGCGAGTACGCGAGCCACGAGCAATTGAAGAGCTCCGTGTCGAGGCTGCCGAAGATAAAACCCCCTCCGTGGAAGTACACGTATCCGGGAAGCGGCCGGTCCTTGAGCAAGACCGGCCGGTAGCAGCGCACGGTGATGGACTGGCCGTCGCGGGTCGGTACGACGTAGTCGCGCTTCGCAACGAGCTGGCTGAGGCCGGTAGCCCGGGACAGGTTCCCGGCTACGGCGGAGCGCATCCCGTTGGCGATCTTCTGCAGCGTCAGGGGCGGGACGTCGTCGCTGTTGGCCAAGACGGCGGGATTGGCCGCCGCGAAAGCGAGCCACTCGCCGCTGGGCTGTCCCCACCGGCTGAAATCCATGTCGACGTAACGGCCGGCGCTCGGAGGTGATGGAGGAAACCAAGATGCGGGTACAGTCGCTTAGAGAGTGGGAGGGAACCGTAGCACGCCGATGCCTGCCCTACATATACATGTCTATACGGGTACTTATCTTGGTAGCCGGCCGAACGGCTAATAAGTTCGTCTCGGGCTTCGAGAACGGATGACGGCACGAATCGGTTGGGTATCGCTCCGGCGCATGGTAACTCGAGCATGTATGCACACTCAAGTAAGGAGATAAAACGGGCTATATCGAGTGACCTACAGCCGGGTATGCATTCGACGCCGGGGATTCATAGGTACAGCTGATGGCATTTTCGTGCTGCCTTGTGCTTCCTAGACACATATGCAGGGACTGAACATCGCATTGTAGATCGATAGGTGATAGCTCGTCGAGAAAAGACCAGTCCAATTCGCCCGAAGTGTCCGGTATTACCCCGTTGTCTCGCCGCCTCCTGCGTAAGTGGTCGCGTCGCCGCAGAGAGGGACGTCGCCACTCTATTCGACGGGGGCTTTGGGGTGTCCGCCGGACAACCAAGACGGGATTCGCGCGTAGATCTACCTCTTGGAAAGCCGATGTTACGCAACGGCAGCGTATTTATTGTATTTGTGATATAGATAGGCACGCCTCCCCGGAGGCAGCCAGGGGGGGGTTGGAGTGGCGGTTAGGTTAGGAGAGGGATCGTCGTCGACCCCACTACCGCGAATACCTACCCCTTGCCGCTTCGGACTCGAATGTGAAGGCAACGTGGACGACGCGCGGAAGCTGTATGAATCGGGCTACCCGCAAAAAAAAAAAAAAAACGCCGCCGAACGCAGGCAGCATTACGTAGCACACGCTGGGTGATATAGATACCTAGCGGAACTGCCAGTTTCGTCGCTAGGCATCATCTACCTACCTACCCACCTATGGCCAACGGATTACAAGGTCGTGATCTTTGCAGACACCAATGCCCTTGCATGGTAAACACGTAGGAGTCCCCGGCTACTGGGAAACAGGTCGTTGGCAAACCTGGGCTTAAGAGACGCGACAAGACATGATATTATAAGAATGGCTTTGACTAGGTAAGTAGGTAATGTTTAAACACTCACACAGACGAGTCGGACGCGGCTCGCGAAGGGTGAAGGATCTCACCCTAGAACTAGGTAGGTATAGAGTGTGCTTGCTGGTTCTAGGCCGTCCTTGGCGACATGGATGATATCTTGAAATGGGATGGTGATGTGATAGATGCTAATACTACTAGCACTTCATTCGGGGTAGTCGACGGGATGGGAGCAGAAAAAAGGAATCTGAAAAAGATCGCAAGAAGTCTAGCAATTTAGTGATAATTTAATCATCTCTGCTTCCTCTTCGCATCTCTTTCCGCGCTCGCCTCGAAGACCCTCTCGCCGCTGTGACAGGCACAGGACTCGTACAGCTGCCCCCAGCTCCCACCGCCTGTCGAGTCGGGAACCGGCGTCCTCCGAATATTCCTGTAGTGTAACGCGCCTCGCGACGTCTAGGACGGGGGGAATAATAGCAGGTGGAACCCGTGTAGGCCTAAGAAGAAGAGAGAAGCGGTCGCCAGTGCTGCGGCCCCCCCGGGAGGATTGGCAGTGAGGACGACGACGAGAATGCGCCCCGACCAACAACCGCCGGCGGACGAGCAGCAGCATCCGCCACCGGCGATCCCGAATGCCGACCTCCCTTGCAGCCGGGCGTGGTACGTGGCCAAGCTGGTCCTTACGTCCTTCTCCGTCGCCTGCGGCGCCATCGTGCTGGGCCTCTCCGTCTCGCTGGCCGTCGACCCGGCCGTGCAGAGCTACATCGCCGTCTGGTCGGCCCCGCAAGCGGGCGCGGCCGTGCTCTGGTCCGGCGCGGAGCTCGTCGCACTCTTCTTCAGGGCGGTCCGCGCCCGGCGGCCGTCCTCGGACGAGGCGCCGGCCGCAGCCGAGGGGGGGCGCCGGCCGAGCGGCGGCATCCACCCGGGCGCGCACGTAGCCGTCCAGCTCCTGCTGAGCCTCGGCTTCGCCGCCGGGACCGGCCTGACTGCCTACCTGCACGCGTTCGCGCTCTCGTTCATGGAGCCCGGCGCCCGCGACGCCTACCCGGGGTATTGGGACTACTACTACAACGACGAGGGGAGCGGCGGGGACGGCGGTTACTACAGCAAGTCGTACGTCGACGCCGTGGCGGTGCTCGTAGCGTTTCTGACACTCCTAACGTGAGTTGCACCTCGGCGAGTTCGGGTTTCATAACCCGGTCACTTGCACCAACCCGTCGCGACGCTAACATATCCGACTTCGCGTCGAATTCTGGCAGGATAACGCATCTCGTGCTCTTCGTACGTTCCTGCGCTGAGACCGCCCAGCGCGAGAGGGCAAAGACCCTCACGCTGGTCCGCGCCCCGCCACCACAGGTGCAGCAAGGACTATTGCTACCGGCGGGGTCCGCAGACGAAGTTAAGCCAGACAAGGAGCGCGTCTAGCCCAGTTCTCCCAAGCACATGCCCGGGTGTAGAGGGGGACGACAGCAGCAGGATGCTGTCCTGCCCCCTGCGGCGCGGACTACTGCCGGACCCGTATCGCTGCTGACGGGCGGCAGCAACGGAGGCAACAGGGGCAGCATACGCCGCAGCCTCTCTGGCGGAGATTATCATTGGCGTAAACCCGACATAACACAGGGTCGCAGCGAGAAATGGACTATTTGCTTTGCGATTCCTACGCCGTGGCTAGGTAACCCGTACATTCGGGGCTTTTACCGCTATCTAAACCGAGAACCGTGAAGCTGATATGTCGAACCGAGTCATATTCATGACCATAACCGTAACCATAGCTATTTTTGGTATTCGCCGGCATAGAGAAGCTTCTCTAGACCGTGCAATAGGGCTCATTGGCGATCTTCTACTCTTGTTAATCCCGCGTATGCATCGGCACGCGGCATTTATGAGCCCCCCCCTCCCTCTCGAAAAGAAAAAAAGAATTGGGGGCGGGAGATATGAGCGAGGACGTTCGAGTGACTTGGACTTAAATCCAAGAGCGGTGGGAACGTGGTATCTCGGGTAAGCTGGAGGGGCTCGATGGGATCGGTAAAGGATTTCGCGTGCGCGAATCGGCAACGTTCGCAGCGATCGATCTAGAGCCAAGGAATTACGTCCGCGACTTTTACGAGGAATACAAAAGCAACAAGCACATGGTAATACGTTTAGCTAGCTTGATCGACAGTAAGAACGGAAAGGAAACATGATTGCGTCCTTCAACTTCCAACCCCGGTCGATAACCTGCGCTGGTCCCGATGCCGTAATGACGGCCAAACCCGGTCAATTCGGGTGGCGAAAAGGCCGGCGACAGAACGTCGTCGTTGTCACGGTTTGTGATCGCAATGAATACGGCATAGCATCTTGAGCTTCACCGAGCGCAAACTCGATCGGGGACAAACGGTGGCAAACTGTGAACGCCCCACCGAGCATTGGGGGTCATCAATTTGAGGCCTCTCCTAATTCTACCGATAATCTGCGGTTCTGATGCGATCGTCGTGATGTCGACATCAACAAAGCGGCCGTCGTAACTTCGTGAACATATCAGAGCAATCTGTAAAAAAGAGTGGCAATCCCTGGTATCAGTCAAGATGCATTCTAGTTGCACTATCCGCCGCAGGTGGTATCCCATCTTCCCTGACCGGCTTCGTAACGCTGGTAGATAACGCCCAACCAGAAAGTGCGAAACTGCGGCTGCTGTGCGTATCGATCTCTTGCGCTGCCGGTAACGTCGTGATGATATGTTATAGATCAGGACGATACGCCCGTCGCGCTATCTGATTAGCAAAGGCTAGGGAATGCGCCCTGCCCCTAATTGCGGGCCGAATGAGTGCCGGCGAGTGGCCGAGTCGTCACTTTCGTCGCTCGAGAGCATCCAACACGATTGGACGGCCAGGAGGCGGCCTAATAAGGGCGAAGAGGGTAGTGGTCGTCGATGATTTGTAGAGCCGGTGAGGGCGGCAATGCTCTCGAGCCGGTTTGAAAAATCCTAGCCGTCGTCATCTTCAAACCTGAAATATGATCTATTGCGTCGAGTCCGAAGGACCGGAAATGCCGTCCTGGTACCGGATGCCCTGAAAAATAGCCCCCTTTCCACGTGAGATATATGCTGGGTGCGGCTCGGCGGGCCGTTTCTCCATAAACGCCCGGTCCCTATCATCAATATCTCATACAGGGCTGTTGGCTTTTTTGGCTGAAGTCCAGTTCGACTGTCGAGATTTCAGTAGTGGGATATCAGATGGTTTCTGTGGGCAGGAGGAAGATGACACATCCACCAACTTCCTCGAAGATCCGAATGGGGGTCTCTGGAGCCACATCGACTGCCTCTTCTACAGGGGGGTTACCTGACATGAAGACGCACAAGACCAAAGAGCCTAATGGGTGGGTTATATCAGCCAAAAACCCAACAATATTGCAAGTGTTAAGTTGGGTTGCTGCAGCGCCTGGTGGATCTGAACTCTCTGCTGCTGCTGCTGCTGCTGCTGCTGCTGATGTATCGATGCGGATGCATTCGACGGCTGATGCCGTGTGAAGTCTGAGCAGGCCGTGTTGCAGAAAGTCGCTAAGTTCCGTCGAGGGGTGTGCATTTGACGGGAGCAAGGGTATAATGACGGTAACGTATACAGAGAAGGGGTGAGACCCCGTATTCGGCGCCGGAATGATACCCTATATAGAATTGAGTAGAGAAAATGGAGCTAAAAAAAATATTAAGAGTCTGGGAACAAATCGGGTCACGCACGCGCTTCGTATTGGTGCGGACATGCAAAGAAAGACGGAAAAATTACAAATTACTGCAATCTCTTGGGAGCAGTACCGGGGACCCACGAAGACTACCAAATATCGTTACGGCAGCTCTGGCAACCGCTTGGGGCTGGAGACAAAGCCCGCCAAGTCGAGGCTCGACTCGATGAAACGCTCGAGATACTAATTTCTTTCCGAATAGATGCCCGCGAGCATAAACAGGTTTCTTGCCTGGCAGGTAATTCCACTCACCTTGGCGGTCCCTCTCGCGAAGACTTGACCAGCCTGGCCAATGGGGACAGGCAGCGGACAAGGGGCGTGCGAGGACGCGCCTCTAACGTGACAGTAGTGGGGGATCCGTGCCTAGGAACCATGGGCAGCGCCTACGGGTAGTCTGAATAAGCTATGTAGGTGTAGTTGTTAAGGTCGATACCCGAGGGTGCAAAACCCGCCGGTTAGATCCAGCATGGGGGGGCGATCATTTAGATCGACACAGAATTCTCCTCAACGGTCGACGCGAGCGAAGTGACGCTGAAGCCAAGCCCCCATCGAAGCTTCTGCGCGTAGAGGATCGAAATACGCACCCTTCAGGTATCTGAGAAATGGTGGCTTCATGGTTGGTCTATCGGCGACGGCTAAAAAAAAAAAAAAAAACAAGGGGAGGGGGGGGGAGCGTGGAGGCGCAAGAAGGCGAGTCATCCCCAAGGTGTGATTTCGTCCCTTTCGTGCGAGGTGGGCAATCCGGGTATTTGCCGAGCATCCCACGCCGCACGCGTGGGCTGGACCGTGTGTGGTAGGCGTGGCCCCTGCTGATCCAAGAGAGAGAGAGATAGGGATAGAGAGAAAGACGGAGGGGCACGTCGATGGAGTGGAAGAGGCCGGATGGAGGCGGATGGATGGGTTAGACGGAGAGGGTATCGGTTCAGCTTTCTCGTCGGGACCGGGCGATGGACAGAGTGGATGGCATCTGGTCCGTACGCATGTAGGTGTGTAGACAGGCAGGCATGTATGTATGTATGTATGTATGTATGCACATGTATGTGTATGTATATGTGCACACGCACATCCGTACAGACCATACATGCCTCGAAAATCCATACATCCATAGCATACCTGCATGCCTGTGTGTACAACGTTCATTTCCTCCTGCGACCCTGGTCAATCCTCACGCATCCGCTTGACTGACAGCCCCTAGCGTGAGGGGGCCCTGAGGGCGAAGATGGGGACGGTCGACACCTGCTGCGTGGGTGTGACCACCCAGGCACGCCGGAAACGTAAGGTGGATATGCAGGTTGGACCGGGGAGTTTGCGTGTTGTTTAGCTCATGGGTTCCAGCCGTAATCAGCCTGTGCCTGACGCGTCCCGCGGCCTCGCGATCGAAGGGTATGTATGCTTTGCTTTCATTGCGATATTGCAGAGGATGGGCCCGCTATGCGTCGTACGGCGATGGGAGGGGGTGATAGTAATTTCACGAGAGGCAATACGCCGTCGTGGTGGTTGCGGCCGTGGTAGGTGGTAGGTGGTAGGTGGTGGCGTCCCTACATACCTACATGCCTGCCTAGGTATCTAGGGATATGAGGTGGTGGTTATGGTGGGAATACATCGTAGTAGAGGATGAGAAGGAGGAGGTGATGATGGTGGTGTGTGTCTACGCAAAGCGTGTTGCAAGCGACGAACTATAGTTCGTCCTGTCGTCAGCCTGTCAGTCCACCGGCTCAGGAGTTCGTTGCTTCCATGTGGTGGTGGTGGTGGTGGTGGTTGTGGTGGCGGCCAGGGGAACTTCGGCCACTGATCAATCGCCTAGCCCCTTTTGTTACATAAGCCGCCGCTGCGTCACCATAATTTTCAACCCAAACCATCCGACGTCCAGGGCCTTGGTCCCGTACCTATGTCCTGCAGAGAAGAATGCCTAGCATCTAGATATCCGGGAGGCATCGAATGTGGGCAAATTTGCCCTCTAAGCAAGTGAAAATCTCTTGATAGCCCGCCCCTGCATCTGGCGGCTTCCTCGGTGCCTGGGCTTACCTACCTACCTACCTACCTACCTACCTACCCACCTAACGTGTCTTACTCTATGTAGCAAGAGAGAGGCCCATGGGGTACCTCAACCCGGTCGGCGTAGACGGACGTTAGGGGGGTAAGCCGCACCCATATCTAGCATAGGTACCCATGAGCACACACACACTTTGTGTCACATCTGTAATATATGGATCCTTATCAGTCAATCGTGTATTCCTAACTTTTCTCTCTTCCCCTCTTCCACCATCACTATGTACTCGGCCCTTCTGCAATCAATTTTGGTCGGCGGATGCATAGGATATATGCCTATACGTCTACGCACATATGTACGTGCAGCAGTAGTGGCCTGGCGTCCCCGGCCCTTTAGGAAGGGCTATCTTGCTGGCCGGAGAGAGGGAGAGAGGGAGCCGGGGGGGCACCGAGTAGGAGGAAAAAATAAATAAAATAAAGGGAAACTAATTGCTTCTCTCTACCAGTCAGCTTTGGGAAAGTTACAGTCGCTTTTTGGTTTTTGATTTTGCGCAGACGCATCTGGGACTTGGATTGGCTGGTGGGTGTGGGTTCCTGGGTCGCGCTGAGCTGCCTTTCCGGTCCATCACCCACGCCTGTAACGTCTCAAAAGCCCCGTTAATCCATTTGTACGATACCTCAAGGCGACCCTACACATGTCAACATGTGTATAGCACAGTCAACACGAGTCTTGTGAGACTGGATGCTGACCAGGTTGTTGGTCGATAGAGGGGGTTGTAATTATTATCGCGAGGTCTCGCTCGACGCTGACAGGAAGAACGTACATGGGTACCTAATATACAGAGGCGTATTTGTACCCGTCTCACAGGTAGGTAGGTGTTTCCGATAAGCTACTCTAGAGGTAGGTACTGGGAGGTCTCTGGTGTGCAAAGGATCGTATAAGCATCGTAAGTTGGGCAGAACCTGTAGGTAGTTTGATCTGTTTAGGAGAGGTACCTGAGATGGTACCTGAGGTGTGTGTATGCGGACGACGTTGCCCGGTGTAGTATCGCTGGCAATGAAATATTATCCTCGCTCCTGATCTATCCATCTTTCTCCATTTCATCCTTGCCGTACCCGCCTCGGCAACGTCCACCCTCCCATCACGTCGGCATTGGTGAGTAGACATATACCTATCTAGGTAGGTATAGAAAGACACGCTCAGGTTCATCCATGTTCTTGTCTACCTAGCTTATGAGTAGATCCCTGAGGTACCCGTCATCTCTACCTAGGTACCTAGGTAGTACGTAGACCCCCGTATGTATTGCCGTACCCATTTCAGAGTAGAGTAGTAGCAGTAGTAGGCGATGCATCCATGATTTATATTTATATATATATGTGTGCAGATACGCATGCATTCGACCACCTGTAGAGGTGTAGGCCCAGCTCTATCCGTTCATCGATTCGCCCCTCTGATAGGTTACCTACCTCTACCCGCCTACCCGCCTACCTGTAGGAGGTACCTACCTAGGTACCTCTACGCGCATCGTTACGTATCCGGCACAGGCACATTAGGTACCTTAGCTAGGAGGTAGTAGGCGCCTTAGTGAGGGATGTTATACGCATACGATAGGTACATCTGCATATAGCAATCCCCAGCAACCTACTATTTCCCGTCATGTCAGGCTTGGTCAGCATGCGTGTGGCTATTCCCACATCGATCTATCGACCTGCACGGCCAAATGATGGATGCAATCCTGTCGCCTCTTAGCTCAGGCCGGAAGCTGAGGCGGGCAGGTATAGCAACCTACCTCCTTGCTACCTACCTGAGGCTAGCAGGTACATGAGGACGAGGTTCTGGCCCGCGGCCGCATCCCCTGATGGTACCTGCACGCCTGCACACATAGGTACGGGGTACCTGTCCACTGCCCAGGCGGATGCCCGTAATGGACCCATCTGGAACTGACGGAGCCCAGGAAAACGAGCCCGGGCACGGCATGTCGTGGCAGGATGGGAATGTACTATGTAGGCATGTCTCGAGCCCGAGGTTACCTCGATCACCTGCTCCCTGACTAAGGGTTCGCGTGTAGCGGGTACCTGCGGTAGCGCGTCGAAACAGTTTGAGGTACATATACCCTGCGTATCCTGGCGTACGGGCAGTCGGAACGGTAGGCACCTAATAATGCCATCGAGGGGAGGGGGGTGGGAAGGGCAGGGAGGCGCACCGGGGGGCGGCATGGGTAACCCCGAAGGGGCATGCGCACTGTGGCGGCACTGTGTCTCGATGTAGCGGTACGCACGTTACATGCCACTCCGGCCGACACTGCATACCGGACCGCCAGAAGCAGCCTCAGGGCTCCATCAGGATCCCATCTTCTCCAATCTTTTTTTTCCCAAGTCCCCTTCTCGAATTTCTTCAGGTGTGCGAAGCCTGCAGCGCTGGGCACTAGGACCAAAGGAGCAACGAGTTGGCTTCTCTACGGAGAAAACGCAACAAATGCGCCGATGACTGGAAGCTAGCTGGAATCTCGGCCCAGAGTCGCGTCGAAACACCTCAAACATCGCACCACTGGCAGCGCACTCTCGTCCTGTCCTGCTCCTACACTAGCACCCGCCGAACTCCTGCTGGTTGCTGCTGGTCCTGTCGCTGCGGCTGGCCTCGTCCTTTCTCGCGCGCCCGCCTCGGCCCTCCTTGTCGGCCCCCCCCCCCCCCCCTCGCTCTGTCTGTTTCTGCGTATCCGTACGAGAGTGTGTGCGCGTGCGGTGTGTACGTGCGGTGTGTACCGGTGTGTGGAGCGAAAGTAGAGAGAAGAGAGAGAGAGAGAGAGGGAGAGGTGTGTGTACATGCGTGTGTGTACGTGTGGTCAATGTATGTATGAGCCCGCAAGTGAATGTGAGTGAGGCGAGCGAGTGAGTGGTGTGTGTGTGTCATGTATGTGTGTGTGGTGTGTGTTGGTCTCGTCTCGTCTCCTTCTCCCTCCCTCCTCGCTGGCTCTCGACACCCCCCACCACCACCACCACCCCCTTCTTTGGATCTAGTCCCTGGCTCTCTCGCCTCGGCTGCGCATACACTGGCACGCACGCACGTCGATACGCACATACGTACATACCTTAACCTCCTACCTGCCTACTTGCCTCCCTGCCTACCTACATACCTGCTACCTACATACGTGCAGTACCCTCCCGTCTGTCACTCTCGGACAGCGGGTGGGAGGAGGTGGTGGTGGCCGGCAGGCAGAGCAGACAGATAGGCAGGTAGGTGTAGCTAGCTGGTGCTTCTGGCTAGCCACCCCGTTCGAGGCCGCTGGGCCAGACAGGACAGGACCTGTTCCGTCCCCTGCCAGCCCTAGGTCGGGTTTCGCGACTCGGCCCCCCCCCCCCCTTACGCAGCGTGGAATCTGCGTCCCCCTGCTCAGATCGCGCCCCCATAAAAAATTGCAAATTAAAATCAAATCAAATGGCAGAAGCACAACAGGAGCAGCCACAGGCTCATCAACCTCAGCCTGAACCCGTCCTTGCCGCCGCTGAAGAACCAGCCCATGCCCTCCCATATCAATCGCCGGGCACGTCCTCATTATCACAGGCTACCCGCGAGCTCGAAGAGACACAAGACACGCAGGGCCAGGCGCGGGTAGAAACACAAGCCACAACGCCCCCAGCGCCGGATGGCAGCAAGCTCGATCTCGATCACGATCACGGCCACGCTCATATAGACGCACACGCACGAACGCCGATCCCACAACCCGCAAATGCAGAAGCGACGGCAGCAGTAGGAGCAATCCTCGGACACGCGCAGGAGCGGGAGCCGGCACCAGAGGCAGAACCGTCCCTCCAGCCCCAAATTCCGAACCACGCTGCCGACGCTAATACTCCGACATCGACGCCAACAGTAGCCTTACCCGCCACTGCTGCTCCTGCCACCACCGCTGCCGCTGTCGCTGCCGCTGCCGACGCGGCTACTCTGCTCTCCGCGAGGGCGGACACCACCGGAATCTCGCCCGATTCGCATCACCAGGTGTCACCCGAGGCCACTGCGCCGTCGTCGGAAGCCATGTCCAATAACCCCTCTCACCCGCCCAGGCCTCCTCGACAGTCCATAGGCTACCCGAATCCGACGGCGTACGCGCCACCGGGCATGGGCAATCCGCAATACGGGTATCCAAACCCAGGGGGCCAGGGGCCGGATGCGTATCGTGCGAGCACAGGTGTCCCCAATAGCGCGATGGCGCTGCCGAGCATGCGCACGTTCGATTCGGCGCAACAGCAGGTCCACCCGCAGCAGCACCTGGCGATGTCGATTCCCGTCAACCCCGTGCCCTCAATGCCTGCGCAATCACACATGGCTTACTTCGGGCAACAGTCGGCTGTCCCCATGGGCGGGGGGAATCCGTATGGCCTAACCGCGGACGCTCTCGGCCCGCGATACGCCTTACCCCCCAGCGGGCCAGGCAGCGTACTCGGCGGCCGACACAAAAAGGTAATTGAAGCCAGGCTGCCATCCGTCGTTGCAAATCTCTCTTTTTTTTTTGTCCTCACTAGCTGACCAGACGGTACTATTTATTGTGTAGGAGATCAAGCGTCGAACGAAAACGGGCTGCTTAACATGTCGGAAACGACGCATAAAGGTACGTGCTATTATTTATTATTGTCATATACGAGCGCGATGCGCAGATCCTCTCAACGGAAAAGGGAGGGGGGAGGGGGGCAGGGGGAAGAGGGCGCTTCGAGGTCCATCACGCAAAGTGGGGGAAAAAGAAAGCAGCGGCCGAGGAAGACGGTCTGGGACGAGAAAGGAGGAGAAGAAAAAGCAGCAAAAGATGACGAAGAATTAGAATGAGGATGGACGGAGGAGTGAAAATACCCACTTTGCGGTGCCTGGGGATTTCCATGAATTGCCTACTTCGCACGCCTTAGCCCGAGAGTTCGGTTGGAGGAGCTAGAGCTGCCTGCCAGCGTAGCGAAGGCCGCTCGCGCAAGACGGGAAGAAGAGGCACGAAGCACAGCAAAAAGCAACGAGAGTACCTCTTCCAACCTCTGTCCTACCCCCAGACACATGGATCACCTCAGGTATAATCACGCCCGTATCTGCATCCCTGGCGATGCACAAACCTACATACACACATATCTGCATGCCTGCATATTTACACCAAGCGGGACGGATGTGCGGGCAGGCAAGCGCCAGCCAGCCAGGGGAGGCTCTGAGGATAGCGAGCGAGATCCAGCTGGACAGCCGTCGCACCCCACCACCGACTCATAATGACGAGGAGGGACACGCGAGAGGAGGAATAGAGGAATGATGAGGGAAAAGAACGCTGCGCGTAGCTGGCTGTCTGTCTGGTCTGTCTGGCTGTCTGGCTGTCTGGCTGGTCGTCCCAGCTGCCAGCCGCCCATCCGGCTCGGTCTCGCTGGAGTTTAAAATAGGTCTACCCCAAGCTCCAAAAAAGCAACATTAACCCCTCCCCGCCCCAAAACCCCTCGAAGCTCGGGACGATCCGAAGCCTCACCTCACCCCCCCCCCCCTCAACTCTGAACTCCAATTCCAAACACGCGCCAGCATCACCGCCTCGCCGCCGTCACCGCTCCATCGTCGTCATCGCCTTCTCAAACCCCCACATTGCACTATCAGGCCTACATGACCGCTTTTCACCATTGCTCGCAAACGCGCACATGTCCTGATTCGGTGCGAATCCCGCCCAAGTGGAAATCATACTCTCCGCCCTCTTTTTTTTTTCAAATGCCTCGTTTGCGTACCTGGTTGTGCGTGCTCGTGCGACATAGCATCCTAGAGTCCAGCTGCTAATTCTCTTCGTCCGATTTCTCCAGTGCGACGAGCAACATCCGATCTGCAAGAACTGCCAGAAGTCAAAACGCGAATGTCTGGGCTATGACCCGATATTCAAGAACCAGCAGCAGCAGCAGCATCCCACCAACATCCGGCCTGCTCCCAATAACCCGAGTTCTTCGGGCCCGCTGTCGTCAAGCCGGCATTCCCCCTCTGCCCCCCTATCGGGCAGTTCCTCTGCCTCTACCAACTATACCACCCTCCCCCCGGTAATATCTAATAACAGCACTTCCACCGTTTCATCTTTCTCTGCAGGCCTCGCCCACCCTGGACCGGCCGGCGCAACGGTAAAAAGCGAATCCCTCGAATACCCGGCCATCATCGATCCCGCGTTGGACAGCGTACTGAACACACCGAGTATGTCGACCTCTCATTTTCCCGCGATCAAGCATACTGCCCCAAATCTCGTTATTCACAGCACACCAGACGCACTCCATCTCAGAGGTGGTGGACCTTCACCTGTTCCCCTGCATTACCCCGTTTCGCACTACGCGCCGTCGTCTTTTCAGCAACACAACCCGGCTTACACTGGCTTCCCAGCGAGAAAGATGAAAGTCCACGAACTCGTGGGTATGAGCGGCGCCGTCCCTCCTATCCTCGACTCCCCTCTGACCAACGAGAGGCTGGCCGAGGTCAGGGATCTCTACGACCAGGTGTACGCCCCGGGTCTGGAAAAGTTCTTCGAGACGGAATGGTACACTGGGCCCCAGGGTGCCGGCGCTTTGGCGTCCAGCGTCTCCGCCAACGAGATGCTGGTGGGCTTTCTGCAGTCCATGGCCAAGACGGATGCTAGCGATGTTGCCGGGATGCAGTATTCGGCCAACCTTGAATTCAGGGTAGTCTGGGACCTGACCGCCCTAGTCTACGCGTCGGAGTACAAGGTCAACGTAGGAGAACACTTGCCGCCCCCCGACGACGGACCCGAGGCTCGGAATCGAGTGGCGGTTTTCGAAGCTCTCCTGGCCGGCGAATTCCTCGATCGGAACCCACTCCTACCGCCGCCCGTGAGCGCCGACCTACGGCTACACCGGATTCGAGAGTTCAGGTTCTGGTACCTTCTTGCCGAATTTCTCCGCGTCAGAGACCAGCCGAACACGGACGTGACGCGACAGCGGGACCACCTGCTCGGGCAGATGCGCGATCTGTTGGACGGGCGGGAGAACCGGGACGTTCTCTACTCGCTCGCCGTTATCCGTGCCCTTGCGCCGAATTTCCCCCCCGACTTCGAGAGCACCCTGCCGCCGCACCTCGACGAGAGTGACCCCAAGAGCAAGCTAGCCGTGGCCCGCAAGTTTATCCAAGACGAGTCTCAGGTGACGGGCGGAACTACGAACATAGTTCGCCGCTTCTCCGAGCTTGCCGTTCGGGCGTTCATCATCCCCGGCAGTAACATCGGCCGGAGGTGACGCGTGGGGGCGGGGGTTGGGTCCAGCTCTCGGTACGGAGAGCGACAGCGTACTAGCACGCATACGGCCTATATTTCCTGACGTTTGAACATAGTTTTCTGTGGCTCTTTTTTTAGGCGGCAATACTGGACCCCAGACTTCGTTCCTCTTAGACGCCCAACCCGAGGGTTCACTTTGCGCATTGCGTTTCCTCCTTCCTCCCGGTTAGATCCGGTCAACGGGTCGCCGAACGGGGACTCGTGGAAGCTAAGAATAATATTCTAGCCTATAGAAGCAGCTGGGTGGTGGAATTCTTGACCGGCGTTGTGGCATTCTACGGATTTCCCCAAAACTGGCACTGCACGTTTTACGTCTACTGTTTATCATTTACCTCGGATGCGATGTATGAATACGTGTTTTTGGAAGACCATTTATTGGCCGATAAAATGTGGTAGGATATGGTGTAATTTTTTCTTTCTGTTTTTCTCTTTTTACCACATCAGCTATTGTTCTCGTACGGACGGGACGGAAAAATCGGTATCCACGCATCACGGAAAATTTCTTTTCCTTAAACCAGAGCGATGGATGAAATTTTTGGGATCAACCCAGGACGGCGCCTAAGTGCGAAGAGGGGAGAGAGATTGGGGGGAGGGCGAAGGGAAGGACGAACGGACGGACGGACGGACGGGGGGGGGGGCGGAAGAAAGGGTGTAAAGGGGGGGAGAGGGCATTATTCATCGGGATTCTTTTCTTCGCCGGCGCCCTACCTTGTTGTTTTTCCCAACCACACCACCACAACCAAGCCCATTACTACTGCTGCTACAGTGACCGGATCTTCTACGGTACCCGAGACCTACCTATAGAGCTCTTCAACTAATATATGCGGGCTCACGGGGAGAGAGAGGGAGACTCGTAGATAAAACAACAGAACTCTGGAAAAATAACGAAAAAAAGAAACGTTAGGAAGAAGAAAAGAGACTTTCTCTCTCGCCGCAGCTTCGTTTCGCGCAGCGTATACCGCATGATGCTGCACAATAGGGTAAGCCAAGGTCCAGACCGTTCTCCCAGGATAAAAGGGAGCGAGGGGGAAAAGGGGGGAGGGTGGCCGAAGCGGGAAGGGGAGGGAGAGCGTGCCGAAGTCAGATGATAGGGTGGGAGGATACGAAAGAAGATCAGACAAGGCCGGACGGAGAAAGGGGAGGGGGAGGAGGCGCCGGGGAGACGGGGCAAAGGGGTAGTGTCGTAGTGGTGGTATCGAGACGATGAGGCTCACATCTCGCATGTGCAGTTCGGGGGCGCGCACGGTACCTACCTACCACCCTCTACCTACAGCTACCTACAGCTACCTACCTGCATCTCCTCCTCGGGGCTCTCATCTCCCACCTCTCCCACCTCTCCCGTCCTCCCGGCTGACTAGCTGACTGGCTGGCTGGCTGGCTGGCTGGCTAGGTCGCCCGCCCTACCGCGCGCTGCTGCAGGCTCCCCCCATTGACGGATAGAATCCCGAGCGGCGCGCGCACATGCGCGGCCGGCGCTCCAGACTCTCTTGGGCCGGCGGAGCGCGAGCAGGGGTTCCCTCGCTCTCTCTCTCTCTCTCGCTCGCTCGGCTGCGGCCGCACGCCACGCCAACCTGCGTCGGTCTATATATAGCCACACGCGCACACCCTATACCCTACCTACCATCCGTCACGCGCGCACGCGCGCGCCCTGTCCATGTTACCTACCTACTCATACCTTGGGTACCTAACCCTACCCGCCCCTGGCCCCAGCGCGCGCGCGCCGCGCTGCTCCCGTTCTCGCCCGCCGGCGCCGCGGGCGCGGAGATGTGGGAGGGGGGGGGAAGAAGGGCAAATTTCCCTGCTTCCTGCGCGTGCGTCACGCGACAGCCAGCGTCCCCCTTTCTGTTCGGCTGCTCGGCCGGCGGGTCCAGCCCAGCTCCGCCGAACCGCCTTGCTTCCCCCCCAAACCCCCTGCAAGAGACCCCCCCCCCAGGGTCGAGGCGAAGAGAAAAAAAAGTTGGGGCCCAGATCGCGTCCGCCCGCCTTCCCCCCCCCCCCCCCCGGTCCCCCTCACCGAACTGCCAAGTTCGGCACGCAGACGGGAAGCGAGCGAGCCGGTGCGCGCGTGGGCGTGTTGTCCCACCCCTCGCGAGCGCTCGCATGTCGATAATTAGATTATACATATATATCTATACATCTATGCCGCATGGCCTTAAGAGAGACGGTATATGGGTTGCGGTATTGACAGGGGAGGCAGGCAGGCAGGCTGGCTGGCTGGCAGGGAGGGAGGGGGTTGAGTGAGTGGGTGGGATGGGTGGATGTTGCTGTCCTCTCGTATACCTCATACAACGACGCCCTCCTCCATCGCCACCAGCTGGTGCTGTTCGTATGTGTATGTGTGTGTGTGTGAATTACCTGCTGCTGCTGCCGCCACCCAGGACTACGAAGGCTAAGGACACCAGTGCCGGCCGCACGATCACCGCCGCGGCGATGCTAGCGGCGTCTCGGCCGAGGCTGGACACAATATGCACCATGATGAGGCCCACGACGTCGTCCAGCATCGCCGCCGTGCTTAGCACCGTCCCCAGGCGCGTCGAGACCAGGCCGCTCGTGCCGAGGACCGTGAACGTGGTCCCCAGGCTCGTCGCGCACAGGGCAGCGCCGGCGGCGAACGACTGCAGCGGCGTGGCGCCGGCCATGGGACCGAGGGAAAAGGACAGGCCCATGGGCGCGGCGATGCCGGTGGCCGCGACGCAGGTGGAGAGGAGCAGGTTTGCCCTCATCGTCGTCACCGAGCAAGAGAGGCCGCCTGGCGCGGGGGTTCAGGTGAGTGTTCCTTGTAAGAATGTGGTTCACTAGGTTTAGGGACAGGAAGAAGGAGGCGAGGACGAGGATCTGGACGACGGAGGGCTCGTGGTATGGCAGGGACGCTGCCTCGGTCGCGCCGGCCATCTCTGCCGTGTTTATATCTTGAACGAGAGCGAAGGGGTATCGTCAGAGAATGGATGTTGAGGCGATCAGGTGTAAGTCGGCCAGCTGGTCTGCGAGGAGTTGTTGAAGGTGTGGGGCGCCCATTAGGTACGTAATCTGGGCTACGACATGGTTGAAGATGAAGAAGAAGTATATTTAACGTCACGCATTCTACCTACACTAGATAATGAGACGGGCCTGCGTCGCCGGCTAGGCCACTTTTGGTCGGTGATGGGGTTCACAGGAAAAGGACATGGTTGGAGAAAATCGGAGAGACGTCAGCATCTTCTTCCCTACACACGTCGCTTCGCCTGGGACATTTCTACGACGTTTGGATGCACTTCACCAATTTCTAGTAGTGAATAGACGCGGAGCTCGGGACATTGATTTACTGACGGGATAATACATAACCTTAGAGGAGGGAGATGCCGCCGCGATGACCGAGAGCAACGGAATTGCCTCTACCCCGCCTCCCATCCCATAAACAAACCAAAAATCCTCTCTTCTTTTCTTTGCTACTCCTCTATCCCTCTTACATCTTTTCCCCTTTTCCTCACTAATAACCCCTTCGTTTCTTCGTTTTCCTCGGCCTTTGGAGCTTAGAAACTGAATACCTCACTCTGAGATATTGCGAGAATCTCCGCCTTTCTAGGTACGACCACGCGCCTCCCCTCTTCTTTTCGTTATCGATTCTTTATCTTCTGTCCTGGCTGACCTTCCGTTGGTACACTTTATTATGGCGGGTTATCCGTCAGAAGACCTAGAATTTAGCGGGCAAGATTTATCCACTGTTGTCAAGAAAAGCGATTTCGACCGGCTACGCTGACAGCCACCTCCCACGGAGGCAGTTCCGGAGGCCCCCTTCCCAGCCACCGTGGACATCCAACAAGAGGGCGTATTCAACGAAGAGCTCACCTGCCTCCAGGAATCAGGTCGCCGGGTGGTGGGCACATGGGCTAAAGAGCACGCAGCCCACAAATAGGAGTACTCACTCACTTACGTACCTATACGGGCCGGCAGGATGCCTCGGAAGGTAGGTATGATTCGGGGACTCGGCGTCGGACACGCACGAGACTGCGGGGCTAATCGCGTTCGAACAGCACCCGACGCCGACGTCGAAGCTCCAGAACCGCGACAACCAGCGCCGCTCGCGGGCGCGCCGCCGGGACGTCCTCGCGTCGCTCCAGCAGCGAGTCGCCGAGTACGAGCGCCGCGACGCCCAGGCCACCCTGCAGATGCAGGCGGCCGCCAGGGCCGTGCTCGCGGAGAACCAGCGCCTGCGCGCGCTGCTCCGGCGGCGCGGCGTCTCGCAGCCCGAGATTGACGCCTACCTCGCCGCCCCGGACGGCCCGGGCGAGGGACATGCCGTCGTACCCTCCTCGAACCCGACGCCCCAGGCACCCGCCGCGTCGGCGCCGGCACTAGCGCTGGCGCCGTGTCGCAACAGCAGCGGACAAGAGCGCGAGAGCACATTGTGCGCGAACACGTGCACCTCGCCGCTCGCCGCGGACCCTCAAGTCGAGCCCCCGCCTCCGAGTGCGGGGCCCAGAGACACCCTCGAGCTCTCGTGCGACGAGGCGGCCGAGATCATCGCCACTTTCCGCGGCCACGCCGACCCCGAGGCGGCGCGCGCCGCGCTCGGGTGCAGCGGCCCGGCGGCCTGCCGCGTCGACAACTTGAGGATCTTCCAGCTGATGGACGCGGACGAGGGCGCTTAAGGCCTTCTGGAGACCTAGACTAGATGCCAGGCGTTCGACGACGGATAGCTGGTCTCTACGCCGACATGACCCCCTGGTTACCTGGTTTTCTGGCATGTTCTGACCCGGTCGTATAAGTATTCGCACTGGAGTGCTTATTAATAGGCATTGGGGGCGCGCAGAACGCTCAGCTCGCTTGCGGTTAGGTCTAAGCATTTAGGATCGTCTATTAGTGGTTAATAGGATCTTTTACAGGCCGCTATGCCGACAACAAGAGTACGAGCATTCATTGCCCCTGCATGCGCCTAATGGTACCTAGTATAGAGTATAGAGGATCGCGGGTTTACGTAGGCACTGCTGGCGGGTTGGCAACAGACGTATGTAAGTAACGGCATTATGTACACATGCAGGCCAGCTATACTCTATCCACCCACCCTTAGGCGTCGTCCTTCTTCTCCCCCCAGACAGAAGCATCGTACCCATCCATCCACGCGACGAACTCGGGGCCCGCGGCCGCCCACCCCTTGATACCCTCGGACAGGATCACGCTCGCTATCGCCGTCTCGCCTTGCGCCTCGAGATAGTCGCGGAACCACGCGGCCGCGCGGGTGCCGCGGCCGCGGGAGGAGCCTGGGCAGATCGGGGACGTGAGCGGTGCGGTTGGGAATGCGGGGGGGGAGGGGGGGGGTACTACAGCGATGCGCGCTGGGCGGGGGCGGGGAGAGACGAATGTGATAGAAATTGAAAAAGAAAAAGGTGCGAGAAGGAATAAACGAAAGTTGGGGCCCGGCTTACCGCAGTACCATATGACCTCGCGCACGCCGGCGGCCTTGAAGACGCGGTGCAGGGTGGGCAGGCTGGGGTAGAGACTCTGGGCGGGGAGGTTGAGGGAGCCCCTGACGGTGCCGCCCTGCCTCGCACACGGCGGCGGTTAGCCCGCCCCCACGCGCGATTCCTCCTCGCGGAGAGGGGGGGGGAAGGGGGGAGGAGGGGGAGAAGACACACCTCGTGGTCGGCGCGCCGCACGTCGACAAGTACAAAGGCGCGATCGCCCGGCGCGGAGTCCCGCAGCCGCTGCAGCACCGCATCTCGCGACAGCGCGGCCGGCGCCGCGTCCTTGGGCTCCGGGAAGGCGGCGTACCACGGCTGCGCTGCGCCGGCCGGGGCGGTGGTGCTGGACATCCTCGGGGGGTGTCGCGTGAGGTGGGTGGTGCTGGGAGGATGGGAGGAGCTTGGTTGGGTAGGTAGGTATATGCAGGCTGCGGGTTACGGAGGAGTAGTAAGGATCCAGAAGGGAGAGAGAGGGGGGTGATGAAGAATGAGAATAGTGGTGGCGTTGTGTTTGATTTCTACGTGCCTCGGGGAGGAAGACGGGAAGATGGGAGACAGCCAGATAGCCTAGGCTATTTTATTTGCTTGGCTGGCTCCGTCGCGGGCGGCGAGATCTGGAGGTGCCCCCATTCAGGAGGGAGTGTGTCATGCCCTCGGCGCGATTGGCTGGAGGACAACGACGCTTCAGATTGGCTGCTATCAGCTTGGCCTGCCTCCCCATCCACCTAGGTACACGCTTCTATAATATTCGTGCTTCTCTCTTCTCAAAGAAATCCATTCCTTACTCCTCCTCACTCATGCCTTCAGCTAGGTGGGTGTGTTCTTGGTGCGCTACATACCTACCTACTTGTTCTCTTGAACCATCAGTCCATTTCCTCACCGCCCCCCACACACTAAGCAATGGACCATGATACCAAAGAAAAGCTCGGTACCCGTTCGCCTAGCGACGAAGAGCACCCGCCTCCCTCGCCGCCGGGAGCGCATGTGGACGGCACCGACGACCGGGAGAACCAGCTCAGTCTCCGCGATGAGCCGCAGAACCGGACCCAGCTCTCGGCCTTCAAGGCGCTGGGCTGGCTCGACCGCCTGCTCGCCCTGTGGATATTCCTCGCCATGGTCGTCGGCATCCTCCTGGGCAACTTCGTGCCCGGGACCGGGCCGGCGCTGCAGAAGGGGAAGTTCGTCGGCGTCTCCGTCCCGATCGGTGAGCCCAATCCCCCCCTTCCCCCCCCCTTCCTACTCCGTCCGGATCCCGGCGCTGACCCCCCGGCTCTCGCGTCTAAGCCGTCGGCCTGCTCGTCATGATGTACCCCATCCTGTGCAAGGTGCGGTACGAGTCGCTGCACGAGCTCCTCTCCCACCGCGCCATGTGGAAGCAGATCTGCTTCAGCCTGTTCATGAACTGGATTGTCGCCCCGTTCCTCATGGTGAGTCTCGATGGGCCGTTCTCGTCGAAGCCGCTGCTGAAAAACCCTGCCCTCCCTTCAGCTGGGCCTCGCCTGGGCCTTCCTCTCCGATAAGAGCGAGCTCCGCGCAGGCCTAATTCTCGTCGGTCTCGGTAGATGCGTTGCCATGGTCCGTATTAATTGCCCTTTGATAGAGCATACCCAGATGTAGGCTCTAGCGCCGCCTGTGCTGACACGTGGTATGCACGCTGCAGGTCCTTATCTGGAACGCGCTCGCCGGCGGCGACAACGAGTACTGCGCCATCCTCGTGGCTGTTAACTCGCTGCTTCAGATGGTGCTATTCGCGCCGCTCGCTGTCTTCTTCATCCGGGTGATCAGCCGGCAGTCGGGCGCGCTGGACGTCTCGTACGAGGTGGTCGCCACCAGCGTGGCCGTCTTCCTCGGCATCCCGCTCGGCGCCGCCGTGCTCACGCGCTTCGGGCTCCGCGCCGCGGCCGGGCCGGCCTGGTACGAGCGCGTGTTCCTCCGCGCCGTCTCGCCCTGGTCCCTGATCGGCCTGCTCTACACCATCCTCGTGCTCTTCGCCCTCCAGGGCCGCCAGGTCGTCCACCAGATCGTGTCCGTCGTCCGCGTCGCCGCGCCCATGGTCGTCTACTTCGTGCTCATCTTCTTCGTCACCCTCGCCCTCTCCCGCTCCCTCGGCCTGCGCTACGCCCTCGCCGCCACCCAGAGCTTCACCGCCGCCAGCAACAACTTCGAGCTCGCCATCGCCGTCGCCGTCGCCACCTTCGGCCCCGAGAGCGACCAGGCCTTGGCCGCGACGGTAGGGCCGCTGATAGAAGTACCCATCCTGCTGGGCTTGGTATACGTGGTGCGGTGGATGGCGAATCGATGGAGTTGGAAATGAGGGTCCATGCCAGAACGTTAGCACCGTAAAAGTGAAGCGAGGCAGAATATTCCTAGCATCTGCTATGAGGATCACGGGTTTGGAGTTACTTCTACATGTTGAAATCGCATGCACATGTTCGATACCGGGAATTCAAGGCCCTTCAGCGATATCATGAATAATTAAAATAGACTCAAATGCTACTCAATTCACTCTGTCATTGCGAAGAAGGCACTTGACGCAGGGCACATTTGTCTTATTCAGGAGCCGGGAGTGGAGGACTAGAGTGAGGTCGGAGATGCTTCTCGCCGCTACCCTCTGCCGGAAACAACGCCGTATCTCACCAACCCGAGCGCAGCTCCGAGGATAATAACAACAGGCGCCGACAAGCCGTAGTATCGTCCGCCAACGTAGGCAGTGGTCGTGACGACAACCCACCAGGGGTCGTCGCCGAGGCTCCGCCCCGACTGAAAGCCCTCGTCGAGGTATCCGACGAGCCAGATGCGGTAGACGGCGGTGTAGATGAGCCCGACGGCGCTGGCGTTGACGCCCTTGACGGCGGACTTGACGCAGGGGCGGCTGCGGAGGGAGCTCCAGACGCCCATGGTGCCCTGGACGAGGGCCATGCCGGGGAAGAAGATGCCGACGAAAGCAGCGGCGGCGCCGGCGGCGGAGGGCAGGCCGCTGTTGGCGGCGGTGAGCCCGCCGAGGAAGACGGCGAAGTTGAAGTTGGGGCCGGGGAAGGCCTGCGCGAGCGCGAGCCCGATCAGGAAGTCGCGCGGGCTGACCCAGCCCTCGGCCACCACGTACTCGCGCAGCAGCGGGATCACCACCGGCCCGCCCCCGAAGATGATGGTCCCCGCCAGGTACAGGTTCGCGAACAGCCGGTAGAGCAGCGGCGGGTGAGCCAGCACCCCGCGCGCCACCATGACCGCCACAAAGGAGGTCAGGAAGAGCGCGATGACGGCGGACCCGGTCTTCCACGAGAAGTTGAGCTGGTGCTCGCGCGGGATCACGCGAGGTTCCGACTCGGTTCGAGAGGGCTCGTTTTCGCGACGCGCGCCGGGGGCTAGGTCGCGTTCTTCTGCGCCGTCATCGGCCCGCTCAGCGACGCGGAGCTCGGGGGAGGGACCGGCGGCGGACGGCTGTTGGCCAACGGGGAATTCCCCGGCTCCTTTCAAGGGATCGAGTTGAACGTGCGTCCTCGGGTCGAGGCCTTCCTCCTCGGCAGGGGCGGTTTTCCTCTTCCGGAAACCTACGGCGGTCAGTGTCGCGTTGACGGGCCGGTGCAGCCAGCGCTTGTCGTGGACGACGGTGACGACGCCGCTCGCGAGGATGAGCACGGGGAAGTACCAGAGGGCGTTGTACAGCAGGCCGGCGGCGCCGCTAAGAAAGACCAGGGTCCTCGTGACTTTGTCGGTGACGGCCTTCCGGGACAGCTCGACGGCAGCCAGCGCGATGATGCCGACGGTGGCGGCGTTGAGCCCCGAGAGCAGGGCGTACACGGCGCGCGGCAGGGTCGACCCGATGCTAGAGACGCCGATTGACAGGGCGTACATCCCCAGCGCGCCGGGGAGGCTGCGGAGGTGAGGCCGACGTTCCGGACGGTGAGGGGGGGCTGGGTTCGGTGCAGGCCTACCTCCAGAAGAGAAACCCGATCAGAGCGCCGAGAACGCCGTCGTGGATCAGGTTGATGCAATACAGCATCTTTGTGCTGGCCGGCCCGGACAGGGCCTGGGAGATGCTGAAAAGCTCTTGGTACTAATACCCGTCAGGCCTTCGTAGGGCGGCTGTGGGAAAAGGCAAAGGGGGGGGAGAGGGGAGGCGAACCAATTGGTCGTCGATCCATTTCAACTTGACCACGAATTTGTCATGGAACTAGGACTGCGCGTTAATAGGTACATACATCGTCCTTGGGGATAGCAATAAGGCTCGGGTTCATGGACGTCCGCCTGGCACTCACAATCTTGAAGTGCACCGGCGGCCCGCCAAACGACGTCAACCCCAGATACCACTCCGCCCGCAGGATATCGACGGCATGATGGCCGTAGGGGCCGAGAGTCTGCCTCCAATCCGAGACACCCATTGAGACGGGTCAAGTTCTTGTAAGCTTTGCTAGGAGTGGATGGAAGTAGGTGTTTCTTCTAGGCAGTATGGCGCCTTGGATAGGAGTGCTCTGCCTTCTGCGTATGAACATGTAGAGGGTTGTATTTTTTTTGGCGTTAGTGTTCACCGGGTGACGCAATGAAGCGTGGGTTTGCAACTATCCCTGCTTGAGACCCTCACAGACCACAAAGCGAGGCCAACGCTGTCTACCTATTACAAGCCTCCGTAAGGCTTTAGAACCACGTAGGGGAGAAGTCTTGGAATTGCATCGTGTACGAGGCCTTGGAAAGTAGGCTTGGCCTTATCTTTATAGAACCTATTTACCTGACTCTCCTGCTGTTCCGAGCAGGGGCAGGTCGTCCCTATCGTGAATATACAAAGTAGAATTGTGTTGTATTGTGTTGTCCTATTGCAAGGATTAATTATATAGGTATGTAGGACCTTATCGAATTATGGAGTTTTCTTATCGAATATCATGCGCGGATTAGCTCGGTCAAAAATAAAACATGGTTACGTGATTGGTTGTTTAGAATCACTTGCGCCCCTTTTCCTCAGCCCTCAGAGGGTTCCCCACGTTTTCAGCAAAAACGTCAGGGAGAGCAAGGTCTTACATCTTACCCGAAGGATAGGATTAATTTTATGAGTATCTTACCTGGCTCCCGAAACTAAACCACGTTGAGATCTCGACCCGTCACCGCCCGTTACTGCTCATCTAAAGCATGCCTGTCGTCTTCTATGCTCGAATCTGGGTTCCCGGACGTCCACGACAGGCCCCAACGGCCCCCCGGACCCCTATACGGTGATACCTACATTCTCGACAAGATAATGGACGGACGAACACGGGCCGGACGACAAGAGCCACTAATCAAATGGATGGGATAAAGGGACCCTAGATAGGAACCTAGAGAAACCATATAGCAAGATGTCCCCTACCTCCTTGAAGCTTTCGACAGGGATAGACGCCAGCGAACACGACGATGCTCAGACGCACCTGGGCCGCCGACTTAGGCGAAGGAGACCTCTCCTACGAGGCGCGTTTCTGTCTTCTCGCAAAACATAGGTAATGCTACTCTCGTAGAAAGCGATGCACTCTAAGCAGAACGCGAGAAAACTTCATTTCTCCCCTGCCTCTATACCCATTCCCTCCACCGTACGATACGGAGTGCAGCCACCGTTCCGATCTTCGGTCGAGTTTAACTCTCATAAGGACGTCAGTTTAGACCGACATTAACCAGGCCACCACGGGCGCCGTTGCGGCCGTTGGGAATGCTACCCTCTTATACTACAACTGTGGTTAGAGTTACCAGCTCTGCATTCGCAATAATTCGCCAGGCTTCGTGAATCCTTCCAAGGCTAGTAGCTATTCCCCGCCATAGTTAGCCTCGAATCGGTCGCGGAAACCATTCCGGATAGTCCCGTTGTCTCAGAAGAAGATCTGAACCAGTTTGAGTTCCAAGCAATCGAATACCAGGCGAAGCGTACCACTATATAGTACCTTAGGAGCACCACGGCCCTGTGCTAGGATTCAGCCCGATAGATGGTGCGTACGGGCCGAGTCAGCCCCTACTGGAGTCCCTGCAGCTGGCGTGGGGGGATCTTCCTCAACTCAAAGAAGAGGACGGCGAGAAATTCAAAGAGAAAAGCTCCGATCAAGATACTAAAGAGAAACGACGTGGGCACATCGTTGGTAGGACGGTTAGGAAAGACTCTAGTTGCCAATAACGGGCCCAGGTGCCGATCAACAAGATAACAGCTGCATCGTCAGGGTGACAGCTGTATATAGTGATCGGCCAGCTAGGAGAAATAAGAATCTAGAAATGATACAAGTACGAAGGCGTGGCAGGCGAGGATGGCGATTCGAGGGGTGAATAGCTATCTAGCTGGCGATCAGTGTAATGATTAAAATACGAGCAAACTTCTGACGCCGATCATCGCTATCGAGTATAAGGCGGCTCATAAACTTCGTGTCGATAGGTTACGCAGTGCTCTCTCTTCCTCCCGCCGCATCACAAGTTTCTTCGCTAGTGCCCTCCGAAAATATCACCTAAACTAGGGGCAAAGCGGTCAACATGAAAACCTCAACGCCAATGCAGCGAAGGTTCCGATAAAACCCTTCCACTACACGATTAGCACAGGCCTACAGTACGGCTATACCTCGTCGGGACAGGGGCTTGTTCTGCTCCAGATGAAGCCGGATGAACCATCAACCCTGTACCACCATTTTTCCGCTCCAAAAGAACTTCCGTCCGACGTTCGTGAAGCACAGAAGCTTGCAGAGGCGAATCCTGAGACCCTATCCAATCCGGCTCTCGTAAAGGTGCTTACCATGATCCAATAATCCGTGGCGGAAGGCTGCCAAAAACATCTTTGTGCCAATGGCCGCTATTACGCCCGCAATTTCGCGAGACGTTGGGTAGTAAGAACCGGGCGACATTGCCAGAACGTCTCGCTAAGCTTCAACCGCCTTCAGATGTGGGTAAGTCAGACGAAACCAAGTACCAGAGACGGGAAGATGAGAGCGAAAACGAGGACGATGCTTCGGCAGCAGTAGCAAACTGGAGGTAATATACCTAGCAGTCAATCATCGCGACAACTTCATGCTCCAGCATCAGTTTCGGGCAACTAACGTAGGCAAACAGGCGAGGGCCAAGAGCAGCCGGCGCCTCCAACGACCCGAGAAGTCTATAGGAGGCCACTGCCTTCGTTCTGCTCTCAAAAATGCCTGCTCGCCTTGCGGAGAGGGAGGTCGATGGGTCGATATTGCCCAAACGCACGACACCATCGGGGCGAATCTCTAGGCGAGAACCATCCTATGTCGTTAGGGTAGTTTGCTTTTCTTGTTTAAAAAAACAGCTGGCCGTAAGTTTAGATGACGATGTCCTCTGTCCAGACAGATGGGGTAAATTTGGCGCCATCGGCGTGTTATTCCACATCACCTTACACGAGTACGGCTATACATTTGTAGCCAAAGGTGTCCGAAGCGCATAAGCGCAGGTTCTAGCACGCGAGCATTCTGTGTATGAGCTAATTACTGACCTCTAAGGCCACGTCGTTCTGGTGTATCTTGGGTTCATTGACCTCACACGCGAGTACACGTCCTGCTTTGGCGCCCACATACGGCGCATACTCCTCTTGTCGTTCGGCGGCCACGAGCTCTCCCGTAGCGAGTATGAGAATTCCGAGTTCGAGATGGACGGGCGGCTGTGCGAACTAGCAAACCCACGAGGTCTTCTACGGCGACGGGCGGCCACAAAATGTGCTCTGGAGCCACGGGATGTCGCGACTAATGACCATCGACTTCAGCCATACCGAGATCGGCCTGTCACACGGGGATGGAACCCTGCGCTAATAATTAGGTCATAAGGGTTAGGAGGATAATATCGGGTATTAAGGTTATTACCTCGGGGACTTATTAAGGAAAAGTCCTAGATAAGCTTCGGATAGCTTCGGTAGTAAGGTATAAAGGTATAAAGGTACGAGGGTACCTTTGAGATATATTAAAACGAAAAGGGAACGACGGACTTAGAAAAGAATAAGGACCTAAGAAACCCTTTATAGAATTATTAATTAAATTAAACCTATTCTAAGTATATCCCCTTGTTATAGATAATTTTATATTACTTTTACCCTTATAACTTTACTATAAGTTAATAATAAGGAAAGCTTACGCTTAAGCCGGTATTATACGCCGAAGCCGCTACTCCGGTATTATTACCATTAGATTAACCTCGACCTTTTATTAAAGAACCGGAACCGTAGGTATTCTTATTCCCGCGACCGGCTGCTTCGGGGCCTACGTCGATCTTTATAGCGGAGGTAACTTAGATAATAGTTACGATTAATAAACTAAAAGCTATAATAATAGAATTAAAGGTAAAGGACGTTAAACGAATCATTCTAGCGCCTTAGCCGGAGCCGACCCCCGAACCGACCGATAAATCCCTCGTGGTATATTAACCTTAGGAATACGAAGTAGTTATAACCGATGCTCCGGAAATCGCGAACTTAGGAATAATTATACGAAACCTTCCGTAGTAAATCGTAAATTTATATAAGTAAATAGGATAGACTTATTAAAGCTTAGTAATATTAGTTAATTAAATCGACGTAAGATATCGGTAGAATACGATTCTAAAGGAGTAATACGAATAATTACGATAATTTTACTAGACCGCTACGGCTATATAAGCTACCGGTATCCGAATTACGAAAATATAAATCCATAAGTTCTAAAAGTAGGTCGTAAAATAAAGCACCTACTTCGCTTAAAACGTATGGGAAACCGTAACTAAGTTCGCCCGATAAAATAAAATACGAACGGCCGCTATAAATTAACTTCGAAACGCCGTACTTTAAAACTAACGAGCCTTAACCTAGCTCCGCGAAGAATATAATAAGTTAATAACGGACGTTAGCTCCTAAGTTACGTAAAAGGATAGATAGATCGGCGAGATCCTTAGTAAGGAATACCTTACTCCCGGGGCTATGAAAGAAAAAACCTAGCTAATTAAGAACGACCTTAAGACTTACGTAGTTAATTTAATTAAGGAATATTAGTAACGACGATTAAGTAATAAGCTAACGGATATTAAATCTATTATCGTCGGAGCTAGCTAGAAGATAAGGATACTTACTTCCGCGTTAGCCGCCCGTATTACGATAGTATTTACCGGGAGGTATATTAATAGCGAGGTTAAAATAAGGGAAATTATTTCCGACGGCGTATTATAAGATACCGCGGCTAAACGTACCGCTATACGCGCGCGGGCCCGCTTCTAGGATATTATTATAAGCGCCTTTATATCCGGAGGAGCTAAGCGAGGACTACCGTAACTATTAAGGGTCCCGCGGAATGCCTTAAGGGACTTAAGGGATTCCGATAACTCGGACGGCTTAGAATTAAGGAATCCGTAAAAGCCGTAACGTTTACCCGGCGCCTCTAAAGAACTATAAAAGCCTCTTAACCCGGCCGAAGAACGTATGATTCGGGCCTAGACTAAAGTTATAAATAATCGACGAAGTATTACGGTAATAACTAACCCGGTATACCTTATTAAGCCTACGGTTTATAATAGTAAGGACTTAGTTAAGTTTTAACCGTAATAAATTAAGGTTAAATCCTATCTCGAAACTTACGAAGAAAGTTTTACCCGGGACGTTTAAAAGATTAACTAGGTAGGATCGATACTTACCGAAAAGGCTTAGTTTTAGTATTAATAACGATTAGCTTAAGTAGAGAGGTTAATAGTCGTCGATACTTAAGTAGGATATTCCTAAGCCCTTTAAGAGCGATTTAAGGATCCCGCCGAACGATACCGTAACTTTAAGAAGATATAAGAACTTAAGTATTAAGGAGATATCTCTTAGTACCTTACCGAGCTTATAGACTTTAACGATATCGTTTAATGATCCGGAACTACCTTCTAGAATTATATCGCCCGTATTTTATCCGACGAAATAACTAAGTTAGTTTATTTACGATTAAGTAGTATTTCCGAAAGCGATAAAGCCTTCCTTAAAGTAATTAAAGAAGCCGGCTAAATCTATAAAAATATAATGGCTAACCTAGGAATTTCGGGAAAAGGAGGGTCCGTTTCGTAGAAGGAGTATACGAAAGCGGATTAGTAATAGAGGTAACCCGTAAAAGAAACTCGCTTTCGCTTAGGCTAACCGGTAATCGAACGTAAAAGAAAGGATAATAAGAAACCCGTACCGGTTAAGGACTTACGATAGATAGGTAATAAAAAAGCTTTAGCTAGAATTAACTAAGCCGCTATCGATTAGCGAAAGAAGGATAAAAAAGCCTACTAGCGGTATAGAAAGGAGAATTATTAAACCCTAGCTTATTTCGTAAAAAAGGACTTAGAAGGACGGGACTTACCCGTACTACTTAAAAAGGTCTTCTCGGGAAAAAGAGGAAGGAAGGAACCCGAATTATTACCTAATAAAAGGGCTAGAATCGATACTGCTATACGATAGGAGGAAATTCTTCCCCGTATTATGGAACTATTTAATTCCGATAAGGAACGGGATTTTTAAATGCCTTCCCGTAAGCGTTAACGGAAGAAAGGGGTAATAAAAATAACGTAAAGATTACGGCTATAAAACGGCCCGGAACGCTAGAAGTAACGGAAGTAATATTAATAGCGAAGAAATTACGAGTCCCTTAGCGTAACTAAAGTAAACCCCGGTCGGGTAAACGGCTTATTTATATAATATAGATAAAATACTAAGGAAAGGAATACCTCTTACGAGTCTTATTAGATACCGGTAGCGAGGTATCCTTAATTAACGTTACTAAGGTCGAGTAGCTATACCTTCTTATTAACTAACGCTCGAAATTAAGAACCCTAGTAGGATTCGACGGCTTTAAGATCTCGTTAAGAAGGCTTTAATATACGAACGAAATAAAGCTCCGTAGTTACGAATATATCTACCCCGTCGCCTAAGAGGTTAGTAAATTAAACGAAAAGGTCGACGCTATCCTATCCTAATGGTAAATAAAGGAATACCTTCCTTAGGGTTTATTTACGAAGGGACGATTATATTTCGACTTATTTTAATGCCGGAACTATTATCCCCGGCCGATTCGTATAGGAATTACGCGAGAAAAGGATGCTTTATCGTAAATACCCGAATAATTTCGCGACTTCGTTCCTATTATAACTAAGAAAGCGGGATAACGGTTCCTTAATCGGTAACTATAGGACTATGTTATTAAACTTCGTTTAAGGATTATTCCTCCGTAGGGACCCCTATACGTTATAAGCAGACGATAATTAAACGCCTTAAAACCTTAGCTTAACGAAATAATAGTAATGAAAAGAATCCGGAAATCCAAGGCCCCTTGCGGCGCCTTTATAATATTTATAAATAAAAAGGACCCGGGCGCCTTAAGACCGGTAGCTAATTACCGGGGATTAAATAAAATTATAATACCCGTCCGGTACTTAATCCCGTTAATTAACGAACTATAGAACCTATTCTAAACGGCGCGATAGTTTACTAAGATTAATTTAAAATCTAGTTTCTATATAGTACGGATTAAGGAGGGTAACGAATAAAAAACCGCCTTTAGAACGCGCTATAGGTTATACGAATATATGATTATATCTATAGGATTAATTAACGCTTCCGCTACCTTCTAGGCCATAATAAACCATATTTTCCGCGACCTCCTAGACGTAGGAGTTATCGCTTATTTCGATAACGTTTTAGTTTACGTTAATACGCTAAAAGAATATAATAAACTAGTTAAAGAAGTCCTAAAACGGCTTATAGAAAATCATTTAGCGGTAGTCCTAAAAAAATATACCTAGCGAACGTAAGAAGTTAAGTTCTTAGGATATAACATAAGTCCTAAGGGTATTATTATGTTTAAGGATAAAGTAAAAGCTATCCTTAACTAGCGTATCCTAGCTATACTTAAGGACTCCTAAAGCTTTATCGGGTTCGCTAACTTTTACCGTAAATTTATACGTAACTTTTTAGGCATAGCTAGGCTAATTATTAGCGCTAATAAAGGGAACCGTAAGCTATGGAAATAGGAAATCGAAATAAAAAAAGCCTTCCAAGAACTAAAGGAGACCTTTATAAAAGCCCCGGTACTTATATATTTCGATCCTAATCGAGTCCCGATCGTTAAAGCCGACGCCTCGGACTTCGTTATTTTAGCCGTCCTTTCGTAAAAAGACGATAAAGGAAAACTAAAACTAATAGCCTTTTTCTTAAGACGACTTACCCTAGCGGAAATAAATTACGAAATATATAATAAGGAATTATTAATAATCGTCGACGCGTTCGAGAAGTAGCGATATTACCTTAAAGGTACCTAGCATTAAATAAAAGTATACTTAAATTATTAGAACCTAACGTACTTTATTACGGTAAAAGTATTAAATCGACGATAGGCCTACTAGGCTTAGTAGTTCTCTTCGTATTACTTTATAATATATTACCGCTTAGGAAAGTAAAATAAAAAGGCCGATATTTTATTTAGATTATTATAATATCGCCTTAAAAAAGAAGAAGCTAAGGATTAGCCGATAGCGACGGTCCTATAGAAAAAGCATTTTTTAAAAAATTCGAACTTACTTACGGTAATACTTT